CCGGAGGAGTGGCCGACCTCGAACTTCTTGTGTCGCGCAGGTGCGCAGCTCCCCAGCAATAACACGCCAGGATGTGCCACAACAATTGCAACTTGCAGATGCAGCAGCGCGATCAGATGACTACCTCCTCACCACCCCCCCCCCCACCCCCCCCGGATGGCGGATGGTGGGTGTGTGGACCTCGACCTAGATCCCACCCGCGTTGGCAGCATGCCTATTCAAAACACCTATACCATATCGGAAAGGGCATATCGAGCATAAGTGCTGTGGATATGTCTTCGGCTGAAAGACAAAAACGAGCCAGCCGAGCGCATCCCTCTCGCCTGTATGCAGTAATGATATGGAGATAAACGATAAAAAAGACGCCTCAGTTGCTCCGACTTGGAGCCCGCAAGATTGGCGCAAGATGTGTGGTTGCGCGAACGCACTCCCACCTTCTCATCTCACCTTGCTTCCCTGTTTTGGTGGGCCGCCAGCATGCTGTCATTTCTGATGGCTGCCGGCCAAACGGCGATCTGATATCCACGATCTCTCCCTCTAAGCAGAAGGGTGGTGTTCTTCAGCTCCCAACAGAAGCAACGAGCTGCCGCCGCGTGCGCAACATGCCTCCATCCATCTGCCCCCCCCCTCTAAATCGATCGCCAACCGTGACAGGCGCCGTCGGGAGGCGACGGTTCAGCTTAGCTAGCCGGTGGGATGCGTGGATGCAAATGCGCGAGTCCAAGCGACATGCAGCAGCTGCACCTGACCCTCCTCTTGGCTGTCTCGCACATGTCCATGATAGGATGCAGCCATCTGGGGAAGTGAGCGGCAGGATCCCATAGGCTGGGGGCTTGCTGCACTCGCAGACAGATCAGATTTCAACCCAACGTCCTCGTTTTTTTCTGCCCAAAAATGGAGCTGCCGCTTCTCGACTCGTGATCCCCCGACCTTTGAAGTCCGCATGTGTCGAGTCGCATCATCAAGTAAACAAAAACAGTTGCATTGTCGTCGGTCTAAGTCGTCGGTCTAAGTCGTCGAACTAGAGTTGGACGTCGGAAGCGGTCCGGTTGGACTTCTTGTGGCCCCATCGACAGGACCCAGTTCTGGCGTCGGCATTGGCTGCGTCAGTGAGCGAATTGTACCAATGGCATTGGATGGCGGGGGGCAGTCGAGCATGACACAAGGATTTGGCCGCGGTGGTCTCTTAGGTTTGTGTGGTTGTCGAAGAGCCGCATTGTCTGGGGGCAAGAGGTGGGTCGATCTATGTTGTTGAACATGGCGATATAAAAAAGTTATGTCGACAAGGTTCCGTTGAACTTGTGTTCACAATGTTCAGAGGTGGCCCTCGAGGTTTTAAATCCCACCAGGCCGCCGGGCTTTTCTCCACCTCACCCAAGCTGCACGATGTGCTGGCATGCTACCGGCAACGAACGGGGGGCAGCTTTTTTCGAAAAAACTTCTACGGGTGACGAGCTGTAGGTATAATAAAGGGCTGTCTTGGGGCTGGGAGGGGGGGAGGGGAGGGGATGGGTGGCTTCATGCCGCGGTGGTCGTTCCTAATACCAAACGCTTTCGAGTGCATAGTCATGCATGCCACCTCCGAGTTCGTCTGCAAGGGCCTTCACAAAGTGCTGAGATGCCTCCCGGCGACCCGGCGAGTATATAGAAACGTGGTGCCAAACTATGCGACTGACAATATATGCATGTTGTGATGGCTGCGGGGGGCTGTTTCACACGTTGCGTGACAATGTGGTGCTCTGGTTTACTGCCACCACCACACCAGACAAGCCCTCTGTGATATCTCTATGGATTTCGGTTGGTGCCGCGTTTGTCCCAGGCGGACAGACGGAAGGCGATGATCATGCGTGGCGTTTCTGTTTGACCGGACTGATATATATATTGCTCTTGGTGCCCGCTCACGAGTTTTAACTCGGTTCAACTTATGCCAACTCGCGTAGTGGACATAAACTTTGAAATTCCCATATTCCCATTGACCCAGTGACCCAGTGGCCTGAAAATGTGTCTCCAATATCAATTGTGCACTCCGCTGGAGATGAACTGAAAGTTCCGTTGAAAGCCCGCCATCACCTTCAAAGTTCTCAGCGCAGTTAACAGAACCTTGTAAGCGCGGGATGGGACCCCGACGGGCATGGACACGGAGCGGATCAATGACGGGCCGACAAGTCGACGCCCCGATTGAGATGGGCTGGGGCACTTCAAGGTCGCCGGCTTGGCACTCTGGGGGCAGGAGGGCATCTTTTACTGAAGTCTTGCTGAACGCGGCCATGTCAATTGACTACCTCCTCGACGTGACGCATTTGTTGTGGATGTGAGTGAGCGCGATAGCCGTTGGATTGGCCCTTGCTTGGATTGAGAGCCATTGTCATCTTTTCCGTGAGCCCGCCCGACGGTTTGAGCTGCCATGTTCGCAAAGTCAGGGCGCAGAAATAGCTTCCTCCAGTCAGTTCACGTCTCGACCTTGACCCTCCTGGCGCTCTCTCTCGCTCCCTCTCCCTCTCTCCCTCTCACTCTCTCTTCCACTCTCGCTGCGTCTCCCACTCCGTCTGTCTTCGCCCACTCTCCCAAACGCTTTCCTCTCCTCGCTGTCGACTTTCCGCCACCATTTTCCAGCACGCTTTTTCTTCTTCTCTTTCACAACTTTGACCTGCTGTTCAGCGCGTCCTGCATCCCATCTCGCTGCGCGTGCCTTTCTTTGCCCTGAACCACAACAAGCACAAACCACTCTAGCGGCTTCCCTACGCTCGGCGACTCTGGCGCCTCTTGCGCACCAACTCATTCACCATGGGGGAAGACGCTCGCGCTTCAGGACCGGTGCTGGAAGGCAGGATTGAGGAAAGGCCGAGGGTCAATGGCGTTAGGTTACGAAAGGAGGATTCGACCGACTCGGCTTCCCCGAACAACTCCAAGATGGATTCGCGAGGCACCAGTATGTCGCCCGACGACACAAAGTCTGCAGGAGAGACTGCAGCGACTCCAGATCACGCCTCTGCCCCGAAGCTGTCTCGCAAGTCGTCTCAGAAACCCGTTCGAAGTCCCCCTACCTTGTTCGACCACCTGCCAGATGTCACAGCCCAAGCATGCAGCACGTTTCAGGTCATCAACGACTGTCTTTATGGCTCGAGGAATATGGGCTCGTCGGATCACGACGCGCTGGATTGCGACTGTACCGAAGAATGGCGTAAGTTTTTCCACCATCTGGCCCGTCACTCTCTCTCTCCCCGAGATGGTGGCCGTCCACATGTCCGTAAAGCGACCGCCCTGACACACTAATTTTTTTTCTGCTCACAGGAAATGATGAAAACCACGCTTGTGGCGAGGATTCCGACTGCATCAACCGCGCGACCAAAATTGAGTGCGTAGATGGAGACTGCAACTGCGGGCCGGGTTGTCAAAACCAGCGGTTTCAGCGCAAGCAGTATGCCGATGTTTCGGTCATCAAGACCGACAAGAAGGGGTTCGGCCTGCGGGCGAACCGGAACCTGCAGCCAAACGACTTCATTTTCGAGTACATTGGCGAGGTCATCAATGAGCCGACGTTCCGGAACCGGATGATCAAGTACGACCGCGAGGGCATCAAGCACTTTTACTTCATGTCGCTCACCAAGAGCGAGTTTGTCGATGCCACTAAGAAGGGCAACTTGGGCCGGTTCTGCAACCATTCGTGCAATCCCAACTGTTATGTCGACAAGTGGGTGGTGGGCGAGAAGCTGCGCATGGGCATTTTTGCCGGCCGCCCCATCCGCGCCGGTGAGGAGCTCGTGTTCAACTACAATGTCGACCGCTACGGCGCCGACCCCCAGCCATGTTACTGCGGTGAGCAAAACTGCGTCGGCTTCATCGGCGGCAAGACGCAGACAGAGCGTGCGACCAAACTGTCTCTTGCCACGATTGAGGCCCTCGGTATCGAGGACAGTGGCGACAGCTGGGACACCACCGTTGCCAAGAAGCCTCGCAGGAAGAAGGTCACCGAAGACGACGAAGACTATGTCAACAGCTTCCAGCCGAAATCCCTTGATGAAGATGGCGTCAACAAGGTCATGGCCACTCTGATGCAGTGCAAGGAGAAGTGGATTGCTGTCAAGCTGCTTACCCGCCTTCAGGCCACAGAAGACGAGCAGCTTCGCCATAGAGTGGTGAGGATGCACGGCTACCAGATTCTCAAAACGACACTCAACTCGTACAAAGACGACACCAATGTCGTCCTGCAGGTTCTCGATATCCTCTACGACCTGCCGCGCATCACCAAGAACAAGATCGCCGACTCCAACATCGAGGCAGCCATCCAGCCCCTGACCACTTCGACTCATGAAGAGGTCGCCTTCCAGGCCAACAGACTGCTCGAGGAATGGAGTAAGCTCTCGACAGCGTACCGTATTCCTCGCAAGGAAAAGGATGCCGCAGCTCATGCGACTTCTAACCCATTTGAGGAGCGTCGCAACATGGATCGCGACGAGCCTCACAAGCACGCCAACAACTCCCTGGCCAACCTAAACATTCCGACGGGCCCGCGCAATAAGGTACCGCAAAGGAACGTCGGTTTCTTCAATGGCCAACGTCCACCACGGAAGCTGCCCAGCAATCTGCCCGAGGGCTGGCACGTCACCACGGACAATACAGGCCGGTATTACTTTTACGATGTCAATGGCAAAGTCCAGTGGCAGCGGCCCACCGCGCCGGCGGTTTCCACTCCCAAAACTTCGACCAAAGCCCAGCAGGGCCAGAAGGCGGTGCAGGATATCATTGACAGCTTGACTAAGGAGATCACGCCAAGACATTCGGCCACACATACCCCCCAGCGGTCTAGCACCCCGACCACCGAACCCAAGAAGGAGAAGTGGCGTTCTCTCCCAATCGAGAAACAGATGAAGATCTACGAGAACACCGTAAGTTTCTTTCGCCAGTGTTCCTAATGATTGCCCAGTCTGACATCTTCCCCAGCTTTTCCCTCACGTCAAGTACGTGGTCGAGAAATTCCACGGCAAGCTCCCCAAGGAGGACCTCAAGAAGTTTGCCCGCGAAGTCAACAAGAAGCTAGTCTCTTCCGATTACAAGAACAACCGCGTTGAGGACCCCACTCATATCTCCTCCAAACAAGAGAAAAAGGTCAAGAAGTACGTCCGTGACTTTTTTGACCGCGCCGTTGTCAAATATAAGGAACAGCAAAAGGCCAAGGGCAACAACAAATCTACCGACTCGGACAAGCCCTCGGCTTCGTTAAATGACCTGGGAGGCAGCTCTGCCCCGACCCCGGTCCAAGACGACATTACACCCCTTTCTCAACCTAGCTCCCCTAGCTCCCCCGTTGGTGGTCGCAAAAGGAAGCGCGACGATGATGATGATGATGTTGTTGAAGGCGAGGAGACTTCTCAGTCACCGCAGGATGATAACATGTCGGAGACGCCTTCGGTGAAGCGGCTCAAGGAGGAGGAGGATGGGGATGGGGACATGATACCTAGTCCTCCGCCGCCGCCGCCGCCGCCGGTGGATACGCCCCTTAGTGAGGAGCAGCGGGCCATGCGGGAGCAGGAGGAGGAGCTGAGGAGGGAGAACGAGGAGGCGCAGAGGATGGAGGAGGAGAATATTCAGAATAATAACCACAAGAACGGGCAGCATATGGATGTTGATATGGAGGAGGCTGGTGGTGATGATGATAAGCCGCTTGAGCATAGGGAACAGAGGGGAGCACAGGAGGTCATGAGCCACTAGGCGAGTTTCCATGGGCCTTTTCCGCAGAGGAAAAGGCGGATTAGTAGAGGGGCTATCGGATACCTTAGGCTAGGGGAAATCGCATGGAAGCCACAAACAGGAAGTGGAGGGTCGCCCAATCTCACAAATATTGTGAGAAGGGGAAGGGGGCGGGTGGCTCAGATCACAAAAAGTGCTGGGTTATGGGTACATAATATTTTATTTTCACATCAGGGCAACCAAGGAGGAAGGAAGGAACCAGGCATACAACAACAACATTGCATAATTACCTTGTTTTTTTTGTTTTTATTTTTCCATTCTCGCCATTTGCATCAGCTCTCTCGGGTGGAATCGATTTAACAGGAAACAACAAGAAACCGAAAATGGGGTAGGATGGACTGGGTGGTGGTGGTTTTCTGCTACACTGGGACATGGGAAGGGCAAAAATTGCGATTGCTTTTTGTTTTTTTCTGGTATTAGACTTTTTCTTTTCTGCGTTTGTGTTTTTTAACACTTTTTTTCTTTTTTCTTCACGGATGATACCTCTTTTTTCTTTCTCTGCTTCTTGTTTTGGTGTACTACTGCATGATACTCAATTGAAATTCACACACACATTCCAGGGGCGTTTTTGTGTGCTGGGTCGGGGTCGGGGTTGGTAGTTGGTTGGGTTGGTGCAACTGTTTTGTTTTGTTTTATTCACAGGAGAGAAGTGAAGAAGATATGAGAGAGAGAGAAGGGGACGTTATCTCATTTTTTTTCAAAATGTTTCTACACACAACACAGCACAAATGGAAAGTTTGCATTTGGGAATGAAATGTTCATGGGTTACTTGGCCCGAATGCGTAGCCAGGTATTGGGGTTTCATTGTACATTCTGCATCATCGAGTTATTCACTTCAATATCAAGAAAGATCTTCACGTCGTCAAACAGAATCCTCAAAAAACCATGGTATGGTTGATGCATCTCGCCTGCTGAGTTCTGATATACCCTCAACCCCCTTCCTTCCCGTCTACTGCAGACTCTTAATCACCCTCTCCAGCGCCTCAACCAACTGATCAGCATGCTTCTCCTCAAACACCAACATCGGCCTCAACCTCACCGCCCGCTCCCCGCTCCCCCCAATATTCACCCCCTCCCCCTTCGCCCTCTTCAAAAACTCATCCCTCTTCGGGCTATCAAACGCAATAAACGTCCCCATCCCCTTTCCCCTCAGATTCTCCACCTGCCCCGGATACTTCTCCCCCAACCACTCCAGCTTCCCATAAAGATACTCCCCCACCTTTGCCGTCCGCTCCACCAGCCCAAACTTTTCAATCTCCTCAATGATCCCCTTGAAAAGCAACGCCCTCGCCGGATCCCCCATCCAAGTATTAAACTGCCTATACGGCTTGTTCGGCCTCAGCTCCGGATTCCCAAAGTAATACCCCGCCGTCTGCGCCTTCTTGCTAAAGGTAACCATATCCGGAGGCGTCGGCAAATCCCAGTGTTCGTGCGCCCAAAACTTGCCCGTTGCTCCCACGCCAGTCTGGACTTCGTCCACAATCAGCAAAACATTGTTTCTCTTGGTAATCTCCCTCAAACCGCGGAAAAACGCAGGCGAGGCGTGGTTATCCCCTCCTTCAGACTGGATCGGTTCAACCACCACCGCGCAAGGGGGGACGTGGTAGTTCTTGATCAGGTGCTCCACCTCCTCCAGCGCGGCCTTCTCCGCCGCCTCATTCTCCTTGACGTGCTGATCAAGCGGGTACTTCAACTTGGGAAACGTCGCCTGCGGCCAGTCAAAGGCGGGGATGTCGAGCTTGTGGATTGGTTTTGATCTCGTTGTGGAGAGGGACCCAAACAATCTGCCGTGGAAACCGGTCTTGAAGGACAAGATGGAGAGGTTCTGCGAGGCGCCGGGGGATTGGTTCAGCATGGCGGAAGAGATCTCCTCCTCTGTGAACTCGACGTGGGCGCCGCCGCGCTCTTGCTGGCGGCGGTACATGAACGCTGCCTTGTAGGCGGTCTCGTTTGCGTCGGAGCCTGCCATGGCGGTGAAGACTTGGTTGAGGCCTTTGGGGGCTACTTTCAAGATGCCTGCTTTGAGCACGTCGGCCCAGTCGTGAGGGGGGAAGTTGCCTAGGGCGGGGCGGTTGATGAGGCCTTGGATCATTTGGGGGGATTGGGCTGCTTTGATGAGGGACGGGTTGTTGTAGCCTACGGGGATGGAGGCGATTTGAGCGTAGCTGAATGCCCGGGTTAGAGTTGGGTTGGGAGATAGGGAGAGAGGTGACTTACACATCCAGCAAGATGTTTCCATCTGGGTCGGCAATGTAGTTACCCGCGCTCTTGTAGTAGTCCGTCAGCATGTTCAAGCTGCGGGTGTCAAACACCTCGTTGAGCTCGGCAATCTCGGCTTTGGCCTTGGGGCCGGGGATCTCAGTCTTGACCGAGGGACCCTCAGGCTCCCATGATGAGTAGAAAGAGGACATCTTGCGGGTAGAGCAAGAGAACCGGCGACGGGCCTCGAGAGGAACAGCAGCTCTGGTAGCGGAAGACGGAACAGACCGCAGAAGAGAGCTGCGCCCCCTCAGGGCTCTGGATGCCATCATGATGGTGACCTTTTATATGCTTTCTCTCAATGACGATGAGAAACTCAATGTCACCCTCCCTGGATGTAAGTGCGATATTGTTGAGTATGCCAAAAAGCTGTGACTCCCACCCTCCTGATGTCGAGAGGTGCAGACGGGAGAAAGGAAGGAACGCCACAAACAAGGTCCCTTCCGAAAATATAAAAGGATATCACCGGCTTATATCTGGTCGAATCGGGTCCAGGATCTGAAAGGGAACTAACAAAAGTTGGAGATTTGGAGTGTTAGTCTTAGGGAGAGAGGAGAGAGAGCTTGGGGAAGGAGCGGGGAAGCTCTTGGGTCGATCCGTCTCAGCAACGGGCCCTTACGTCAGTATAATTCCTAATAAGGTATCAAAGAAGTAACACGTTCGGTTGTTTGTTAGTCATTGGGCGTTCCTCTTTATAATTGCAGTGCTCATATATTTCCCTACTCTGTACACAGATTCCGGCCATCACTTATCTGTGGTGCCCCTCCAGATAACCATGCAGTTACGATATCGAGCTGTTGCGAGCTCTAGCTGTTGCGAGCTCAAACAGCCGTCCGGACTGCGACATCGGGACCTCCCCGTGGATCCGACATCTCCATGCCGTCGTATCCAACCACTCCGTGGAGAGCTGTGGACAGCATGGCCGGTTCTGTACCCGCCGAAAGATGACGCAGCTTCCCAATTCTACCAAGCTGGATGGTGATAAGCATCGTGCCCAGCACGCCTTAGACCACTTACACCGCAGCGGGGTGCAGCCCGCCCCTCACCCCTCCTCACCCCACACCTTCAGGGGTCGCGGTCCAGAGCTCGGGTCACCTGCACACTCACGGCCATCTCACGTCTTTCGAGACCAGTTGCTATAAGACACATGGATACAAATGATCTGATACTAACGAAAACACACTGCAGCTTTGCCACACACACCCAAACTTCAACAACAAATCAACGCCGACGAATGCCGTCCCTCTTCTCCTGGTGCTCGGTTTGCCAGACTGAGACTTTCCGACGCAAACCACCATTCATTCACAGCTTGGAATGCAACCTGTACACCCACACCGGCTTCTGAAAAATCAAGACTCGTTCCGATATTACCAACAATCTCAAATACAGTGTATGGGGTCTTTGCCCCTCCAAAGCAATACATTCCGCTGCTCACAGCACCAACAACAACGACCGGCCCTCAACGCCATGTAATCACCAACCCCCTGATATGTCCACTGCCTGCCAGCGGGTTGACTAGAACCACTCCAGCTCCAACGCGCGGTAAACATGTCCCCTAACGCAATGATGAAGCGCATAAAACAAGAAAGTGAAGAAATAAAGCCTTATCCATACAATTCCAACAAAGAGAAAAAAAGGGTGTTGGGACACCAGGGTATACCCTCAAAAATCATATAACAAAGTTTGACCGAGATTTTATTCAGTCATGAAGAAAGCCCGGATCCGCCCTCGTGGAGAGCTGATAGTCTCCGTCCAGAGTGGGATTGTCGCCAGTCTCCTCCTAACTGCTGGCGTTGCGTTCGTCATTCTGTGGAATCTTGAGACCGGCATTTTGTGCTACGCTCTTCCATAATTCCAGTTCCCGAAGGGCGCGGTCGAGTTCAAACTTGAGCTTATCGTTCGACTGGCTGAGCTCGGCGATGGCCTGTTCTGTGAGCAGCTTCTCCAGAGTCCATTTCTCAATGTTTTGAGTTTCGTTCTCTTTGAGCTGGGTGATGAATGAGACTGCCCGTTGAAGGATAGAGCCCTTATTCTTTTCGCATCCGGGCACAATCTTGGCCAGCTCGTTGATGCCCTCGTTGATCGTCTCACGACGGCGACGTTCCACTAAACAAGCGTCAACACCCGCAACTTCCACACATCCACCATAAAAAAAAATAAGAATAACCAACCTTCTTTATGATTGTCCTTACGCATCTTGTGCCATTCTTCTGATCCGACGGCCGGCTTGGGGTTGGAGGCAGGAGTGTAGCGCTGCTCCTGCGGAACCTGTTGAACCTGTTGTACTTGCTGCACCTGCTGGACACCGTTCTGCAACTGTGGGTGCATGTTTACCGCGCGTGGCATAGCGGGAAGGCCATCCGGGTGGGGGCCGGACATGTTGAAGGCATTCTCGTCATGCTGAGGTTCCGAAGTCTGCTGGTTGACAAAGGTTTCTTCCGTGGGTTGCGGAACATGCAGAGAAGGGTACATGTTCAGAGCGGCAGCAGCAGTGCTAGTAGCATTGTTGGCATCGCCGGGCTCTTCGGCATGATCTGCAGTCGCTTGAGCGAGCACACTGAAGTCATCCACATTGACCTGGTCGTGTGCGGCTTGGGCGATGCTCACCGCCGTGTTCTCGAGGAAGGCCTGAGCCTCCGAGTCGGTGACATTCATGGTGGCAGGCGGTGCTGGTCGTTTGCTACGGCGCGAGTCTGGAGATATCGACTCGGTATTCCGCTTCCGCTTGTGACCAGGAGAAGTAGTGATCTCGCTGAGATCAGTGTGTTGTTGCTCGATTCCTACTGTCGCGGCCATAACGGGAACTTGCAGGATGGCTTAGTCCTGGTATCATATTAGTGGCCAAACCAGGTTCAGGTTGAGGAGTCACATCGGCAAATATGATTGTGCAAGAGGCAATGAAGAGAAGCTAGGCTGATGAGGGGAGCTAGGTGAAGTCCCAAGATAGTTGGTCGGTGTGGTTCTTGGTTGGGGGTATCAGCGAAGCAACAAGCACTTGCTTGGAGGGTCGCCTTATGAGTGAAAGAACCCAGCCTCCTCGGATGGCGCAAGTGCGCAACCTCGAGAGCTGGCTTCGAGGCCTTGCTGCCAAAGGCAGCTTGATGCAAGGCTCTCTATTCATCGTTGGAGGATGCTATTGGTGTCTACAGAAACTAGGGGCTGCCCAGCGCAGGTAGATACTGGAGCCTGCCTTGTCCGGCCACTTGACTGTTGGATAGGAACAAGGAGAGATGGGCATTGCGCCAGCGTTTGCGCATGCTGCAAATTGTAAGGGGTTGCGGGCAGGTGCTGCGGCAGTGGCAGGAGGGTCTCGAGCAAAGGCGAGTTGTTTTGGTATTCTTGATGTTGGATTGTCCCTTGAAGAGATGAAATGCCTCCTTACCGGTCGGGTTTGCCAGGTTCTAAGTCGAGGTCACCTGATGAAGGTTGGGAGAACGTGCCCGAAAACGTGACCGTGACGAGAGACTGCGAATAGTCAGTCTCGGATCCACAGTCGACGCAGAAAGTCGATATACAACGAAGGAGATGGAAATCAACAAGATCGTACCAGCAAGGAGAATAGTTATTTCTGTCGACTTGGAGTGCGAGGGCGTTGATATTTCCTCGTCGAGGACTTGATGGGAGATGGGGGACAGAAGACGAAACCACGTGAACATTCAGCTCCGGGGGGTGGAGGGTTTTCGAGAGCCGGCGGGCGCGACGCGTGCACGGACCACCACCCACACCCATTTCCTACTCCCGACCGAGATTCAACCCCTCGATCAGCACCTGGCCGTAGCTTCGTGACTTCCCACCCACCACCTTCTTTTAGAGTCCTTCGACCCCCCACCTTGATGTTTCTAATTTGCACGTGTACACCAGACACGCACACACACTGATGGAGCTGCAGAACAGAACGGACAAGGCTACCAAGGCAACCAGTGAGGTGCGGGGTTGCCTACCTATCGTCGACAAAGCAGCCGTTTGTTGTTTCGTGTTGTATAATTCCCTCCCAGTTTGGATGAATGGTGGGCTGCCCCTCGAGTTCACCAGGACTGACAACCTTCTTGTTCGGAATCAAACCATGATCGCAACACTGCCACATCCAAGCACGTGTTGCCCGACCCCTGTTGACCTACCACGTACACAGTGAATACTACACCACACCACTAGGTACTGCATCTGACAGCTTCCTTCGGCCTCGAGGATACTTGGACCACCAGCCTCCTTTGGTCACAAAGGCTCGGCAGATATTCATGCAGATGTGCAGCATACATAGATTGTCTGTGTCTCGACAAGGCTGGAAGAGCAGTGTAGCAGAAACGCCCTCCACCCCCTCCAACCAACAGATCCTACGCAACGCCCTCCTGACTGCTCGGGAGGGAGGTAGCGAAGTGAGACAGGTCGACACATGATTTGATGGCTTGGAGGGGTGATGTTTGCGTCACGAGGCGCCAAGGGCACCGTTCTGACAAACTTCGGTCGTAAGAATCCAAACAGTTGGCTAGCCAGGCCGGGAGTTCCGCCTGGCCGTCAACCTGAATGCACTCTCCCGCTGAAAAGTGAGGAGTAGTAACGCCGAGCATGTCATACCAAATGGTTGGCCGTGGTGGAATGACAGAAAACGGCCCAGGCATCTACAGTCCCATCCCGCCTTCGACTGGGAGCCAGCGCCGTGCATCGATATATCAATATCCACATACAGATATGCAGGCGGGTGAATCCATCAAGATGCTTGCTGTGCGGGGGTTGATTGCCGCACGGGCAGCAATCCGATTTGCCCGTCGCGATACCTCCGCATGAGTGGGGCATGTCCCTATCGGTCTTTATCGGTCCCAGCCCGTCAACGAACACCCAACTCCCGACCTGCTCGTGACAAGCACAACCACATTTTCATTGCCAACTCTTCCAGCAACTTCATCATATCCACATACCCGGAGAGGCACGTGGGAAGCAAACAAGACCATGGCCGATCACGGCGCCTCCAAGATTAACCACGACAACCACCTCCTCCTGGTAAGACGACGTCATCGCCGGCTCTCTTCCCTCTGGTCCATCTTCCTGCCAAACGGCCCATCAAACCTTGATGGCCCAGCTGACAAAGGTTGTACGTCTAGGACCAACCCCTCCTCCGACTTCCATACGAGCTACTACGCAAGAATATCCGATCGGCGCACTATCATATCGAGTGGGATACGAATGCTGTCAAGGACCTGCTCAAAGAGACCGCCACCAACTCCATCAACCAGAAAGCATCCAAACAAGATGTCGTCAACAACCTTGACCAGATGCTGGCTAGAATGCGCGGTCTCAAGAGGAAGTTGAGCACCTATGCCGAAGAGGAAAATCGCTTGTACCGCCAGTCGACCGCCAGGGTCGCACACCTTCGAGAGCTATCCGACGTGCACACCGTCGAAGATGTCAAATACGAAGCCTGGTCACGTCAGCGTCTTGACCGCTTGGTAGTCGACTACATGCTTCGACACGGCTACAATAAGTCCGCCAACGCCCTTGCCGAGGAGAGAAACATGCTCGGGCTAGTCGACATCGATACATTTGTTGCCATGAGCAAGATCCGGCAGTCTCTGGAGAACGGCAGTGTGCAGGAGGCACTCGTTTGGTGCAACGAAAACAAGAAAGAGCTTCGCAAGATGCAGTCGAAGCTCGAGTTTGAGCTACGTTGCCAACAATACATCGAACTCAACCGCAGCTCTTGCCCCAAGCTGGAGGCTATTAACCATGCCAAGAAGCACATTATGCCCTTTAGCAAGACCTACCCAACAGAGGTCAGCCACATCGCTGGCTTATTAGCTTACCGCGCTGACACGCCTCACGAACCCTATGCCTCTCTCTACAGCTCAGCTCGATGGAAAAAGCTTGCCGATTTGTTCACCGACGCCCACCTTAAGCTGCTCGGCCTTCCTCAATTTCCGCTTTTGCACATTGCTTTGTCGTCTGGCCTTTCAGCCCTCAAAACGCCAGCTTGCCACAGCAGCCAACAGAACCAGAGCCACCAAGGGCAAAAATCACACAAGTCAGCTACGCCGGGCCCGGGGCAAGGCGAGGAGCAAGAATCACGAAGTCATGGCACGGCAAGTCTACAAACGAGCGTCTGCCCAATCTGCTCGACTGAGCTCAACGCCCTGGCTCGTAACGTACCATATGCCCATCACAGCAAGAGTCATTTGCTGGAACATGACTTGATGCTGCTGCCAAACGGGAGGGTGTATGGCAAGGCGCAGCTCGACGAATATGCGGAAAAGTCACGGCTAGCCGCGGGAGAAGTCAAGGACCTGGTAACGGGAGAGAAGTTTAGGGAGGATGAGTTGAAGAAGGTTTTCATCACTTGATATCTGAGGGGCTGCCAAGTTGCGGATAATTTGTCGTGTCGTTTCCGAGTTATTAGCATCATCATGGCGTTTTGGAGCAGGATTTGTTTTTAAGGGTGAAAGAGTGTAATGTTTCAGGTACCACGGAACTGTGAGGACGAGGGAGGCCTTTTCTGGGACAAACAGCAGCGGTGTATTTGGAAGTACAGCAGAAACCAAAGATTGGAGGCACGGTTTTGGCTTAGGATTTCTGGGTTAGTAGTTGCTCTTGGAAGAGCATGGTGCTTGTTTACATAGCGGGGAATTTGATGAGTGTAATTGGTGTTTATGACAAGACAACGCGAGTAATTTATGGGCCAGGTGGGTTTTGTGTGGACTTCGAGAAGCGTTGTGCCGGTGTCGTCATTATTCTGGTATCGGTATTTCTGGCCATGTGAATAGAATATCCTCAAATGAAGGTCATTGTAATGTATGCTCGGCACCCGACGGCAGCTGATTGACGACCATCTAATCAACTCTATTGATCCCTCCTTCCCGTCCCTTCCTTCCAACTGAGTTGAGTGAGTCTGTCTATCTCTCTGTGTCATTTCCCCAGTTGATCTCCGCCCGTAGCTTATGTACATCACTTTCTCTCGTGCTTCCCCTGAACCCCCGTGTGTGCCGCTCAGTGGTGCTCCTCGCCGTGGTGGCGCTCATCCTTCTTCAAGAAGAGCTGCTCGTAGACGCAGTAGGCTGTGAAAGCGACGACGGCAGTACCGAACCCGGGGAGGGCGTTTCTGTATCTGTTGAATCGGCTGAAGCGGCCGGTGTATCGCCAAGCCTCACTGTTTTGGTGACGTTGTCAGCGATGGATTGGGAACAGAGGGGTATGGACGTCGGGTGCAACACACTTTCTCTCCCAGGGGTCGTAACGGGGCTTCTTTGTATTGGCGAGGAACTTCTTCATGGAGAAGCCGGTGATGTTTGGCTTCTCGTCCCCAAGCTGGGGGAGGGCGGAGCGGAGTATTCTGTGTGCGGTAAAACAGAGGTTAATCATGCAAGAACGAGAAGATGTCGGACAATTGGAGGGGTCAGTACCTTGTGGGATACATGGTGGCGGTTGGTTGACAATTTCCTCGTCGTCGTCTTCGTCAGAAGGGGAGCTCGCTCACTGAACTTCCAAGCATCACCACTGTTCGGTCCATGTCACTGAATTGAGGTCGCAACTGCCAAGACTGCTTAGTCATTCATATGCGGGAGGCGCGAACAGGAGAGCACGGGGAGGCTGGTTGGTCTGTGCACCCAGCACTTGCAGCAGTTGTGCTGTGTGCGATCCCTCTGATGGAAGGAGCAGTCTTGACCAAGCGCGCAGAAACAGCAACCTCTCACGACGTCGCTCTCCGAACCACTTGCTCGATTATTTCCCAGAAAACCCCCGCCGAACCACGTCGAACTCTTCTTCTCATGTTCAACAAACAACCACTCTCTCCAAAACCGAATCACGACCCCCTCGGTTATCGCGACTTGATATCCCAATAGTTTCTTAAATCACCAACAATCTTGCCCAGGTCTCACGGCGCTACGACTCCCAACAGCTGCCTCGTTCTCTACAAGGAGTTAGGAGAGGCAAGTATCGTCGGCGAAGAAGAAGGAGAACGACGATCGACCGCTGCCAAATCTCTCCATCTCTGATCTGCCTCCTGGATCCAGTGTGAAGATGCCCCCGCCAAACAACATGAACCGCTTTCAAGGCGGGCCGAACACCATGTACCATCAGCAGCAATATCAGACACACGCACCTCAAACCTCGGGCCACCCACCGCCACTGGGTGGAAACCCTGCTTATCTCAACCAACTGTCTGCCGCTGGCAATCCTTTTGGAGCGACCAGCAACCTGATGGGCCTTGCCGGTGGAATGGGTGCCGCTGCTGGCGGCTTCAATGCCGAAACCGGCCTCGCAAGCCATGCCGCGCGAATGGGCTTCCATAGCGGGGCAATGCAGCAGGCGCAAGCTCAACAGCAACAGGTTCTGCAGCAGCAGCAGCAACACCTGCAGGCACAGCAACATGGCCAACACCCCGCTCTCCATCCTGCCCAACACACTCCACAACAAAGCCATGCCTTGGAACACACAACGCGGGCGGCCCAGAACAAGGGAAGGATACGGGAGGTGTGGAAGCACAATCTGGAGGAGGAGTTTGAGATTCTACGAGATCTGATACAGACACATAAATATGTGGCTATGGTAGGTGACCAAGGCCCTCCGAAGGTGCTTCTGAGCCTGTGCTAACTGAAGGCGCTGCCATGATAGGACACGGAATTTCCGGGTGTTGTATCGAGGCCAATGGGCGGATTTAGGGGGAAAAGCGATTACCATTACCAATGCCTGCGGACAAACGTCGATATGCTCAGCGTTATTCAGATCGGAATCGCGCTTTTCAACGAGGATGGTGAACAACCAACTTCTGTAGACCCATCGTCCCAATGGTCAAACCCTAGGAGGACAGGCACTCAAGCGCCACTGCCTTTCGCCTGGCAATTCAACTTCAAATTCTCTCTTGAGGACGACATGTACAACGAGACCTCGATTGAATCACTCCAGCATGCCGGTATCGATTTTAAGCGAATGGAGCAGGACGGCATCGATCCTTTCAAGTTCGCTGCGCTCTTGATACCATCTGGCCTGGTTCTTGAGGATGATGTATATTGGATCAGCTTTCACGGCGGATATGACTTCGGTTACCTGACCAAGCTCTTGATGCCCAAGAACCTTCCCGGCGACGAGGGCGACTTTGACGAGGAGATGAAGAGGTGGTTTCCTGCCACGTATGATGTGAAGCACCTGATGAAGCATGCCATCAAGCTTCAGAACAGCGGCCAGCTTGAAGTCCGGGACCCTGGTGTGGTCGATATTCTGACAAAGTTCGAGCAGAAGGCCGGCCTCGAACACATTGCCGAGACACTCAAGATCAAGCGAGTAGGCAGCGCCCACCAGGCTGGGTCGGACAGCTTGCTCACTGGGCGAGTATTCTTTGAGTTGCGAAAGCGCATCTTCAACGGCCACATTCCGGAAGAACATCTGGGCAAAGTGTGGGGATTGGGTGTGCCAGACTATTCCATCGGTGCGCAGCAGTTCAACAGCGGGCAACAGCAGTCCACGGCCAACAAGAGCAACAATGCCGATGGCTCAGCTGCGAATGGTGCTACCCCAAGCACGCCCAACACAAACAATGTTGGACTAGCCAACAACACCACGCCGGCCCCAGCATCCCATCAAACCAATGGTGTGAACAACCAGTCAAACAGTAACAATGCTGCTGCCGGGTCTTCTGGCGGAAATGCCGCCCAGAGCGTGGGTGGAGGCATGGGTCCAATGACACCTGGAGGGGGAGGAGGAGTATTTGGGGCGTTTGCTTTTGGTGGCGGAAATACCAACAGCGCTAGATAGAGCTCGAGCGTGGATCCAGTCGACGACAACGAAAAAGCAGTCGAGGACGAGGTGGATATCGATTCGAGCGTCAATGTCAAGTCTATTAATGTTCATACGGATGGCGTTTTTTCTTCTCTTTCACGCGATGCCTTTTCTACTTGTATCACTGTACCGATTATGACGGATCATGATGATATGTCTGCCGACACGGGAGGCTCTGCTGTCTAGAGCGATAGCGCTGAACTTCGTCTTCGAGGTGGTGGACTGCCTCCAGATCGACCTTGGCCTGTGAAGGATAACCCTTTTCCTGCTCCTCCTCCTACTCCTGCTCCTACCCCTGCTCCTACCCCTGCTCCTGTTCAGGGAGATGGTCGAGGTGGTGGTGGTCCTGGTCGGCCAAATCAAATGAATACATACCGGCACTACGGCGCTGAAGAATTAGAGGAGGACAAATCTTTTGCCCACCAATTTGGTGAGGTCGATGAGCTCGTTGCTCATTTTGAGGCTCGCACCGCGCAAGCTCGCCCAAACCCTGGAAAAGGACACTTTCCAGGGGGTACTATTACTGTATCTCATGGTCGTGGTGGTGGTGTCGCTGGTCGGCCAAATCTGACGAGAGCATACGCTGGAATAGGATGTCAGCTTAATCCGTCTCAGATCGATCCTCAATGGGCTGCTGTTCCCGCGCGAGGTACTGCAACCCCTGGACAACCGCGCTTTCCGGGGGCTACTGTTCCTGTATCTTCTCCTTCTGCCACCTCATATCCTTCTACCACCTCATATCCCTCTTACCCCTCATATCATTCTACCACCTCATATCCTTCTACCGCCTCATATCCTTCTACCCCCGCATTTAATCCTGCTACTCCCGCATACAACCCCCCGACATCTCAGCAAAATATTCCATCGACTACTACCGCCGCGAACAATGCTGCAATTTTTGGACAACAGCCTTACCCCCCCGGATTCACCCCTGCTGTGCAGAGTACACCTGTTGAACCAGAATATATTCCTCCTAGAACGACTGGTTGTCCTCCTTCACGTCTAGCTCCGGCCTGGGGCGTAATCGGTGACCGGAGGAGGCAGGCTGATGCTCCTGCTCCTGGAGGTGGGGCGGGGGGGGGACAAGGTGTTTTGAGAAATAAGCAGCGGGGAGAGCAGGAGGAAGCGGCTTTAGGGGGGAGATAATGATGGTCAAGGTTCTGCTTCTCAGGTGGGGGTGGTGGGACTGCTACGGAGGGGACAACTGCTGCTGGTTCTACTGCGGAATCAACGATGACAGGTGGTGGGTCTGCTGCTCTTGATTAATGTGCTGTTTTATGCGCACGGAGTAACGTAAATGATTTCGAGGGGCTCTCCGCCTCGAACTCCTTCTCTTCGGGGATGATTTTTCGGAGTTGTGCATTGTTTTGGGGTTGGGTTGAGGGCCGGGAAACAAAAAGGGGGTTTTGTGGGGGTTGAAACGTCGGGAGGTTTGTTTTCGATTCGAAAAAGCAATATCGGGACAGCGAGTAAGGTAGCGAATGTATTTTTTAGTCTGCAGAGTAGTTATTTGAGTTTTGAGCGGCTACCAAATGCATTATGAGAGAGTTGGCGAAGTCTGTTCATTTGCGCGATTGTCAGTGCGAGATGTGAATTCCATGTAAATGCCTACGTCTCGAGAAGAGGTTGGTGACGGTGTGAAGAGCACAAGAGGAGGTTTCCTGGAGGGGAGATACAGACAACCTGATATCACTATATCAACGAACGTGTCACGGAAACCCATGGTTGTAATTTAGAGGTTGGTTGGCTTGATGAGGAAGTTTACTTGTCTCACCCCCTTAATGAGCAGGTCCACACAACCTTTCCTCACAAAAAGAAGAAAGATCAAAACCCCCAACACCTATATATCCCCCCCTAACTCCATCCCAAAATATTCCGCTACCCGTATCCCCAATCTAAATTGCACGATATGCCCTCCCCCGAAAAAACGTCCTCTAAAATCCACAGACAACGACGAGATGAGATGAGACACCCTCACATGCCAATCCCATTAACCAAATCCAATGCCCCCTCCACCACCCCCTCCAGCTCCCCCACCCGTGTCTTGAGTTGTCTATTCTCATCCCTCAGCAAGCCAACCGTATCCCAAGCCACACTCGCATCCTGCCCCTTGCAGTTCCTACACCCCCCTTCCTCCCCGGCCGCCACCACCCCCCTAAAAATCTTTTGAAAGGCATTCATCGTCACCGGCTTCGGCTGCTGCGTCTGCTGTCTCGGCGTTGTGCTGCTAGTCGTTGGCGTGCCCAACTTACTATTCCCTCCGGGAAACCCCCCCTGTACAGGCGTCTCCGGCACCGGGCTCCTACACCTACTGCTAAACACACTTTCACTCTCCGCGCTCTCCACCTCCTCGTCATCATCCGCTGACCAGCTCTCCCCGCTGCGGCGCTTATGATGCCGGATTTTGTCAACACCGAGATCTTCAGATAACACCACAGAGGGGGCTTTACTCCTCTCCCTTTCGTGCTGGAGTTCTTCAGTTAATGCCCGAACCTTGTGCTGCTGCTCCGCCAGCTCCTTGGCCATGTTTTCCAGTTGAAATTTCAGGTGCTTCGCCCTTGTTTCCGCCTCTTCCAGCTCGTCTTTCTGGGCGGAGTGTTCCTGACGTAGGTTGTGGATTGTGCCTGACTGGGATTTGTAGGCGGTTTGGTATTTGGTCAGCAACCCGACAGCGTTGGCTTGAAAGTTTTTAAAGGCGGCCGGGGAGAATGTTTCGTTTCCTGGGGTGGAGGAAGGGGGAAACAAGGCGGTTTCAATGTTGAGCGTCAACAGCTCGTCAGCGGCTTCCATTGTCGAGGTTGTCGGTGTGGTTGGGGCTGTGAAGCGGGATGTAAAGGCCGACATGAACCGCGATGTCATAGTCCCTCCTCCTCCTCCTGCGGGAGTGGTGGTGGCTGTTTTTGGGGTGGGAGGTGGTGGGAGAGATGATCGTTGAGGGGGGGGACGGGTGGGTGTCATCATGTCAGGGGCTTCAGAAATTTGTTTTTTATCATTGCCACTCGTTGTCGGGGTGGTGCTGGAGTTGTTGTTGTTGGTCCGGTCATCAATGCTGCTGTTCGGGGTCATCCCCAGCGCTGACCCTGCTGCTGTTCCACTTAACCACCCTGCCAGGCCTGATCGTGGGCTTTCCGCCCTTTGGCGTATCCTCCCTTCTCCTGTGTATGGCATTTGTTCAGACGGAAATCGTTGATGGTGCGTCTTCTTCCTCGTCGGGGAAGGGGTCCGGCTTTGGTTCCGCAGTGCCAGGGGGAACAAGTTGGGGAATGACTGCTGCCGGCGGTGTAGATGTTTATTATGTGGTGGCCCAAAGGGTAACGGTGATGGACAGGTGGAGGAGGATTCTTCGAGGTCGGCATCAGAATACCCGCTGTGATATTCCGAGAAGGGCGGAAGAGATGGCTTCGGCGCGATAAAGCTAAAGGGCGAGGACTGCTGCTGGTGCGCCGATGCTGGTGGTGGTGGTGGTGAATTTGGTGTTACCGTCGCGCGCCGCTCAAGCTCCTGGCGTGGAGAGCCGTATCCATTATCCTGGCTACTGCCAGCAGATGATCCTCGTAAGGCGCGGGCTTCTGGCACGGCTGCTGCTTGTTGAGCAGGAAGGATAGGATGAACAGTCTGGCCAGACCTGGGAGGTTGTGGGGAGGACGAAACAGGGTTGTCGTCGCTTAGCATGATGAGTTAATGTTTCGCGGCTTCGGGGGGGTGGATGAAAGGTGGCCTGGACTTTTTTGTTTCCCTTGGTCAAAATAGAATCCCTGGAATTTTCCTCTCAATAGTGTGGGTGTATGTGTTGATAATTCTCAGCCGGTGACGTCTTGTTTGCTTGCCCTTTTGCTGTCAAAGCATTCCACAAGGCGAAACAATGTCTCGTGAAAGGGAAGCGATATTGAGATGAAAACGAGGAAACGTTTGCGACGATCCTCCACACTTTCGCTTATTTCCACACAACAACACACAAGTCCAACAACCTCGGCCCTCACCCTCTGCTCATCTCATCCCTCAACAACACGTGGGAGATTCCCGAGATCTTTCCCAGCCCGGCGCCGGCGGCAGCAAAACCTTTCTGAGCAAGCGGAGCCTCAACTTGCATGCAAAAAACGCGGTCGTAGGAGGTTGGGTGTGGTGGTGGTTTGTGTACGCAGTAGATATGGTTGTGTATGGCTGGGGACCTGAAAAGTAAAACCAGGATAACCTGTCGTCCTCGAGCTTCTGGTTCTTCTCTGCGGCAACACAAAAAGTAAAACAAAAAGATCAGAAAAAGTCCAAGAAGTGGTTGTGCGACAAAAAAGAAAACCACCCAAAGCTGTCTTGTTTACAAAAACAAGTTTTCCCGTTCCTTGCAGGTGGTCGACCGTCAGTGCCTCTCGCTCTCTCGGGGATCTCGTTTCCAGGGTTCTGGCTGACCGCCTTTGCCAAGACCAACACCTCTCCCAAGACCTTCAACTCCCAGCCATCAACCCCACGATCACCTCTCTTCAGTTCAGCTGAATATCATCACTCGGAATCTATCCTGCAACTATCTGACTCGGTTATCACCGGTTCAGTCAAAGAATTTATCTCTCATATCCAGCCACTTTATTTCTACACATTTCCCCCTCCACGAATTTTCTGTCTCTCATCACTGCTTAAACCAATCCAACGCTCCTACGTGGAACCGCAGTCTGTCCGATCTGTCCTGACAACGTCCCCGCTGGTCTTGCAACGGCTCGTCGGGCCCTGACTTGCCCTGAGGCTAGCCTAAACTTTAAAGCCCAGTGAACCCGAGCTTTGAGCAAGCTGTGATCCAACTCTCTGTTGCCATAGAAAGAGGAGGTCGTAGAGGTGCAAAATTTAGCAGTTCTCACATACTGGTAGAACTCAAAGGGCATGTCTAGCTCACATGCTTCTGATGCTTGGGCAGGAATGTCTCATTTCTCGAGGCTGACTGCCACGAACACCAACTATTGAGACATACATTACACATCACACATGTTGAAATGCAGGTAGTTGGTGATGACTGGGTATCTTTTGACGCCACTCGGGGCCTCCCCCGTCGGCCATCTATTCAGTGTTGACCATCCTACCATGAGGCAAAACCACCCGCTACCACAAAAAACCATAGCCATGTCCTTTTTGCAGTGAACTGAACCCCTCAGTAGAACGACTCCACCATCGTCTCCTTCATGGTCGTATTAATCGCCCCCGGCGCCGCACCCTCACCCAGCCTGAACACACTCTCAATCACGCTGAGTTCCGGCGCTGTGGTATCCAACCCCGTCACCGCCATCCAGTCGTTCACCACCATGCCGCCGCCAATAACATTGCTACCTCTGTTGACACTGCCCGCCACAAGAGGTACCTGCAGCAAGCTGCTCAGCTCATCCTGGTCCTGAATGCTCGTCTTGGGGTGCACCAGACCGCCTTGGTTGCTCAGCGCCATGTATGTGCCCACCAACACGTGATCGGCAATGGTTTGCCTGAAAACTTCCACACCGAGGACATCAGCGATGATCTCTTCCGTCTCAGGCTCTAGATCGGGGTGGACGAGGGCTGTGTGGTCGTTGCAGACGATGACGTTGCCGAGGGCCGAGAGACGCTCCTCGATGCGCTGTATGCGGATTTCGTCGGGGAGGGAGTTGCGGAGGTGTTGGAGTTCTTGGTCGGTGGTTGTGGTGGGGACGAGAAGACCTTTTCGGTTACTTTTTTTTCATTGTTAGCTCAGCCGCAGGACAAGAATATGTTGAGAGAGTCGACAACATACCCAGCTGTTAACCGCCCAATGATCCGCGTGCCGGCAATCGTCGTTCTGCAGATGGGAATGACATCCTGGAGCTCGGCCTCGAACACGCTATAGAAGTTTTCGCTGGCACCGACCGCCACGAGGGCGTAAGAGTTTGTGAGGGTGGAAAAGACACCAACTCTGTAAAATAAAACGTTAGCCGTCTGTCGTCCCTCTTTCTGAACAAGTAGTCCGTGTGGCTTGTGAAGTCTGCATGCTGTTGTGCTGTTTCGGTACCCCGCGTTTCCCCTCTTTAGACCCCAATGTCTGAGTATAGGCACCATCCCACTCCCCTCGAGATATTCGAGTCAAAGGCAACAATGCTCTTGAGCTGTCCCATATGAATGCGACCAGACAAAACCCCTATAGCACGCTCTGTCGTCGCCGCGGGGCAGGTTTTCCTCCATGATGAAGATAGCGATAGAGGTGTGGTGGGGTGGGGCAAAAATTGCATCGCAATGCGCATCGCATTTCCATGCAGAACTTACTCGTTGGAGTTCTCAAATTGCGCTCTGACAGCCATGTTTGCTTCCTTTTTCTCTGATTCCTTCTTTTTTTTAAAAAAAAACCTCGGGGTATCGAAAAAGTGCCGGACTTGATACGACAAAAAGAGGCGTTGCGGTGGAAGGCTGGTGGTGAGTTTGCTTGGATTGCTCTGTTGGATGGTGGAAGCAAACAGGGCGGCCGAGAAGAAAATATATCATTCTGGGGTCCTGGTCGGTCAGCCAAGAAACCTAGAAGGAAGTGGGGCCCAACCCAAATAGTGGTCCCGCCTGGTGACTAATAGCTAAACAGACTGTGCTCTCCAGCCAAGGCTTATCTAATCGCAGGGGCGAAAACGCAGAGCAGCATAGTCTTTTTAATCTTCTCTGGTCACTCTCATCATCACAAATCATTTCAGACTTTGCCTTTCATCGCCTTCTGCCAAACCATTCTCGGCTTTGCCTGCACTTATGGTGACTCAAAGGGCTGGGGGTTGGCAAGGCTAAGGCAGATTGTAATGCATACGCCACCCAGTCCCAAGGGCGAGTGACTCAATGCCGCAATTCATCATGAATCACTGGTAAATAGCCTTGATTGGTCCCAAAAGTCTCAAGGATGTTAATCTTAGTAAATGTATGTAGAATGGTACAGGGTTGTGTATGTTTGATGTTGCTAGACACTCCCAAAGGCCAAATGATTGTTTATTCATCTCACTGCATACCCTCATGTCTTATACAGGCTCCTGCTCGCCATGCCACATGAAAAACTTCAAATGCAGAACAAAGTAACTTCATGATGCTGTGATCATGCAGGTCAACACCCCTTCCAATGCTTTTCCTCCAGTCCACCAGAGGTTCCGGTTGTACGCCAATTCGCCGCCAAAATGCATCTACAAGTATATCCCACAGCTCCATGAACCAAACACCGAGATCCCTCTCCCGGTCTTTAGGCAAGCTCCACTGAAGGAAAGTACCTTGGCCCGGCAAATCCTTGGGCAACCACTGCCTCGATATCGATATTGCTCGACCGATCAGACAGGTCCTGTGGAGGACTCCACATCTTGAGGAGTATAAAACGCCCGCTCACTGGCGGATCAAACCGAATGGTGCACTTATTCTTATCCTTTTCGATAAAGAAGTGTGCCAACGGTGCCATGAGCTCGCCACCAACTGCCCGTACCGCCTCTTGCGTTGCGATTTGCGAAGCTTCTTGGGCTTCTTCCAACGTCGTACTGCTGGTACTTTCATGCTGCCGTCCGCCACCGCGAGCGGTATATCGACGCCGAGTCAAGTTATCGAAAGCTCTCCAGTCCGAGGACGGGTTACCCCATGGGTCTCGGTCCTCTTCGCTGCTCTCGCTCTCAAATGGCAGTGACCCTATACGGTTCGGCGTCCTTCTGTTACGTGACCGGAGATGCGGGGGAAGTACACGTCCATCATCATCGTCGTCGCTACCATCGTCGGTACATTCTGTCGTAATGTTGAAGGGTGGTGGCGGTACAGCAAACTCTGGCGGGATTTGGGCTGTTCTATAGTCCTCATCGTCGTCCAAACCAAAGCTGAATTCCCGCACTGGTGGTTGAAGGCGTGTGATGGAACTACCGTCCTCCTCATGACGGACCGAATATACTAGGGTGTTATTTGTCCTTTGTTGCGGGGGGAGATACTGGATCTGATACTGCGCTGTGCGGGTGAGGAGCTCGTCTGACTTCATGGCCACAAATACCATCCCTTCTCTAACCCTGTTCCTGGTGTAAGTATGCGATATGTGGAGAGGATCGATAGAGACATACGGGCATGAGTAGCTTGATCCGGGGGCCTTGATGACAAGCTCGGTAAGGCTGAAAACGGTCCCGCCTGTATGCCTCAGGATGATGTTGCACCGATTGCCTTTGGTGCAGTACACTGAATCGTCATTCTTCAGGATATTTTCCGGCGGGTATTGTAGTGATTCTTGATAGAGCCCCCCGTCACAGCTCACAATCTCCATGGTCAACCTGCCGGGCTCCAACTGTCCATAATGTCCATAATGGAACCCCTTGAACTTTGGACCGACCTTGTCATTGTCCAGCTTTCGCCGCTTGGTGCGACGGGTGTCCTCGGTGTCCTGGCTGTACAATGTGGGCGTCATGCTCGTGGGAGCCAGTGGTGAGATGAGGGTGCCGATATTGGGCAAGTCCAAGAGGGCGCGAAGGTGAGAGTTGGCGTCGGGATGCTCATCGGAGACGACATGCGAAGAAGTATTATTGATGCGGGAATCAAAGTTGGTGGCGCGGAGCAACCGCTCGGGGCGGTAGCGGCTTGATCGTGAGCCTGACCCCGACGCCATGCCAGGTCGAGCTCTCGAGCCAAGAGACCGGAGAGGGGGGAGTGAGGGAGCGCCGGGGACTGCGGGCGGGTCGTTGGTGGTGGGCGGATCACGATTGAATCTTCGTCGCAGATCCCTATCAGCAGAGGACATGCTGGCTTCCGGATGATAACGTCGGTTTTCTACAGCGTCGAGATTCCGGCGGACCCGTTCAATGTTTCGGTTATACCTCGCTATAGCTCTATGAAATTCTCCAGACGTGGTTGTGGTTGTGGTTGGAGCCGTACGACGTCGTTCACCAGGGATCCGCTCTCGTCTGCTGGGCACTCGTGGAAACCACCACGGCCTGGAATCATCCAATGGGTCGTTGCGCTGCGAGGAGTTGCCAGACTGTGGGTTTTGGTCAGAATGAAAATGCATCTGCCCTGAAAGACTCGAACAAGGCTGTTGGGCAGTTTTGGATATGCAGGCTCCCAGGCAATCAAGCAGGCGGCCGGGCGCCCAAACAGAGGGCCAGGAGGGACGAGGGTGATTGGGGGGGTTTATGTCGGAGGCAACACTCACCATGAAAAGCGACAAAGGCACAGGCACTGATGACCGCAGCGAGAAGCGTGATATGACTGTCGCAAAGCACGCTATGAAAACAGCAGCAGTAGAGAGTCAAGGGTCGGCCTTGGTATGAAAACAGCAGAAGAGAGTCGAGCTGGGTTGTTGCAGAGAGAAAAGGAGCAAAAGAGTAAGAGGTTCAATCCGCAGGGTCAAGTGGACACATGAAGCGCAGAAGAAGTGCAGTGGATGCTGTGTGGATGTCAGGAAACGGGCATCTTGGGGCCTTTTTGGTGGGAGGCGACAGCAAAGGGCCCGTTCACTTCTTTAGCTTGTCCAGTTCAAAATGGCGGGGTTTGAGAGAATGAATGGCTAATTGGTAGCATGTACCTGCAACGTCACACTTCTTTGTATGGGCACAAAAGTACTTATTAAACCCGCGTCACGCCAAGCCACACTGGCATCGCAGCCGTGCATCGTCCCCATAAATCCCGGGAACATCGTTAAAACCATCTCTTGACTAGGGATTACGGAAGACGGCAGTACAGACGAGAAACACTTTGCAAATTGGCGACACAGGGAAACAAGAAACAAGAAACAAGAAACAAGAGCAAGATAATCACAAGAAACGGGAGCCCGAGCTTATCAGGAACCCCTTCCCTCCTTCCGTCTCGGTTGGTCCACAAGGCTGCACCGTTTGCCTGGAGTGATCAAACACAACCTGCAGCCACGCGAACTGTCACGTTCAACCTCACACACAGACACACACACCAACACCTCTCTCACTCTCTCAGGAGTGGTCGATCGTCATTCCTTTGGCTTGGAGCTGGCGTTGGGGTTTTTTACTCCAGACTTTCCTTGATCTCTGCGGCTTCTCATTTCGACTCTTCTCTTGCACCATCATTTCCAACCTCAATTATCGACTCGACGAGCTCGAGAAACTCACTTGAGGACTGGCCACGATGGAGGCTCCAACCTCCGAACCAGCCGGCAACCCCAATGGCACTGGGAACACCCAGAATCTCACAGTTCCTGTGATGCAAGAGAACACCAATGGATCTGTTCCAGCACCCACCTCGACCATATCAAATGGCATCAGCGCAGGTAAGTTCTCACCTCTCTCCCATCACATCTTACAGTTACTAACCCCCATCCCAGATGAAATCGCCCTCTACGACCGACAAATCCGCCTCTGGGGTCTCAAAGCCCAAGAATCCATCCGCAACGCCAACATCCTCCTCATAACAATGAAAGCCCTCGCCAACGAAATCGCCAAAAACCTCGTCCTAGCCGGCATCAACTCCCTGACCCTCTGCGACCACTGCCCCGTCCTACCCTCCGACCTCACCTCCCAATTCTTCCTCCCCTCTGACCGCTCCCCAGTCGGCACCAACCGCGCCATCGCCGCTTCAACCAACATTCAACGCCTTAACCCCCGCGTTAGTATTAACATCGACACCCTCGACATCCGCCTCAAACCCCCTTCCTACTTCTCCGCCTTTGACATCATCATCGCCACCGACCTCGACGCTCCCACCCTAAACCTAATCAACACAGCCACCCGCCTCAACAACCGCAAATTCTACGCGGCCGGCTCTCACGGGATGTACGGGTTCTTGTTCTCGGACCTCATCGAGCACAACTTCATCATCTCAAGATCCATCTCCAACGTCCCCACCGTGGTAGGACCGGAATCCCCCACAAGATCAATCATCTCCTCCAGCCCCGACCCCAACGACCCCAAAGTCGAAAACGTCACAAAACGAGAACTCTTTTCAACATGGCTACTGGCTAGTTCCTCCCCCCTCCCAGCGGAAATTCTCAAATCCCCCCGCCGCAAAAAAGTGGTCACCCCTATTTTGTCTTGTCTGCGAGGGCTCTGGGAGTTTGAATCGCAGTTTGGCATTCGGCCCAACCCGAATGATAAGGCGCAACTGGCGCAGTTTACGATTTTGTGCGGGGAGCAGCACAAGGCGCTTGGGCTGCCGGCTGAGACGCTGAGGAGCGAGACGTTGAGGGCGTTTTTGCAGAATATTGGGGGGGAGGTCTCGCCTGTGGCGGCGGTGTTGGGGGGGCAGCTGGCGCAGGATGTGATTAATGTGCTTGGGAGGACGCAGCAGCCGATTCAGAACTTTGTGGTGTTTGATGGGGAGAGGTCGGAGGCGGGGGTGTATGCGTTGCATCCGACCGAGGGGGAGTTGGGGAGGGGGTTGTTGCCTATTAGTGGGGGGCAGCAACAGCAACAGCAGCAGCAGCAGCAGTAGCAGATGCGGAGTGAGGAGGTTATTGATTTGGATTGAGAGGAGGGGGGAAGTGCGGTGTGTTGTTGGAGATGATCTGGTGGGAAGGACATGCTTGGTGATAGTTGCGAAAGTGACAATGGCTGAGATGTTGTGGATCCTTTTCTCGGTTGGCTTGAGATATAGCTGCAGAAGTGATAATAGGTGGATCATCGCGGTGATTTGGAAGTGAGACACGAGTGGATTGGGATGTTTTACATACTTCGGGTGCAAATTCGTTCTTCGGATAACTTTCATACAGACTAGTGTAGGCGGTTGACCTCTATCATTCGCGTGTCACCATGCCTTCGAAAGCAAACAGCAAAATTATCAAGATAATTACCACAGCTTTATTCATCTTTGGCCGTGTCTACATTCTCATTACATAGGTACATCATCCTAATCATTTGCGCCTCATACCAAGCCCAAAATATCAATCCATAAAATCCACCAAGATGCCCCCTTATTTTCATTTTCATATGTTCGTCAAGCATAAGCAGCCCACCCCGAATACAAAACCGCCAAATTCCCCACACTCCCCGCCTTCTCAATCAAATCATTCACCGTCGCCATCACGCTCAACGTCTTGCTCAGCTTCTTCTTGACAACCTCAATCGCCCTATCCGCCTCGCTGGGCTCGTTCACGTTCCCCTTGACCCCCTTCTTCTCCCCCCCCGCCTCCTCGTTCTCCTCATTCTCCCCATCATCCTCCTCCCTCGCATTCTGCTGCAGCTTGGCCATCCTCACCGGGCTAATGCTCCACTGATACAACGTGTCGAACCTCAGCGAGTCCAAAACAGTCTGTATACTCCCCGCCTCCTCCCTCAGCGCATCAAGCGTAAACTCGCAGCACCTCCTAAACACACCCTCGGTCTTGGTGATTCCCATCCCGTCGACAATGTCCCTCGTCAACCTAAACGGCACCAGTTCCGGGACTGGCAGGACTCTTCCCATTTCAAACGCCACGCCCAGATCAATGTGGACTACCTCGCCAGTCTTGGTGTCGAGGAGGATGTTGTGCCCATGTCTGTCACCCAACCCCAACACATGGCCCAGCATGGAAATCGCCGCCGTGGTTCTCGTATAGGCGGTGCGCTTGTGGAACCACTCGTCAGGGTCGGGGAAATACTCGATAAAAAAGTACCTCATCACCGGGTGGAACTTCTCCGTGACCCTGCGGTAAACCGCAATCCTGTGCTCAGTAGTCTTTGTCTGCGCCGTCGAGATCTCCTTCCTGCATTGCGACCCCTTGAGGTCCTTGGGGTAGTACTTCTCGTGAGCGGGCATGAGATACTCATGCAGAGGTATAGTATTCGAGACAAACTCAATCAACCCCGAACTGGACGTCAGCGGCAAAACCTTGTACGTCCTGATGCCGAGGTTTCGTTGGCGGGTGGTACGATGAAGTTTAAGCAACTCCGACACGGCAGCAAAAACCTGCTCCATGATAGCATCCTGACGCAAGTCATCATTACCCCCCTTGACCAATTGTTTATACCGTCTCCCATCCGACCCAATCGCCGTCAGAATCTTTGGCGCGCTCACACCAGAAGCAATAGTCATATAAGGATCAAACTTGACAATCATCGGGATATGGCTGTAATCACACGTAGGCGACAGCTCCATCTGCATGGTCGGCGGCGGAATCTTATACTTTGACAACGTCGTGAGGAAGCTGGGCCCATGCTGAGAGTCCTTGATGGCAATTTTGGAACCTTGCTTGAACCTGTTCGTGTCCCGATCCATGGCGAGCATATGGTACACCCTGCTTGTCTGGTCAATCGCCGGCCAGATGGCAGACACCGCCTCGGCCCTGGTAAGTGCCTTAGCAACTCTATCCGTCGCCTTTTGCCGGGAAACCGCAACATCGTCGTCCTTATTGACCTTTGTCCTCGCCCCAGACCAGATCTGATACATCCCGTGATAGGGATGATCAACACAGATCCGATAAATGAGATCAATAAGCACATTCTGGAAGAGAGTCTTCTGATCCTGTACCCGAGACGAAAGCTGGTTCATCAACGGCGCAAACTTTCGAGTCGGGACCTTGCCAATGTACCTCTTGACCGCCTCATTGGTAGCATCCTCCTCCGACCTCTCCAGCCAAAGAGCCGTGAACCGCAGCGCATCGTTGTTATGCTCATCCGAAGCGGCCAAAGATAGCAGATAGTTCTCCAAACTGAGCTTCACAAACTCAGTCCTCGACTGCTCAACCCTTCTCAACTCCTGCTGATCCAAATCGAGCCACTGCCGAGCCTTCGCCAAGTGACTCGAGTACCTGCTCTTCGTCTGCGAGTCCCTCGAGCTTGAAATCAACTGCTTCAGCTGCTCAACCTCATCACTCTTGCCCTTTTTGAGGTTCTGCAGCCGTGCCAAATCCTCCAAACTATCCGGGTTCTGGAGCTGCTCATCACAAAACATGGCAAACTGGTGAAACACCTGTCCAGCCTCCTTGCCTTCATTCTTGCCCCTGAGCTCCTTCAGCGCCGGCTCAAGATACTTCTTCTGTGTGCTATCCGGGCTCTCCAGCCTAGCAACCGAGACCTGAAACCCAATCTTGGCCAACAAATCCGATCGACTGACAGGAATCGTCTGCTTCTTCAACGACGAGTCCTTGTCAATAGCTTGCAGCATCCTAATGGAAGAAATCATCTCCCCCTGATCCCACAGTGAATTCGCCGCCTCCATCCGAATAGCTGCATCCACATTGAGCCCCATAGCCTCGCTTGGCTGGATCAGATCGGTGAGTGTGGTTGACAAATTCAACGTCTCTTGGTGCTGTCGGTGGAAACGGAAGATATCAGACGACAGCAGCAGTCCTTTAATCTGAGCAAACCGGGCATCTGCTGGTGGGATAGTTGCCGCTCTCAGTTTGTGATGCTGGCTCCACATACTCAATGTCGTCTCCCGACAAGACAGGATCTGACTGACATCCTCATACCGTCCGCTCATCATCCACTTCGACCTCGTCTCAAACATCTGAAGTCCCCTCTTCATCTCAGCCGGGTCAGTGATACTGAGAGCATCATCTAGTTCCGCCAAAGCAGCCAGCACACCCAGCTGGTGCCTCATGCTCGTCGTATTGAGACTCTTGCTGGTCAAGTGCTTGATGGTCCCCCGAAGCCCATCATGAATAACACCCCTGACAGCCTCAATATCCGAAGCCTGGTGCATACTCTGATACGCTCTATACACCGTCACCGCCCAATTATCATTTGTCGCCGGCGCCGGCAAATTCCAGATTTCCAGCCTCCTCGCCGTCGTAAAAGTGCTATCCAGCGAGTTAGAAGACTCATCCAGACTCTGCTGCGTCTGCAACAACGAGTTCGACAACCCGGCCAGACCCAAACTACTCAACGCCTTGATAAGCGCCTGCCCATCCTGTTTCGAGGCAGCATCTCGACTCCTCAAATGACTGTCATACTGCGCCCCCCTGAAAGCAAGACTCTTCCCACCATCATTCTCATACTCCAACCTGGCCAACACCGTACTCAGCGAAGCATCCTGTGCCAGCCCGTAGTACGCATCCGGATCATCAATATTCTCAAAGATATCCAACAAAATTTCGCTCGAATCCTCCACCTCCCTAATCGCCGATGACCTCCTCGACGCCCTCGACTCCTCGCTCGAAGCCAGTTCCGCAAACAGCAACGCAACCTTGAACATTCCACACCTCGTCGCAGCAGCAGCCGCACTCGTCAGATTAACCTCCAACCAATGCCCCCGATCTGCAATGGAAGCCTCCCCGGCAAGTGGCTGCGTCCTCAGGTACAGAATCGTGTTGAGCAACAACTTCACATTCTCCCTCGCCCCCTCCTCCTCGTTCTTCAACCATTCCTTCATCACCTCCGAAAGCTGCCTCTTCACCCCCTGCTGTTTATCCAGCTGATAGCTCAGCACCAAGTGCACCACAAACGGAAAAGCCTGCTCCGCAAACCCCTTGACTTTGGTCAATATCGGGGGCAGCACTCTCAGCGTAACATCATCCGGCACCGCCTGCGCCAACAACGTCGTCAACTTTCTCGCCCAGTCCGCCTCTCCCAACTTCGCCCCACTAAACACCTCCTGCTCCCTTACCTTCTCCACCTTGACCAGATCCGACTGCGGCGTCCGGAACGGCTCCCAATCCAAACTATCCGCCAGAGCTTTACTCAAACTCCGCTGGCAAGCTGCCACAAGCTCCTGGAAGTTATCAGCAGCCGCGTCACTGAACACAGTCCTCAGCGCTGCCTCCGCCAGCCCAGCAGTCAAACAATCCCCGCTGACAGTCAACTGCTCCATCAGATTCAGCAACCCCTCCTCTGAACTCCCTAGTTCTTTCCCACCCGCTTTACAACTCAACGTCTTGTACTCCTCCAGTCTGCTCTCCTTCAACAGCCCCCCAGGAACTTCCCCACTAGCGGCAACCCACGCCCAATCACCCTCCCCGCCCAGGCCAAGTACTCGCCACTCAACCCCATCCCTCCCTCCTCCATACAACTCTTCCAAACCACCCCCTTATACTTGACAGCCTCCTCATCCTCCCCAATAACATCCAACCCCCTCTCCTTCGGCGCAGGCCCAAACTGCCCACACAGCATCCTCAAGGCAACACCACGAGCAGGTTCATTTAGCAGCTCATCACCCTCGCTATCAGCCCTGTCCCAATCTTTGAGGATCTCCATGAGCAAGTTACTCTCATTCGTTCCCCTCTCTGCGTTGCCCATGACTCTGATCTCCGCTGCCGACTGAGTGATCGCCCTGAAAGCTTTAAGATGCTCAGGGTTCTCCTTTAGAATCTTGCTCTCATACCCCTTGAGATACTTCCCAAACCAATCATGAAACACCTGGGCTTTCGACTTTGTGGCTCGGAACTGGGACTCCTGAGTTGTGCTCGACTGGGAGGATTCCAAAAATACCCTCAGGTCGGCCAGGGACGAGAGCGCATAGCCCGCGAAGAAGGATGGGGTTTTGCTGAGGTGGTCAGAGCCTTTGATGATGAGGTACTGCGTGATGCCCAGCGCATCGTCTGCGCACTCGGGGTCGACGACGAAGGCCCGGATGGAGTGCAGGAGCATCTCCAACGGGTAGGCGGTAAGTGCTGTAGGACCAGCAAGGCAGATCAACACTCTGATCTTGCGCAGAACCGAGCAGGCGTGAAGAGGGCCAAGGGCCGGGTGAATGGTGTTGAGGAGCTTCCGAGCAATAAACACCACCAACGCCGGCGTCCAAATCTGATCCAACTCATACGGCGTTCTGCTCAAAAGGTGAAGCATCTCAATGGGGAGATACTTCGCCCTAAAGCACGGTTGCTGATTCGGCGGAAGCTTCGTAGGCAAATGGCCATACTCCTTGATCATCTCAACAATATCCGCCGCATACCCAAGCCCTTCATTCCGTCTAAACGCCTTCTCGACCGGATCCTCCTGGTCGAAGGTCTCAAAAAACGTTGCAATAATGTCGGCAAAATTGAGGTGAATCTGCTCCAGAAACCCTTCCTTAATAAGAATCTTGATCAGCCTCTTCTCCCCCGTGATCTGCCCTTCCTCCCTCTGCACACTGACATCGTGCGCGATGCAATACGCAATGATCTTTGTAAAGTTCCTTTTGACCAGCTCCTGCAGCGTCAACCCCAGCATCTTGGCCAACTCCAACGCCTCAGTCTCCTGCCCCCTCATAATCATAATCGCCGCCGCCTCCGTCTGCCCCTCCGCCAGCAAATCCTGCAGGCTCTTGAACCCAAAGATCTCAAACGGGATATCCTCAATCGAGTTCTCATCCAACCACGTGTAAAGCAGCTGCGGCGCAAACAGCCGAAACAGCTCCTCCGGCCCGCTCAACTTCAACTCCTTCGATATCCTCCTCAAACACCACCCCGCATACCTCACACTCCTCACAATCTTCCCCGGCGTCTCAAAGATGTGATAAATACACCTCCTCAACAGCGTCGGCCACCTACACGCCAATTCCGCCAACACAAACAACCTATACGCGATCCGCTCCTCCATCGACGGATCGGTAGGCAAGCTGTCCAGCACATCCAGGAAAATGTCATCGTGCGTCTTAAGCACATACAACCCAAACACCCCCGGCAACCCCTTCCCAATCTCATACTTCACCTCCATCCCCCCCTCCTGACACACCCCCAACAACGTGCTCCTCGCGCTCGGCAACCCCAGATCCCCCGCATACCCCGACCTCACCTCCAGTATATGAAAAAGCAGCCCACTAAACACCCCCTGCACAACCGGACTCATCGAGTTGTTCGGCAGCGAGCTCTTGACAAGGTAATGATACAGATCCCCCACCATCCGCCCAATCGCCTCCTCTAACTTCTGATCCGTCCAAAAGTAAATAAACCCATCCATCACATCAATGCACGTGCAAAGCGCCACCTCACAGCACGAAAACTCATCCTCCGAAATAATTCCCCCAACCGTCTCAAACACCCTCACCACAGTCTTCAACCTCGCCATCCACCCACAAGAAAACAACTCCTTCATAAACACCCGACAAGTCAACAGCTGCTCCTTTTCCAAACTCAGCAGTTGCTCCATCATCGGTTCAGGTACATGCCCCAGTTCCCCCTCATCCTGCCTGATAATCTCCAGGTAATGCACCCTCAGCGTCGTCTCGAGATAAAACGCCTCAGGGGTCCAACACAAAAGACTATCCCTCCTCGCCAACGTCTTCCCCTTTGACACAGCCGAACTCTGGCTCGTCTGGGACTCAAACTCGTCGTCAATGTCCATAGCATCCATGCTCCGTCCAAAGGCCTCCTTTTGAGCCTTTTCCTGAAGAGCAATCGACAGCTTCGAGTACAGCTTCAACAAGTGAGACTGTTCCTTCCTGAGCGCTGCCACCTGGCTTTCCACAAAGGGCGGGATAAACGGGACCACCGTCGTCAACACCAGTTCAAAGAACTCATCGATTTGAGGAGCCGCGAGAATGACTCGGAAGGCGCCGTCAATGACCTCAAAAAGTGTCGACTCCAAATCTTTGGACATGGAAGAGTTGAGATTGACTAGTTCTGGAAGGAGGGTGGCGCCAACAAGACAAGCAAGCATCATGCTCTGCAACCGATCCGCAGATATCGCAACTGGCGCAACACCATCCGGCCCGCGCTTCTGCCACGACTCGGTGATCTGGTGAAGTTCTTCCAGTTTAGGATACAGTAGCTCGAGGATAAGGCGCTTTGCGGTGTGCGACCCAGTTGGGTCGACCGTCTGTTCTTGCTGTTCCTCTGGCAGGATAACATCCTCGGGTTCAGCCATGAGTGTCGTTGCTGATGTTGTTTCGTCCTCAAGAAGCAGCAGATACCGCATCAGCGGATAGGCTTGACTTTGCTTCTTCCAGAACTGTACAATCGCTCCCCCAAAGAGCCGGAGAGGAGCACCCATCTTCAAAGCTGGCATCCCAAAGCAGCCTCTCAGGAGGTTGGTCAGATCAAACGGAGCCGTATGTACCGAATGAAGTGAGGCATAGGTCAGTTCAGCTGGATTCCACTTGACAAAAACCCACCGGATGACATGGCTGGTCGTAGCTTGGCTGGCATTGGGTGACATGGTATTGCGTAGACGCAGGAGGCTCAGCATCAACTTGAGAGAAGAGTCAACCAGGATCGCAGGGCCGCTGATATCGGCGGTTATGATCATGTGGTTCACATCACCGGCCAACTCATGTCTTGGGATCAGGGACGCTTTGATCACGGAGTCCAAGAAGACCGAGGCAGCACGTGTGGTTGGTGCCAGGCTGACAGACCGCACACCAAGCTGCCACAACTGCTTCCAGGTTTGAGACAGGGAGGCATCTCGACAAACTTCATGGGAGGTGAGGCTGGAGCATGCGATCATCGCCCACGATGCCACGACACCTTGCTTCGCCGTGACACATTTCGACAAGTCTGTGATGGCCTCTGTGGCTTCTTCGATAGTAAGCAGCTTCTGGCGGCTCAGAAAAGGCACGAGTTGTAATGCTGTCAGCTGCACTGCAGGATCCCGAGAATTGAGTTTCTGATGGAGCCTGTTTGGCGTGTTAACCATTCGACGTCTCTTGCGAGGCTGGTCATTCTCGGGCTCTTGCTGCGAAAATGGCTTGTTTGAGCTGCGGGCGTAGATGGCCTCTAGGGTGGCGAGATTCTGCAAAAGCGCCCAATTTTGCTCGCCTCCTGTATTGTACGGACGAAGGCTGAAGACGCCAGTGGTTGGATGATCGGATGGGAGGAGCATTCCAGTAAAAGTGATATCATCAAGCTGGAGCCTTGCGCGTTCTTCTCTCCTCGAGTAGTCCGACCAAAGAGCATCCATAAGTTCTTCCACATCTTGAAGAAAAGACTCGTCTGTCGACTCCCGAAGTATGCTCTCCAGATAAAGATGAGAAGCATAGATGGTCTTGAGCATCTCATCGCGAATACTATTCAGCATTGCGTCCCGGGATAAGGCTCGCGGCTGCCACCAATGAGAGAGCAAAGGGGTCAGAGTCATGACAAGCCTCTTTGAAAGAGCGATGTCGTCGGTCTGGGTGCGAGTAAAGATTCTGTTGAGGGCAGAAAAGGCCACTTTGTGCAGCTCCCCTATTTTCATCTGGCGAAGTTGCAGAATCTGAAGAATGATTCGGGATATTTCCCCTGCCCGTCGTAGTACCGGTGCATTTGGTGCAGCCACCAGATAATTCAAGCATGACAAAAAGTCTAGAGCGACCTGACTACCAATCTGGTTTCCGCCCTGGGATGAAAGCCCGACGGATGATGCTCTCAGAGTTGGCGCCGGGGAGGCGCGAGAGCCGCTATCATTTCCACCTACCTCGAGATAGCGAGAGAGAGCTTCGACACAAAAGTCGACACAAGCATCCCAGCTCTCACCTGAAAAGGCGGAGAGATTTTCGACATTGGCCGAGTTCTGAAGGAATGTGCACAAAGCCTTGGCATAATCTTTGAGCAGAGGTGCGATGTAGGTATCATCGGGTCCCTGGAGCACCTGTGTGATGTGGTCGATGATGGCTCTGGCTGTTTTGCGCTTGATCCGTGAAGCTCCATGGCGGACAGCCAGCCTGAGGACCTCGGCGCACTTTTCGAGTCTGGCATTGGCAGTAGCACTGGCTCTGGCTGATTTCTTGGAAGTGAAGTAGCTTGCCTTTTCCAAGACTGTGCATCGGAAGAGGGCTTCGTAGATGGAGTGGTATGACTTGTCATCAAAGGGATTACTAGTTTTGTATTAGTTGTGGTATGCTGTGGATTGAGGTATGGGACCTACACTTTCTGACTCTGAAGGCCCCCTTTCTCTGCCGTCTTGAAAAACTCCAACAAACCTATGTCAGGGTAATCAGTATACATAAACATAAATGCAGGACAGAGCGAGAGAGGCATACTGTCAAGAGCTTCTTTGCGCTGCGTGGCTGTTGAATGGACTAGCTGGGCTGCATTTCAATGGTCAGCATGTGTATTGTTTACTTTCATCAGCCTTGTCTCTGCAACCATGTAACACTTACCGGCAAGCGCCTTGAAGTTGAGAGGCTCATTGCTGTAACCCTTTCCACGTGCCATTGCGTCTTTTGTCCCAGCTGACCGTACCACATCGAATTAAGACCAGGATTGGCTCAGATCTGACCCAGGACAGGACGAAAGTGGATTGTGGTCAGGATTGGACCCGAGAGTCCAGTTCCCAGCGAGTTCAGAGTCTGAAATACAACACACAAGTTCTGTTGTGGTGGCCGAGTGTGTGTTATCTGTGAGATCTGATGTTCAAATGGAAGGAGGAGAGATAACGGTAGGTGTTGATAACTTGGGTTTATGAGAAGTGAGAATTAAAAATTGAGATGATGGGAGAAGAAAGTGCAGCCCATTTGTGCTGCAGCGGATGGGAGAAACGCCAAAGTCTTCAGTTTTAAAAGGCTTCCACGTTGTTTGTCCGTTGGTATTTTGTGGTGGGAAAGGAAATGTGTTTTATGGGCAGCTCTTTCATTTATGAAGGGAAAGATAGAGTTTGACACTTGAGGGCAGCTCTTGCCTGTTTGTGGACAGAAAATAGACGGGCAACGGCAGTCGCATCCCAAAACATTGGAAGGCTCTCTCTATCGCACCTGCTGCTGGAGGAGTGATGCAGGAAGCTATGACCACTTCCTTCCCCAAGTTGATGACCCCTGAGGATCCACTGGGTGCCGATGAGATCCACAGGGCGCTGGCAGAATGGCTCACCGCCTAATTGTTTTGTTGACCAGCGCATCTTGGCGCCTGTCCAAATCCGCGGCAGGCAAGAGCGCGCGGGACAAGGACAAGCTGCAAAGCTCACGGTTTAGTTTGGCCGCGACTCTTTTTCCAAAAGCGCTTCCAAAAACAGAAACATTAACAAACCCCCATCTCGACGAATTAGGAGGAATTGTGTCGATACCAACCTCACTGATAACAGCATCGTAGGGGGCCTCTTTTAACTAATACCAACCATTCCACACTGCGACCGCAACTACGAACGAGCGAGTCCATCGACAAAGGCTTGCCTGCGATGTACGGATACTGATACGATTTTACTCAATTCCCAAGCCAGCCAGCAACCTTCCTTACCATCCACCACTTTTCTCTTCACAACGCGCCTCATTTGAGCCAGGCATGGCTGAGTTTCGCGTTCTCGAGGGGCTACAGGCCCTCCACTCGGAGCTGGTTGCTGTTCGCCAACACCGTTTTGACAACATCTCAGTCCTAGAGAACCTGATCGAGCTGCATTCCGACAATTTGAAGGCGCTGGTTGACAAGACACCACGAAACTCTACCCATAGAAACGACATCACCAACAAAAAGGTAATCAAGACCAAGGACGGCGAATTCAAGGTCAACGATGACTTCATCTTCGAGACTCTCAAGGTCGCCGACGAGTTGGATCTGGATGAGTACGAGGCTGGAAGGATTATTCTGGATTGCCAGGACGAGGACGACTCGGAAATACAGTCACGCCCGCTATGGGAATGCGGTCTCATCCGCTTCCACCAAGAGCGAAAATACCTACTCGACTGCATGCGGCTCTGCATCGAATTAGCAAACGACGAGGAAATGGACGACAATTTGAAGGATGCCTTTGGGAAAATTCTGGAGGAAAAGATCTTCGTCAAGGGCTCAAGCAAAAAGATTGTCGCGAGATGTATGGAGGCTATGCAAACCATCAAGGCTATGTTGCAGAGCATCAACGAGAGGGTGGCGTCCCGGTACATGCTAGAACAAGCCAGTCTCGCCCGGCCCCCAGAGGCTGCCGACACGATTGAGTTCTCCCGCATGAGCCTCGTGGAGCAGCATGAGTGTCTTGCCATGATACTGCACGCTGCCGTGGAAAAGCAGTACGCCGATATCAACGACTTCAAGCAGTTTTTGGGGACGCTAAAGAAGATCGATAAGTACGATCAATTTCTCGGTGAGCCTTACCCCCCTGTCCGGATTTGTTCATGACAAATACTAATCTGAGGGCGCCAGTTCATCTATTCCCTGTTTTGGCCGCCTACATCAACGTGTTTGGCTCACCAGATGGCATGTGTGACTTCCAGCAGTCTCGCCAGTTGGACCAAGAGATCTTGAAAACTGGAGATGGTGACAGCTGGGCTATTTCGTATCTGGGAGCGGCCACGCGGGTCTGGTGGATTGCCGAGTACACTGGATACTTCCAAGTCGATAACGAATTCGATCTTGGTGGGTTGGATCTGGACGTCGAGTTTGACAAGAGAACAAAGGCATTTACAGAGGCCCTCAAGGAGGGGGCATTCGACTTTATCCTTTCTGTGGCGGCCGATTGCAAGACGGAGGAGTGGCAAGATCCATCACGCATGGGAATGCGGCAGTGGTTGCAACGGAAGTCACCTCCTCTCCAAGGTGATTTCTACTACTTCAGCCATTTCCTCCAGCTCAGCCTGATGGCCCACCTGGAGGTGTTTATCGACTCTGTCATCACAAACCTACCCGAGCTCGTCAGGACATTAAAAACAGAGGAGGATGAGCAGCGCCAGCTGAGCCAAACCCACGAGCAAGACCTCGACCTCGAGCGGTTCGTGGTCATCATCTCGTATGCGTACGAGGACAGGCCAGATGCCGCCATGACCTTCTTCGAGGACCCAGATAGTGCTCTGTATGGTTTCCTACAATGGGCGTCCACAAAAGCATCAACGCCCCTGGTTAGTGCGTTTTGCGAGATGCTACAGGCTCTGGCCTGCAACGAGGAGACTGCAACGGCTGCTCATACATTTTTGCTCGACGAGGGGCACCAGTCTTCTGGCAAAATGAGGCGATCCCAATCGCTGACCTGGAACCAAATCTTTAGGGAATTAGAGTTCTTTGCCAAGAAACTGAGCGAGAGGCCCAACCCAGCGCAAATGCAGATCCAGCGTCCAGGCAAACCGGGCACCGATCAGGGAGAGGCCGAGCCTGAATCGGCCATGATGCTGGAGTGCTATGTTCGGTTGATTGGCAAGCTCACAGCGGAGAGCAGCACCTGCAGAACCAGGTTGGCAACGACACAGGAACTCACGTTTCCCGAGATTCTGTTCAGGTTGGCAAATGCGAACGTCACTCCCCGGCTTCGCGCCGCTGTCTTTTACAGCTTAAGATCACTGTTGGTGATGAAGTCGGTTTCCGAAAGTAACATAATATGGACTCTTGTGGACAACTTCACTATGGGAGCTCTGGACCCCAACAACCCGGCGACTGCTCAACAACAGCGAAGTCCTACATATCAGTCGACGTACGAAGAACTGCAGGAACGCGCTTTCAACGATTTATCCACTGGCTTTGAAGAGCCAAACGCATTCATCCAGCTTCTTACGTCGTTGGTCACGCCCTACACAGTCTCCGATGGGCTCAACGACACCTTGCCGTTCCCCGAGTTTCTCGGTGTGAACAAGCGAAGACCCGGGATAGAGATCTATGTTGACTTTGTGTTCTTGATGTTCACCATGAAGCCGAGGGAAATAGTAGACCAAGGCCAACTGAGAATGCTGCGTCTCTCCTGCCTAGAATTCATTCTGGCATGCTTGCAAACCTTCAACGAAGACCTGATCGTCCTGGGCAACGAGACAAACATCGAGATTGACAAGGCTGTGAAAACGACCAGTCTCGCGGTTTATGTTCGCCTTCATCCTTTTGCTCGCGTTATGGAATGGATGTATAGCGAAAAGGCCATCACTGCCCTGATGGATACCATTCATCAGGACCAGTATGCCCTCAGCCGGGCTTCACCTCACTCGCCCTTGATCCAGAGTATCTTACGTGGGATCCAGGTGCTGATCAAGGTTCTCGACCTTCAGGCGACCTTTATTCACTTGGTGCGGCCTGTGATTCAATCCGAGGCCGGGAAGCGGAGGCCGCTTACTCTGGCCAAGAGCACGTATACGTCCATTGAGGATGGAATTCTCAACCATCTGACACTGCTGGTTGATCTGGGCAAGTATTGCAACCTCGGGGTCAGCGAACTCACTCTTTCCTGTCTCAAGCTGCTAGAGAAGGTTTCAACTTCCAGCAAGCTTATTTCGGCATGGAATCCCGACACCCATCGCCCAGGACACCGGAACAAGGCCATTGTCCAGCTTGAGAAGGATGGCGAGGGCGAGGTCATCGGAACATCACTTGCTGCTAGCATCAACGCGGTGATCGATCCGGCGCTCGAGACAGAGTCGGAAGAATACCTGATCAAACTCTTCATTCTCGACTTTTTATACGAGACCCTCAGGGCATCACCCGACCAGCCCACGATTGCGCATTTGCTTCTCGGTTTCAACTGCGAGCTGCGGGGGTTGAGCGTTGCGCCCAACGGGGTGTTTGACAACCAGAGATCCCTCTTCCACAGCCTGTTGGGTGTGGTCATCGAACTGGTGGTGAATGAGGGTGATCGAGGAATGCGCGGATACTTGATTACGCTCAAGTACAAGATTCTCCGCATCTTCCAGCTGCTGTGGAAGTCGCCGCTTTCGTCGACTTTGGTGATGGAAGAGTTGAGGTCAACCAACTTTCTGTTCCACATGCTTCTGAGAGAGTCACAAATCGTGCCGGGGCTGCCGTGGAACGATATGACGCTGGATGACAATTCGTTCCTCCTGTCGACGGCGTCGGTTGCGTATATCGACTACCTCGGTTCGAGGGCCATTGTCTTTGAGTATATTGCCAAGGAGCTGTGCAGCGTTTCGCAGAACAGGATACCGTCGATCAAGCGTCAGATTTTTGATGCTCTCAATGGGCAGATCACGCTGGAGAACCAGGAGACGTTGGCGGCGCACAATATTTTTGACTTTTTTGATTTCATGAATGTTGATATCTCGTGGGAGGTTGCGCCGCCGCAGTTTCATTTCTACCATGAGCTCGACCTGAGCCCGTGTGTGATCGACGCTGGGGGGGCGGGGATACAGTACAATCTCTCCAGAGTGAAGGAGTGCATTCAGCTCAAGCGTAGGTGATACCGGGACACGCTGGCCATGGTGCCTCAGGAGGGCATGGATGAGATCCAAGCGGAGGAGCAGGTGCTGCTGGAGTATCTCCTGTTCAACAACCGCCGGGTTTTGGTTCGGGCTGTCAGGCTTGAGCTGCTGAAGAAGTGGTCGGATCTGTTGCTGGTCATGTTCGAGGCCAATGAGTTCAGGGGCACGGTCAAGACGACGTTCTTGCTGCAGGCGCTGCAGGCTATTCTGCCGACGTTGGAGTCGTTGAACACGGACAATCCTCCCGAGGCGTTTGAGCTGGCAAAGGTGGCCAAGATCCTTCTTTACAAGCTTGACTTTTCGGATAATACCGGCGGTGCGCCTGGGTTGGAGACGGATAAGATTGCCATGGGGAATCTGGTCAGCGAGAAGCTGTTTCAGCTTTTCCAGGTATGTCTGGCGTCTATTGTCAAATGGAACCAGTTTGCCGAGCTGCGCGGGTTATACTACAGTATCTGTTACCGCTACCTTACTGGGGTGGTGGACAACGACGGCGGCGACACGCGCAGCTCGAGCCTCCTCACGGCGAGGATCAGAACCCACAAGGCCATCCAGAACCACGGGGAGAAGCTCCTTCACGTCATCTGCGATGATGCTTATGGGTCTGACACGCTCTGCCAGACCGCTGCCATGGTCCTTTTATCAGCTCTAGTCCACATATCCCGCTCCTCGCCGCACACCAACCCAACATCCATTTCCGTCATTGAGTCCCTCAACAGGCTCAACTTCATCGGCGTCTTGGTCGACTCGCTGAAAACAATCCTGCGAGAATGGCTCGCGATTATCAACCCCCCTTCTCCTCTCCCCGCCTCAACAGCAGAAGCGACGGAGCAGTACCTCACCGCCAAACTCTGCTTCCTCCTCCAGCTCGCCCAGACAAAAACAGGGGCGATGTACATCCTCCAAGCCAACCTCTTCCGCGCGTTGGAAATCTCGGGGGTGTTTGCCGCCGACCCAGAGCTGGAGATCAACCCGTCCAACACTGTCGCGTTGGAAAAACACTACTTTTTGCTTGTGTCGCTGGCTAGGATTATTACTGCTAGTGTGCTGTCGAGGGGGCAGGGGAATATTGTCCAGGCGAGGGGGTTTTTGCAGAGGCACAGGATGTTGGTTGTGCACACGCTCAAGAGGGCGGCGGGGATTGGGATTGTGGGGAATGGGATGTGGGGAGGAGGGGAGGAACAACAGCAGGAGAGGTCAATTAGTGATGGGTTCTCTTTTGGGCCGACCGTGAGCCCCGTTGATTCCATACTGGGCGGTGGGAAGAAGGGGCCCCTTAATAACAACAACAACAACAACAACAACAACAATAACAACAAGGAGGCGCAGAGGAGGTTGGAGGAGAGGATTGGGGAGTTGGGGGAGAGCTTGATGGTTTTGATTGGGGGGGTGGGGGTTTTGGAGGTGAGTTTTTCCCCCCCCAAACTATGTGACAACAACAACGGGATACTAATGAAGATGATAATAGTACGAGCTGGATCAGCTGCCGGCTGAGAGGGCTAGTGTTGTGAATACGACACTGTTCCATTGAATGGGACCGTGAGGGGTTGTCAATGAGCAAGAAAAGATATCGAGTAAGATGGGGAGACTGGCGGCGGCCATGGAGGAGAAAAGGGAGGTGGTAATATGGAAGTGGGTGTTTCCATAGACAGCTGTGAGCCGAATGTATCTCGAATGGAGTAGAAAGAAGTGTCTGAGTTGGGTAGGACTGTCGTCGGGTAGAGGAGGTAAAAAGAATGGCGTTTGATGGGATTCACGGTATCAAATATTTTTTTCCCATTCCCATGTACCATTGACCAAACACCACCACCCTCTATAAACACCAATCTCTCTCTCCTTCCCATATCCTTTATATATCCCACCATCAACCCCCAAATCACAAAAAGACCCAAAGACCACCCCCATATTTCACCATAAAAGAAAAGAAAAGAAAGAAAGGGGTATATTTCATGAAAAACTCCCACGCCTGCTCCCATTTCATGTGCCTGACAACACAAAACCCTTTAGCGCCTAGTTCGTTTCCCCATGTCCCATGACCCTGACCCATATGTAAATACCTGATAAAGTCGCGCTTTCCTGCCTTCAAAACTTGAGGAGGGGGAGGTGGGGGCTCTTGCTATATACAGCCCATCCATTTCCCCCAAGTGAATCCATTCATATCTGCACAGATTCAGACACGCTCATCTCATTGCCGCTGCCCCCCTGTGAAAAAACAAAGCTTTCAGCCGAAATCGCCCTTTGTTCCAAGGGCAAAAACTCAGTGCTCGCCGGTATTTCTACCAGCAGCAGCAGCCACCGCCGCCTTCTTCCCCAAACTCTTCTTCGTCATCAGCTTAATCTCCAGAGGATAATACCCCTTGCTCTTAGGCCCAAACTTCCCGCTCGCATTCTTGTTCTCGATTTTCTGCCTGCAAATCGGGCAGATCCGCTTATGGGGTGTTATTTGCAGGGCTGAATGTAGGCACTCGCTGCAAAAGAGATGACCTGAACAAAATAATCCATTAGCATTGCCTCCCATTAAAAATTCACCCGAGTTGGAAAAAAAGACTTACCGCAATAGGTGACCGTCAAATCCGTGACACCATCCATGCAAATGACACACTGAAACTGCGACAGCTTGACCCAATTCTTCTTCCTGTCCTCCTCCTTCTCCTTCTCGTCCGACGTCAGGTCAGCCACGTCCTTGTCCACCAAGTCAACAACCTCTGGGTCGTTGTCTCCAAACAGATCATCGTCATCGATCTCAAACGCCTCGCGTTTGCGCTTTGTGCCGGACCCTGCCGCAGATATCGAGCCATTGCTCGCTCTCCTCGGCGTTGCTTGCGGTGCTGTCCGAGCCTGGCTCAGCTGTGACTTTGATGAGTTTGCTTGTGACTGATTGGCGGCAGCGGCGCCGGAAGAGGATGAGGAGGCACCCGAGACGCGAGGGACATGAGGTAGCGTGAGGCGGTCAGCTTGCCCAGAGCGACGACGCACTGGTCGCGATGACGCTGGCATGGTGTAGGCCGAGTCGGAATCGCTGGATTCTTCGTTGGTGTTCGAGGTTGGCGTGGATCTTGTCGAAGGTGGCGGGGGGGCTCTCAGGCCAGTGGGTGGCGCTGGAGGGGGAAGAATCCTGTGGAGTGTCTGGCTGAATGCGTTGTTGGTGCCGGGATTATTGCTCCTCGTGGCCGACCTTTGTGGAGTAGCAGAGGTGGAAGGGAGCGATGGGCTGGAAAAATCACGAGAGAGTTGGTCGAGGTAAAAGCGGTCGCTGTCTGATTCGAGAGAAGGGGTGGAAAAGTCGGGGGTGAGTTGGTTCAGATAGAAGTCGTCGCTGTTTGGTTCGCGCTGGTGCACAGGTGGGGTTGGGGTGATTGTTCTCGGGGTATTCACGGTATTGTGGAGTGAATTAGCGGGACGAGATGAAGAAGGGAGGAATTGGGAGGGGTTGTTGACAGTGGTGCGCCGTGGCTGTGGCAGATTCGCAGGACCGGATTGGGCTGAGGCTGAGGGTGAGGTTGAGCCGATTGTTGTTGATGGTTGATGAAAGAAGGGCCCAGGGAGAGAAGTGGTAACCGGAGCCGTTGACGGCATCGGCGTCGGAGGGTGGGGGGCGCCGTGTAAAAGTGAAAAAGTGGGTCTGGAAATAAATGATGCAGCGGCGCCAGGACGAGCTCCGGCTTGTGCAGGCTGTCGTGGTGGTTGCCACTGCTGCGCTGCAGACCACGACGAGGCCCCGGGGAGGGCGGGAAGGGGAGGAAGGGCCGGCGGGGGTGCTGATGGCACCGGCCACACGGCTCCGAAGGCAGGGAGTCTCGGGAGCTCGAAGGAGACGGATGCCGGGCGTCCTAGGGCTGGCTGAGATGTGTGCTGCTGGCGGTTGCTCGCAACAGAGGGTGCTGGTAAAGGCAGACCTGGGAAGGGAAGTGTAAAATTCGCAAGCTCTGGTCATTCATGGCAAAAACTGTGTTAGTCTCGGCTGGAGCCAATTTGCACCTGCACTTCTCGAGGGAGTTCCACATCTGTCCATACCTCCAAGGAACTCGTCAAAGCCCGAGTCAAAAAAGTTGTTGGCCATGATTGCTGCTGCTGCAAAGGAAAAGCGAGAGACGAGCCACGACGGGGGGAAAAGTATATAGAGATAGTGAAGCTGCTTGAAGCAACATGAAGATGGTAGTAGGAAAAGGCGGCAATGACAGACGGCTAGGATATTACCACAAACTCCACCCCGAGAGCTTATGATGTGAGCACCTGGACTGGAAAGCACGTAGTGGAAGGCCACAAAGACACACAAAAAGGGGGACAATGGCATTAATAAGGGGTCGTCGTATCGCCAGACAGACAGACGCAAGACAGGCGCCTCTCTCTCAACAAGCGGTCGACGAGCGAGCGAGGCGGCTTCCAAATTATACCTTCTCTTGGTCCGAACTGCCCCAACCCAAGCTCAAGCCCAGCAAGCCGCCCGCCTGTCTTTCCGCTGCGTTTGCCGCTCCTCGCCAATATCACTCACTCACCCCACTTATTACCTCTACGAAAGATTCCTCTGTCTATCTCATGACTTGCTAATTAACAGCCAATCCAGGGCCTGTTCCGGCAATCACAGCATGAGACTGACAGCATGTGCTGACCTGGCACTTTTGAGGCACTTTGCTTGCCTGGTGAGGACTTTTCAAAAGTTTGCGGTTGCCTTCCATGCTTGGCTGGGCTCGGAGATCCGCTAGCACCTCACCCATCCACAAGCTGCCTTTTCTACTGTGCCTACCTGAATTATGACATACATATTCCGATGTGTGACTCCAAGCACCACCATCCTCTGAAGAGGCTTGATTGCACGTGAGAGCATACCTGTGATCACATTTCTCAACAGTATACCATCATATAATCAATCTTCAAGGAACCCTCAGATGAGAGCTCCTCCGTACTCTTTGTGAAATATCCGGACGGATCTTATCAACAAGACAGGTGCCACAGCATGGGATTTTGGGAATCAAATGGTCCCGCTGCGGACGCCCAGAGAAGCCCGGACCCCACACACCATGCAGGACTGGGATTAGCTACTGCTGGCTGCCGCCGTGAGCGGGGCCTCACTGTCGTAGCATCCCCGCCAGGACCCAAAATTTCGTCTTCTTTTTTTTTTTTTTTCGAAAAAGGAACGTTCCAATAGAAGCAGCCCACTTGGCACCATGACTTGAAGGGGCGCGGACCATTCCCCCAGACAAAATAGAATGCTGCTCCCTTACCGCAGGGTCGCGGCAGGACGAGACGCGCCGGTCGCCAGCTTCATCCGTCTTGCGAGACACTGCGCCGGCAGACGTCCCATCTCATCCCGGCGGTGGATTTCGCAAACCGCTGCTACTCAAGACGAAACCACCGAAAACCTATCAGTGCCATGTACTGCGCGGTACAACGAGATTGGCGTACAGCAACTGAGCTCGCACATTTACGACCAGCTGTTCCCCAAGGGCAACACCTCACCCCCCTCCAAAGAGCTGGTCGATCTTGCGCGGGACCACCTTCGACGTCACGAACTGCTGGGGAAAAACACCGACACCTCGGCGCCCGTCGCATTCGATCTCCCGCCGCTGGTCGGAAGCACCCTCGACGAGCATTTCCACAAACTAGGCGTCGATGCCTCTGAGCCCTTCCTCACCCACGCGAAGCGGTTTGCCCTGGCAAATCCGCCACCGAAACCGAGAAAATGGGTGCGCCGGAGCGGGTGGACAAAGTACTACGCCGATGGCCGGACCGAGCAAGTGGATGCGCCTGAGGGAGAAGCCATGACATTTGACACCGAGGTCATGTGGAAGGAAAGCCCGTACGCCGTCATGGCCTGCGCTGCGACGGCCGATGCTTGGTATGCCTGGTTGTCGCCGTGGCTGTTGGGCGAGACAGAAAACGAACATCAGCTCATCCCGGTGGGCGATCCAACAAAAGAGCGGGTGATAATAGGGCACAATATCGGATACGATCGGGCGAGGATATTGGAGGAATACAGCTTGACACAGACGAGGAATTCGTTCCTGGACACCATGTCATTGCACGTTGCTGTCAATGGCATGTGTTCGCAACAACGACCAACGTGGATGAAGCACAGGAAGGACCGCGAGTTTCGGGACAAGATCGCCAAGGAGTCGAGCAATGCCGAGCTCGTCGAATTGTTGAACAATGGTGCGTTTTCGGCCCAGGAGGAAGAACTTTGGGTGGAAAGGAGTTCGATCAATTCACTGCGGGATGTTGCACAGTTCCACCTCGGCGTCACAATCGACAAAGAAGCCCGCAACGCTTTTGGCGAGTTTGACCGGGATGGCATCAACCAGCAGCTGGATGAGCTTTTGACTTACTGCGCTGCTGATGTGGCCATCACCCATCGTGTCTACCAAGTGGTGTTTCCCAACTTTCTTCGCGTCTGCCCACATCCTGTTAGCTTCGCTGCGTTGAGGCATCTATCGAATGTGATTTTGCCCGTCAACAAAACATGGGACTCTTACATCGCCAATGCGGAAGCCACGTACAGGAAGCTATCTGATGGTGTCCGGGAGCGGTTGGTTGCCCTTACAGACAAGGCTCGCGAAATCAAAAAGCAGCCCGAGAAATGGAGTACCGATCCCTGGATGTCGCAGCTGGACTGGTCTGGACAGGAGGTCAAGATGACCAAGGGGACTCCGACCAGCCCCCCGAGAGAATACAAGAACCAAAAGATGCCAGGGGAGCCAAATTGGTATAGAAATCTGTTTCCCAAGGCTAAAGGCCCTATCAACCTCACTGTGCGAACAAGAATTGCACCACTTCTTCTCCGGCTGTCCTGGGATGGACACCCGTTGTTTTGGTCGGATAAGCATGGCTGGACCTTTAGAGTGCCCTTGGCCGATATGAAGAAGTACCTCGACAAGCAGATGAAGCCCTGTGATTTCGAGGGGGAGACAGTCTTGGCCGTCAAGGAGGACACAAAACACGCCTACTTCAAGCTGCCACACAAGGACGGTCCCACGGCTCGCTGCACCAACCCCATGGCAAAGAGCTATCTCAGCTATTTCGAAAAGGGGACGTTGTCGTCGGAGTACGACTATGCCAAAGAGGCCCTGGAGATGAACGCTTCTTGCTCCTACTGGATCAGCTCCCGCGACAGGATCATGTCCCAGCTGGTGGTGTACGAGTCCAACCTCCCCGAGCCTGTCCGCCCCAAAGACCTCCCCGAGGATGCCCCAACACCAGGGTTTATTCTTCCTCAGGTCATCCCCATGGGCACCGTGACCCGCCGCGCGGTAGAAAACACCTGGCTCACGGCCTCCAACGCAAAAAAGAACCGCGTCGGTTCCGAGCTCAAAGCCATGGTCCGCGCTCCACCGGGGTACGTCTTTGTCGGCGCCGACGTTGATTCAGAAGAGCTCTGGATCGCCTCTGTGGTGGGAGACGCAACGTTTAAACTCCACGGCGGGAATGCCATCGGGTTCATGACATTGGAGGGCACCAAGGCCCAAGGCACCGACCTCCACTCCCGCACCGCCGCCATTTTGGGCATCACCCGCAACGACGCCAAGGTGTTCAACTATGGGCGTATTTACGGTGCGGGCCTAAAATTCGCCGGCCAGCTCCTCAGGCAATTCAACCCCTCCCTTTCCGAGCAGGAAACACTCGACATCGCCGGCAAGCTATACGCCACGACAAAGGGCACAAAAACCAATCGCAAGTCCCTGTATAAACGCCCCTTTTGGCGCGGAGGGACAGAGTCGTTTGTGTTCAACAAGCTGGAGGAATTCGCCGAGCAATCCCACCCTCGCACCCCCGTGTTGGGGGCGGGCATCACCGAGGCGTTGACTGCGAGGTTTTTGTCAAAGGGGGGGTATCTGACCTCGAGAATCAACTGGGCCATTCAGTCTTCTGGAGTCGACTACCTCCACCTCCTCATCGTCTCAATGGACTACCTCACCCGGAGATTCAACATTGCCTGCCGACTCGCCATCACGGTCCACGACGAGATTCGATATCTGGTCCAAGAACACGACAAGTACCGCGCTGCGATGGCGCTTCAAATATCCAACCTCTGGACGAGGGCAATGTTTGCCCAGCAAGTCGGCATCCACGACCTCCCCCAATCGTGCGCCTTCTTCTCCGCGGTAGACATTGACACCGTCCTAAGAAAAGAAGTCGACATGCCATGCATCACCCCCTCCAACCCAATCCCCATCCCACCAGGGGAAACAGTCGACATCAATCAACTCCTCTCCAAAGGCTCCCTCGCCCGGTTGGACCCAACTATAACCCCCGACCCAACATATGCTCCGCGAGTCAATCACATCAAGTATGTCCCCCGCAAACCGGTGATGGAACAGCTCCAGGAGGAGGAACACGCCCACGAAGACGAGAAGTCCAAGCTCAGGTTCATCAGGGCGCAGATCGCAAACGACGAGGCAGAGTTTAGGGAGATATTAAGGGAGACGAGGGGAGAAGCTCAGAGAGAGAAATACATCCCCAAGGTGCCGGTCAAGATTCTCAAAAAGCCGTATAGTGCCAGTGCTAAGCTGCTGCCGGGGGCGGCAAGGTACGGGCAGCGGGAGCCGGTCATGGTGAGGGAGGCGTTGGAGGGGGTCAGGTACAAGAGTTGGCCTGGGGGGAGTGGGAGTGGAGGGAGTAAAAAATGGGATGGGGGGAGGGAAAATGGGAGGGAGAGGGTGCAGTGGGATTTTACTAGGTAGTTGGTCAGTGGGGGGATGTAAGATATGGGGTGGTGGGTTGTATGATATGGGAGGGAAGGGGTTGTTTATAAGCCATGCATGGTTGGGAGTTATGGGAGCGACGGCGTCTTGTGGTTTGGTTCGGCATGGTTGGAAAAGCATTGTTTGCCTTGTTGTCACGTCATATTCTTCATGCCTGTCAGAGTAGGGGTGTTAACATAGGAGCGAAAATGAAAAATATCAAAAATCATCTCTACAAAGCCTAAACACTCTTTGCTGGATTGTCATCTATTATCACCCACCCACACACACACCACGCCTAACCTGACAAAAGTATCTTTGACAGAAAATCTGGTATCATTCTGACCATCCCAAACCGGGTATTCTCTATCCTCCCTTTACAAATAAAAATCATCAGCCCTCCCCCCCATTACCAAAACCTCTACACTCACCTCCCCCCATTCCCCGGCAGCGGCCTAGGCCCCACAATCTGCCTCCTATTGGCCCCAATCCCCTGCCCGCCCTTATTCTGCCCATCACCCCCCGTATACCCACTCCACTGTCCCACATCCCACCTACCCCCTATCCCACCTCCAATCCCCTCCACCCCATCCGCCGTCCTGACCGCCTTGGCGGTTTCCTTCTGGCTCTCTTCCCACTCCATTTGTCTCTGTCTCTCCAGCTCCATCTCCCTTTCCAAGAGGGACTTGCTAGCCCACCCGGCAGCCTTTGTCTGTTTCTGGGCTTGTTGACGGCGGCGATCCTCCTCTGCTTGTTCGTCTACCGTCCCGGCAAGTTCTTTGACAAAGGTTGAAGTAGGGGGGGAATGGAGGGGGGCGGGGTTGGAGGAGAGGTACCTGTCGGTGCGAGAGGTGGGTTGGGGGGCGGGTTTGGCAAAGGGGGATTTGGATACAAAGGGGGAGTTGGTTGTTGGTTTGGATGTAAAGGGGGAGTTGGTGGGCGGTTTGGTTGAGAAGGGTGTGGTAGTTGGTTTAGTGGAAAAGGGGCTGGTGGTTTGTTTGGAGGAGCGAGGGCTGGTTGGCTTTGCAAACGGGCTGCGGTTGTTACTACCAGCCGACCCAGGGGTGGGGAGTTGTCGGGTTGATTCTGGGGATGTTGTCGCGGAGTAAGTAGTCGGATCAGGAAGAGGGCGAGAACCAGTGTGCTGCTTCGCGATGGGAAGCGGTTGACCGCCAGTGGGCTGCTTCCTGATGGGCAAAGTCGGTGGTGGCAAAGACGACTTCTCTCCCGTGCGATGGGTCTTAACCTTTGCCGGGTCGGGGAGTGGTCTCGGTGACTGTGATGGAAGCGGTGGGCTCAACGGAGGTTCCTCTTCAATGTCGACCTCGTTTTGGTGATGGTGCCACGATTTCGAAGCAAAGTTCTGCTCATCCCTCACACTCCACGAGTCCTGTCTGCTCACCTTGTCCGCAGCAGCAGGCCGGCTGCGAGATCGAGACCTCGCCTTCTTGGCATCCCTGTTCCCATGTCCGCGAGACCGCCCCTGACGTTCCCGCTCATACTGGGCCTCCCTCTCTCGTGCCTTTGCAAGCTCTTCTTCGAGCTGTCTGATGCGTTCCTTATCTGATGACTCCTGACCCGCTTGATATTGGCTCAAGTACTGACCACGAAGCTCGGACCCGCTCTTTTGCTGTCGAGCCTTCGCACGTTCCTCCTGCAACCGCCTTTCAGCTTCGGCCTCCTCCTTGCGCCTCTTTTCCTCTGTCATCTTCCACTGCCGTTCCTCCTCCTCCCACCGTCTTTTCTCCTCTTCAATTTTCCTCCGCTCTTCTTCCCTGATCCGCTTGGCCTCCTCTTCCCACCTTCGCTCCTCTTCCTTCTTGGCCCGTGCTTCTTCCGCTTCGAGTTCCGCCTTCTTCTTGCGCTCCTCTTCTTCTTGTTGTAGCCTCAGCTTCTCGGCCTCCTCCTTCCTCTTCTTCTCCTTCTCGTACAAGCTTGGAACTGCAGGACCAGCACTAGTGATCTGTCTCCTGCCACCAAAGGCGATCCCTAGGTTATTCTGGTTGGCACCGCCCATGTAGCCATACTGGGCGATGTTCCAGGCCGGAGATGTGGCGCCTTCGTGCTCCTTCTTACTCCAGCTACTAACACCAGGAGAAGTTGCACCGTTCGTTGGGGACTTGGCCCGGCCCCATGGTCCGTCGTCACCCCCTGTTCTCGATGCCGATAATGACGGCGTTCCCCTGCCATACACCGAAGACGAGGCATTGCTAGCATTGGAATTCCCCCGACCACGTATAAGTGGAGGAGTATTGTAACCCGTCGGTTGTGGACTTAACAGCGCCGGGTTCTTGGCTTTGGGACCGATCGGATTGGGAAAGGTGTCTGGGTTGGCAGCGTTGGCCGCCCGGCTGAAAGCACCAAGGCACTGGAGGACCTGGGCGGGATCTTTTCGCTCGTAGAGGTCGACAGTCAGAAACATGTCGTGCTGTTGGAGGTTGAGAGGTGGTGTTTGGCAGGCGCGGAGAAAGTGGGAGATGTTTTCCATCTGAACAAAAGGCATGGCGGATTTCTTGAACTTGACTCCTGGAGGACCGATGGCGAGGTTGACGAGTCTAGGGGGCCGGGCACGTGTTAGTCAACCTTCGAACTGTTGTACAACAGGTTACCAGTGCGGCGGCAGACTTACTTGCACAAAGCAACACCATCTTTGAGTACCTCAAGCAGGTCTTTTCCGGGCAAGGTCTCGCTGATGACACTCTCTATCCATTGCTTTGCCTCGTTCGCAGCGGCGGGCGTGTACTTCTCCAGGCGCAACCGGCGCAAGTCGCCGTCCAGCGATGTCACGGACGCCATGTTTTTGGCAAATGTTGATTTCTGGATTGTTTCTCTCTCAAGCAAGTGTTGTTCGTGTACAAGTAGGTTTTCCTTTTCCAAGCTGTTCAACAAAAGTCCGGGAGTCTCGGGTCGTGAGAACAGGTAAGCAGTCCGTTCGGGGCCAGTTGCGTCAGCGGATCTCTCTCTCTCTCTCTCCTATCCCCTAAAAGATGGATAATTTTGGCAGCGGATGTCCCCTAGTTTTTCAGGGTAGGTTAATTAGTCTGGCGACGGGCCGTGAAATGAAGCTGCGGGGCCTCGTTTGTTCGTGTCTATTTCAGCAAATTGGGAGAAGGTCGGCAACCGAGATGTGGTGTGGTGAGGCTTGTCGTCGCGGACCATGTCTCTTGTGAGATTGCGGGCATTCTTCAGGGCGCCCTCTTCAGGGGACATCCCTTGCCGTGCCTTGGTGTGCCTGGGTGCTGCCCCTCATTTATGGCTTGGCGGGAAGGTTTAACTCCAGCCACACAGGTTTGTCTGTGCGCTGGGAGGGGAGTGTGGGGGAGGCTAATAATATGTGGCTGGGATTAAGCTTTCTGGACAAGATATTCGATGTCGATCTCCTGCGTAGCTCATTGAGTTTGAGTTGCATGTTGACCATCTTTCAATGCCTTCTCACGGCAATTGAGGAGTCTGTTGATGATCATTCACGATCTAATCCACTTATCTGCCCCTTTTTGTAGTATCTGTCCACACTAGAATCCAAGAGGACCCCGTCCAAAGTAATCATGCCCGCTTTTTCCCATGCCGTGCCCACTAGTTTTAAACCCATCCAAATCCCACCCCTTGGCAACGACGTCACTCGATCAAATTGTTCCACCGTAGCTGTTCACCTACCACCAAAGAAATTATCGCGAACCGCGTCGCGAACATCACCACCCCCACCTCTCTGTATTACACATTCACAAAACCGCTCTTTTCTTTACTGCCTCGCCCACCCTGTATATAGAGGTCAAAATGTCCCAACCCCTCTCCCTCCTCCAAAAATTCCAATCCCTCCGCCTCCCCTGGCGCCGCCACTTCCTAGTAGGCAAAGACCTCTCAGGCAACACCTACTGGGAGTTCCACGACCGCGGCAACCCCAACCCAGACCGCTGGCGCCGCATCCTCCGCCCCAACCCTGCCCTCAAACTCCACCACTCCGAGGTCAAGATCCCGCCCGCGTGGCACCAGTGGCTGCGTCACACCCGGCCTGACCCGCCCACCATTGAAGAACAGCAAGCAGACGTTATCCGACAAGAAAGACTCAAGATTTTGGCGGCAGAGGCGGACAGAAGGTGGGAGGCCAAGGCTAAATATATTGAGGATGGGGTTGGGGGGGAACAGAGGAAGCCAGCGTTGGAGGGGAGCGGGATGTGGGTTGAGAAGAAGGAGGAGGAACAACAAAAAGTGCCCAAGCAGGTCAAGAGGGAGGAGGTTTGGGAGGGGATGAAGAAACAGGCTGAACAAGGTGAGGAAGGCGAGATTTTGGTTGGGGGGAAGAAAAAGGTTGATCCGTGGAGGCAGAAGAGGGCTGGGCCCGGGGAGGAGTGGCAGCCTCAGGGGTGGACGCCGGGGGCGGCGAAGAAGCCATGATATTGGAACGGAGAGGGACATGTCATGAGAAGGAAATAAGAGATGTGTTGGGGGGTGGAAAGGAGTTTGGCGTAGGAAAAGCACGCATAGCCTTGGTCTCTACATCACCTCTCAACTGTACAACACATGTATATAACCACCGTACTCGATAGACCGCCAAAAGCAGCACCAATCCCCGCTTCCATTCTAAAGCGTGGGTTGAAACCAGTTTTGCAGGCCGAACGAGTCCCACGAGGTATTCGGTCAAGACATCTATCTACCCGAAAACAGTAGAAATAAAAATGTACACAAAGTCCTCCATCTAACATGATTAATTGTAAGAGCAATGATGCGCCCTGATCATCACGCCTGTGATCTTCAGTCATACCATACCACCCATCAAATGATAAACCATCAAGTAGAAAACCGCAAGAATCCCGTCAAATAATAGCCCATGCTTTTCCCATACAGAGGGGGTATCAAAAAGCCAAAAACCAACAATAAAAATGCGCTTGGAAGTCAACGCGTGTAATAAGCAGACAAATCACCCCTCAACCGAGAATCCTCGCAAACACCCTCAGATTATTACTCGACCTCGCGAGCATCTCCCTTCCCAACCTATCAACTCCACCCGCCCTCCCCCTCCCCTTAATCTTGGCGTCCCTCGCCTTGATCCCCGTCTCAATCGCCTTCCCGAGACCGGCCGCGTCCGTGATGTCCCTCGCCAGATACAAGCCCCACAGCATGTTCTCCAACACAATCGACAACTTGGCATTATCCTCGGCAGTGATCCTCCCAGCCGGGAACGGCAAGCACTTCTGCATCATAACCTCAGAGATGCCATCCCCACTATTCGTGTCGCGGTCCACACGGTCGGGATCTGGCAGGCCGTTCGGCGGCAGTAAACCGTCCAGAACATTCCTGTAGAGCGATTCTTTGTCAAAATCGGGCAGGTCGTTGTGTGCTTTGAGAAAGAGCTCAAAAACAGGCAGCGGTGAAGTCCTGACCTTGTACGAGAAGCTCTGGTAAAGCTCAGAAGTAGGAAAGGATACGTCGCGGAGATAATGGGCCGCTGCCGATAAAAGACGGAATATTCGTAGTCGGAATGGGATGGTCTCGGCGACTCCATCGGGCAAACGAAACGCAGCCGGCCTCGGGCCCGCATCGCTTTCCATCGCCTTCTTCGTCCTTTTCTGTACCCCCGGCGCAGACCTGGCAGAACTGCAAGGCAGCTCCTGACTGTCCCCCTCATTCTCCAAGTCCGAGTCATCGTCATCATAGTCCCCAAAGCAGCCATTCTCCAGATCCAGCGTTGTATCCGCCCTCTTCCTCTTAATAGTCCTCGGCCCAACCAACTCTTCATTCGTGAAAACCTCCCCATACACCTTCCTATCCCCAGCCTCCAAGGCAAAAGTCAAAGCCTTCATCACCTCCTTCTGCACGGTTTTCCTCGCCTTGGTGATATCCTCCAGATAAGCCACCAACAAACTCCCCTTCAAATTGGGATACGGCTCATCACCCGCCGTCGTCGTCTTCTCATCCATCGCCAACCGATCATCCCAATCCTGCTCCAGTACCGTAACCACAAACTCCAACCACGGCTTCCAATACTTCCACCTCCCTGGCACAAACGCAGCGCACCAAAATGACCACCCTAGCACCGACCAGAAATCACTCGCGCGGTGCCAGATGACTCCTTCTCTGGCAAAGGTACCAGTCATGACATCAGAAGAGGAAGCATCACTATCTGCTCCGCTCATGCCACTGGTTGACCAGTCACCAAAAACATCTCCCCTTCTTGATCTCCTGGCATGGGAGGATGATGGAGGTGGTTTGAACTCGAATGCTTGTCGAAAGTTGGCGTTTATTGGGCCGACGATAGACAGCAGACCTCGGAGGTAGGAGAGGGCAGCGGCGCCGTCGCGCACCGGCGGGGTGGTCGTTTCGACGTCTGGTGGGGCCGAGGTGAACCGGGGGTGGATTGCGAGACTGCTGATGAAGGCGAGTTGGTGTGGTGGGGGAACGTAGACTGTCTGTGGTGGTTGGGAGCCTTGCTCTTTCGAGGGTGGGGAGAAGCTGGCGCAGTTGGAGAGGAGGGCGTGGAGCATGTTCAGGGTCTCAGGGTCTGTCAAGGGGGGAAAAGTTAGGAGAAGGGAACCAAGTCAACAAAACAAAGGAGCAAAAGACATACACATCTTCTCCTCCAGGTGGATCTGTAACTGGTTCTTAATCATAAACGGTAGCTGGGCTGCATCTCGATAGGGCGGAGGTAACAGCTGGTCATAGTCGTCGTCAAAGTCATCCACACTCGTAAGAGCAGACGTGTCGCCGACGCTGTCCCCATCTGTTCGAGCCGTGTGGTGCGAACTGGGAGTCGAGATAGTCGTGCCCAGGGTTATGAGGGGCGATGTGCTAGACAACGACGCCATTGGAAGAGGCGGCCGTTGTCACTTTTCTAGACGGCCTCAAAAGCTGGCGGTGGGGGAATTTTTGGCGGATTACTTTCTGAACTACCCTTGGATCATCCAGAAACGCTTCGGAAGCAGTTCCCGAGGAATAAAAATGGCGAAAATGTGGAAAAGAGACAGAGAGAAAGAAAAGAAAAAAAAGAATGGGGAATGTACAGGGTTAATAGGTCAAGACATAGCGCGTTCGCACGCGACGGGTGGGCCGTGTTTACAGCCCTGTCGATTTAGCGGCACAGTGCGCAATTCCCTGTCAGAGCTCCCGCCGTTACCAGGCCGTCGGGTTTTTACCCACGTTACGGATACGTACCGGCGGTTACGCAGTTACGTTTCCCCGAGTACGTTTTGTTTCACAACTCGAATCAAGCTCGACGATGGTCTGGCGGGTATCTACTCTGTATTCTATGAGTGCCTGCACTTGGCCTTAAGCATAGATAGATTGCATCTGTCAGCCACCCAGCGTCTGCAGTCTGATGCAGGACCCGTTCCACTTACACGGCCGCGCTGACATCACAACCGCCGTTTCTACTACTTCTTCAGCTTCAACACCAACCACCCCGCGAGCCGATATCCAAAAATGATGGCCAGCATGATGCCCACATCCTTGCCCATATACCCAGGTTTGTATCCGTACTGATCCAACACTCCCTGTCCACGGATCAGGCATTGATCAGCCAGATCAGTCTGCCACATGCCTGCATTTCCTGTCAGCTTTCTATTCTCAGGATGCAGAATACTAGATACTCACATTGACACCCATCCGCCGTCTCGGCGCAGGTATACACCCTCTCGCTGAACTCATTGATCATCATGTTCTCAAACACATACTTTTGATAGTCCCAGTAATGGAAAACATATTTCCAAAAGACATTCAACGTCCCCGGCGGCACCATGAACCCGTCCACGCTCATCCACAAGCCATTGGCAAACGCAACCAGCGCCAACGAGATGACAAAGGACGGGAAGAGAGAGGCCATAAAGACTACCAGCCCTTCGGCGGCAAGCAAGTCCAGGAAGAGCCAGAAGACCCAGGTGAAGAAGGCTTTGGCGGTAGGCTGGAAGTTGGAGAGCCAGTAGCTGATTACTGAGAAGACGATTGAGATGAGGAAGAGGTATGGTGTCCCAACGAGGAAGTTTGACAGCGTCATGGCGGTGGCGCCGTAGAGCCCGTTCCGTTTCTCTTTGGCATACTGGTTGTAATCTTCGAGGTAGGCGGGACAGTACGCCACAGCCATGAAGCTGAGGAAGGCGCTGCCGTAGAAGATGGAGTTGGTGAAGGGGATGATGGAGTCTTGTGTGGCCGGCAGACGGAGCCAGACTGTGCCCATCATTATGGCGAGACCTTTTATCTCTTAGTTTTCTCCTGTATCAACCAAAGGAGGGATACATACCAGTATACATCGCCAACCTAATCCCATAGGCAACCACATCCCGATAACTCTTGATAAAGCTCCTGTGCACCAGCGTCACAACCACACTCGCCATCCCCGGCTTTTTATCTCTCGCCTCATCATCCCCCAACACAAGCTCATCCCCCCCCTTCTCCGCCCCAGCAGCAACAGCAGCAACATCCTCATCCAACTTTTTCTTCAAATCCGACCTCTCCCAGCCAGACTGCATCTCCTCCAGCCTCGCCCTCGCAGCCTCTTTATCATCGGCATAATCAATATTAGTCTGCTCAAGCAACCACTCAGCAGGATTAACATGCCGTGGTATGACCATCCCAAGCTGACTCTCATAATACCCCCCCACCCCCTCCACCGAACCAAAATAATGCGTCTTGCCCTCTGACAAGAGCAACAGCTTGTCAAACAGGTCAAACGTCGCGGTCGAAGGCTGGTGTATACTCGCAACAATAATCAACTGCACCCCAATTAGCATCATTCCCATACCACTCCCAGAAGAGTACCTAGGTACCCACATTATTCTCCCTCGCCAACCCCCTCAAAAACTTGACAACCTCCCACCCCCCTCTCCCATCAAGCCCGCTGGTCGGCTCATCAAGTATGACCACCCTCGGCCCGGTGATAACCTCCTTTGCAACCCCCAACCGTCTCTTTTGCCCTCCGCTCAACCCTTTTTTTGTCACAGTCCCGACCACTACATCGCCTTGTTCGACCAGGCCGAAACTCCCGAGTAGACCCTCTACCCTTTCCCGCCTCTCTTTTTTGCTAATCCCCGCGCTTGAGAGCCGTGAGGCAAAGTGGAGGGTCTCGCGTGGGGTTAGGGCCCCGATGAGGGAGTCAGTCTGTTCGACGAAGCGGGTCAGGGATTGGAATTGGGGGAGGGGGAGGGGGGTTCCGTTTAGGAGGATGGGTGAGGGGGATGATGGGGAAAGGCGGCGGGAGAGGAGGTTGAGGAGGGTTGTTTTGCCTGAGCCCGAGGGGCCCATTACTGCTAGGAGTTCGCCTGGGCGGAGGAGGCCCGTTGAGGAGGTGAGGATGGGGGTCGTGGAGATTGCGTGGGATAGGGAGGACCAGGTGAGGGAGGTGAGGGTGGTGTTTTTCAGGTGGGAGGGGGAGGGGCCGGATTCGGGGTCCATTTTTGGGGAGGAGGAGGAGGAGCTTGATGGGGCGTTCATGCTGTGATGATGGTTGGGAGGATGGCGAGAATGAAAAGATGAGGCAGGTGAACACGGGATGAGGTCTGCGGGTTGGGAGGCGGACAGATGGGATTATGAGCACTCTCGTTTCCTCAGTCAGCAGCAGTCTTGCACAGCCTTCTCCCTTTACCTGCACCCAGCCATTAGATACTCATACCCAGCCCAGGTTTCTCAACGCTCATCCCTTCCGCATGAACCCCGATCACCGTCATCCAAGACAAACGCCGTCTAGTCCTCCCCTCCAGTTCACGATCCTCCTCCCCAAAACTCGGGCATCTTCAACCACCAACTCCGGAGTTATCGTCAGTAGCTCAATCGCCAACCAACCCAGTCTAGCTGAACCAACAGCAAGCAGTCTTGGAAAGTGGCTAGCATTCCTGCCCAAATTCAGCTTCACTACTCCCAACACGTCAAGTGCCGGGGAGCTATCGGTGTAGTGGTGCAAGTAGTTCGCGGGATCTACCGCGACAGTGTCAATCCCCGAGTAGACAAGGCACACCAAACTCCGAGTATGTAAGCTCGTGGATGAGTGATGAGAGTGCACAAAGAATAAGCAACTGACAGGCGCCTTGGCACGAGCGGGCACCACCATCACCAAAGCACAATAAACAGCGATGGTTGGAATCGACATCTTGAGCCTCACCCTTGCATCAAACCCGCTGACCACACCCCACATACGTGCGCAGGGCTTACCGGGACTATAGTCATACACAAGTGCCAGTCAGTGATGTTGTGTGTGGGTTTTTGGGTGGGACAACATCGCCGATGACAGATTCTCGTGGTGATGCAAGGGGCTTACATGCTATGTAGTTGCTGGGTGTTGGGTGGTTGGCGTTGATATGAAGGGAGTGTATATGTTCGCCGTTGTGAGGGGTGATTGCCAGCCAACCATTGTCCTTTCGACAGGACGGAAGACCCCACGTGGTCGCCGACTTCACTGGGGTCGGAATGCGGGGAGCTGAACCACGAACTCATCCAACCCGAGCCCGGTCGGCGTCCTTTTTGGTGTGGTAAACTGAGACACGGCGATTCTTCAGCGGGAGAATCGGGGTGGTGGTGTACAGTAGAGTTTTAGCGTGAGCTGATCGCCGCTTATCACCGTTAATAGCCTCGAGATACCCGAGGGGGTGATCTGCATGACATCCCAAGATCCCATGAACACGCTCTCAATGTTCAAAGTATATATATATATCTTCACGACCCTAAAGGAGGTCACCGACACGATCCCTCCCCCTCCCCCTCCCCTCCGATTCGATCTCTCAGGAATCCTCACTACCTCAGTCCAAGACATCCAGATCCCCGGAACTCGTTACGCCTCGCTGACCACCTACCTGTGTACCTATGCAGTTAACTCTCCGCCAACTGCAGGTACCAACCACTCCCTTCCCCATGATTGGACATACCAGGCTGGAACCTTCGGGGATCTCTCCGTCATGGTCATAATCATGTAATAAGTGGGCATTATACGCAAAATAAAAGTCGTTGGTCGTCTTCCGATGTTCCATACATTAGGCCCGCATATGAAGTGCGTGCCTTAGCCCCAGGTACTACTATCAACCTACATTTCCGCAGGCGAAGTAAATGTTAGTGCGGCCAGCGCAACTTCCACCAAAAGACCCCTGTCGCGCTAACATTAATAACCGTGGCAGAGGTATAGGTGGCCCACTTTGATCGCCGTCCACTATAAAGAACGACAAGTACTGCGACGTAGACCTCGGGAATCTGGTACTTCTTCCTCGTGGGTATCAAGTCAAAGTGATCGATCTTGTGATGCATCACAGAGTATACCGAACCGGAAATCCTTAGCGAAGGGGTCATGCTCATGGACTTTAAACTCACCCTCCCCCCCAGAGAGAGTTCCTCTGCTCACAACATAAGCCAAAGATGAGCATAGTCTGTCTGTACATATCCAAATACAAAAAAAATCTCAATTAAATCACCAGTAACCTCCATGCCTGCCCTGCTCGCTCATATGTGCCCAATTTTGTTTGCCCAGCCAAAAGAACAAAAAGTTACGGATACACAAAAAAAAAACACAGACTTTGTCGTCCTGTCAAAAAATATCCCCCCAAGCCATCCACCCCCAAATAATATGTCCCTCATCCAGAGAAAAAATCAACTTCAAAAAAAAGACAAAAAAAAAAAAAACTCCATTTTCCCCTCGCCCCCCACCCTCCCTGTCCCTTTTTGGTGTCATAAACCCCATCTCTCCATAATTCCTCTTCCCCAAAAAGTTGTGAAACAGAACAAAGGATATCATCTCATCAACCCCCTATGAAATCCCGCTGCAGTAGTAGTAGTAGTAGTCATCGTCGTACCTAGAAACAAAAATCCAAAAAAGATTTTCCAAACGTTAAATCCTGCCCCCGAATTTTCCAAAATGCAAAGAAACAGAAACAAAAAAAATATCACGGCGCTTGCGTCACCTGCGTCAACATACTATTAAACTCGCTCATGATCCCCTCATCAGCCTGGATGCTGCTAATCATCTGCTCCTGCGTGAAACCAACCCAGAACGCCGGGCTGATCTGGTGCGCCTTCTTCTCCCTGTAAATCTCCTGTGCCACACCCTTCACCTGACCCCAAGCCGTGTTTGCCGCTTTCCACACTTTGCTGAGCTTGTTGAGGGCGCCAATGTTCAGTCTGATCTGCTGCCGGAGGTCTTCCTCGTCTTCGATAAAGTACAGCGCCCACTTTGACAAGTGGACGATGGAGCTGAGGGTGACGACGCAGGTGAAGAAGTGCGTGTGCTGGATGATGGGCACGGCTTGGGTGACCATCTTGCTGATCTCGCAGGCGGCCGTGATGGTGTGCCGGGTGTGGGCGTTGAAGTTGTCGCCCGAGGGGACTGGTCGGTGAGGGGCGCACGAGTTGACAGCTTGGACGGGAGAGGAGTCGAGTTGGGATAGGGGCTGGTGAAGCATGATGGTGCAACTGTGGACAATGTCAGTATCTCTCACATGGCTCTCAAAGCATGGGTTTGGCATACGCATGAGTGATAAAATGCGCCTGAAACATCATCTCATCCAGCTTGCAGTTCTTGTTCAGATCATCCCTCTTGGACTCGGGCAGGTGGAGCCTCCAGTTGGTGAGCAGGGCTTCTATCCGGGAGATGGTGTCGTCTCCCGGGTACATAATCTGAGGCATCCGCATCATCCTGCCGAGATTTCTGATGGCAGCAATACGGTAGGTGAAAGACGAAAACTCTCGGTCTTCACCGGAGAAGAGCTGGTCATCAAAGTCTTCCATGTATGCTGGTGGGGGGATGCGCTATAAAGGTAAATCAGTCTCACATCACATCCACATACGCTCGAGAAGTTCTTACCCCTGTGAGATACTGCTGCTCCTCGCACGGCAGACCAACATCGTTTTGAATATCAAAGAGCAAAAAGTTGGTGATGCGATGGACACCAGCAATCATGCCGTCACACACAAAGAGATCCCACCATGTTCGCCGCCAGCTCTCCTCCACGACGGGATTACCGTGGCCGTGCAGTGATGCAAACTGGCGCTTGTTCAGATCAATCTCAATAGCAAATCTTTCACAGTCCGCCAACAACTCCCGTGCCTTTTCTTGTTGACAGCTCCCATCCAGCCCAATGATGATCAGCAACAAGGCTTGGATCAGGAAGCCATCCTTGGTAGTGGTAGGCAGATAGCACTGCCTGATGGCTTCTTCCAGATAGGTGGCCTTGGCTGGACCGGCATCCAAGAAGAGCGAGCCAATATATCTGATGGCAGCCATAACCACGTTGAGGCCAGGGGTGTTGCCCTCCTTGAGCAGCCGAAGGAAGTACTCCTTGGGCAGCACAAAGGGGTGGGCGGCATGGAAGTAGTGATAAAAGGCATCGAAGCATCTCTCGGCCAGGGTGGTCACTGGTGGCTGAACATGGGGGATCGCTGACGAGGTCGTCAGGGCCATGGTGTTGGGAGCGGCCATGGTGTTGGGGTCCAAGGGTGAGGCAAACGAGTTTCGATAGAGACCGGCGTGGTTAAGAGCAGGAGTAGGTGCGTACGAGACCGGCGACTGCTCCGGCAAGACGATGGCCGGGTTGAAGGCTGAGAGGGAGGGAGCAGGAATAGACACGGGGGTGTGCCCTAGCATCATCGGGCAGCTCTCGACAGTAGGCCCCGAGTACGGAGGCGACGACGAGGCATGGCGTTTGTTAGGATTCTGGGCAGCATTCCTCCGAGGGCCCTTGTATCCACGACGAGAAGCAACATAGATGCACTCTGTAGCGGAGCTTGTGCAACGGGAGCAAGGGGTATTCCCATCGCACTTGAGGTGCTTGCCACGCTATTGCATCGCGGGTATTAGCACACCATCTTTTCTGAAGGGCTCACGTTACAACTCGGCGATGTTGACACCACGATCCAAGCCAACCGGTGACCTGGCCACCATCAGAGTGGTGCTGGACCGGTCCGGGGGGTACCTTGGCTTTCACGACAAAAAAGACAAAAAGTAACATTCACTTACACAGGCGAGACATGCTGCGGGGACCGAAGGAGGCGGCGCCGGGTGCTGCTGCGACGGGCGGCCATCAATGGTCGCCGAAAAGGCATTCGACGAGGAGGAGGTCGCCGTCCCCGGGCTGTCGCTAGACACCGCAGGCGAGCCGTTAGTGGAAGCGGCTGACGAGTGTGGGGCTTCCGGTGAGAAGGTCTCCATGGTCGGCAATCAGATCAGACGATTCGGCGGGGGGGGGGAAGGGGGGGGGGGTGAGGTCAGACAGGCTGCTGCGCGATCAGGGCGATGCGAGCAGAAACAGACAGCCAGAGGGGTCAGAATCCGAGGCAGGGCAGAATCTCACAACTTGTCGGGTTGGGTTGAGACGAATGGAGGAGCGGGCGGGCATTCACAGCAGCTTAAGGGTAATCGGTAATGGGAATAAGGAGGCGGGCCTGTGGTGATCTGGGGGCAACGCTGCTTGCTGTATGCCGCCCGCGTCTGGGAAAGCAGGGACTAGGCTTCGGGGAGTCGGGGAGCGGAACCTCGGAAGGGGTACAGCGGGTTAACGGTGCGGTGAACGTCTCTTAGCAGCGGGCCTGGTAGCTAGCAATGCCGGACGGGGGGAGTAGTTGGTGGTAAAAATATTAATGAAGCGTGGCAGCCTCTCCTCTCCTCTCGCCCTTTTTTTTCTCCTGCAACAAATCAAGCGAGTCCGAGAGCTGCTTGGTGGCGGGGGAAAGATAACGAGAGAGAACAGGCGGTCAATGGCCCAATTGAGAATTTTTTTTTGTTGAGTGAGTGGACTCGGCCTGTGACGACGGGGACTCGACAGGCTGCTTGTGCAGATTCGTGAAGGGTTCCAGGTTCTGTTAGGGCAAACCGGACCTTTGGGCGTCTCTCCGCGTCGAACTAATCAGGAAGCCAAGCTTCCCCTCGCCAGACCGGTTTTCGACCCTCTCTCTCCACGCGGGGCCTCGACTAGCTGCAGATGATGGGATGGGGACGGGGCTGGTTGCCGTTTTTGATGCTCGGGTTGGGCAGCGGTTTAATAAGTGTCTCTGAACAAAGTGAGGCGGGATGCTATCCGAGAATCACAGACACTCAGTCTGTGGATAACAAAGACAGCAACCGGGACCTGGCGGGCCACTCCACGCGGGATCTCGATTCAAGGTAAAGGTACCGGCCGATATCGACATGGACAGCCAGCCAGCCGCCATTGCTTATGAAGATGGATGTCCTGAGCCTTTTGTTGGTCTCTCTCTACATGCAGATTGCGATAATGAGGAGGACTGAGTGACCTGGACCGCTGGCCCAGCTGAAACCCGAGTAGCTGTTGATGCTGATTGGTGGCGCGCTCAGCCCTTGGTGCTCGAAACAGGAGAAATGCTACGCTGGCGGCCCGGGCTGAGCGGGATGGGACCTCTCAAGGCGGTCATCCTGGAGGATTTGCTGGGGCCAGAGCGGGCGACCGTTGAAGAGTTTAAATTCCCCCACACAGCAATCCAATCTCGGATGTGCTAGGGCCAGCCTTTTCAGTGTCGTCACAGCGCCCAGGCCAGCCCACCCTCGACGACATGCCTCACGATCCGGTCAGCGAGATGAGACGGCCGAATTGGCAAATCCTCACGGCCCGGGTGGGGGAACGTCGGGGCCCTCTCGGAGCACTCCCGAGTGCGAGAGAGCGCTGGAGCAAACCTCTCGAGAGGGACAAACAACCCCCCCTTGCCAGCCCAGATATCACCCGCATGTCGTTGCAACGCTGGCCACGTTGCTTTCCGGGTTCTAGTGATGGATTTGTCGGGAATCTGGTCACGGTTACTCCGCAGATGGGTAAACGATACCCCGGTGAGTTGTCTCGACAGTTGAAATGCATCTTGGAGTTCAAACTGTTGCGAGAACCCTTGACTGGCAGGGCATGTAGAAGGGTTAAAGGGTTAGGGTCTGTGAGTTCTCAAGAAGAGAAACTTGCCCTCTGGAAAATGGCCCCCAAAAAAAAGATTATGCACAAGGATGGAGCACTGTGGGATTCACCGTTACACGCCTCCCACTTTCCACTGCATCGGCGAGTGACCGATGAGGAAAGTCAGGCTCGCCGGCAAATGTGCTTGCATCAATCGAGCCTGATTACGTTGTGGGGACACCACCTTGTAGCGGGGAAGGAGCTATGGAATTTAGAACATCGCACACATTTTACGGATAGACGGACAAGAGTAGTTGTTGGTGAGAACCTCGGTCGCATCTCGCAAGCCCAACTTTTCTCGGCTCACCAGCCACAGCGGCACCTTTCTGCTAAGTATGGCACACCACTCCCATTATACATATGCGTGGCTGATACCTTTCCTTAGCACCTGGCCCATGGTACCATGGATCCCGTATCATTAGCAGGGCTCGCCATTGGCGTGGCTTCTATTGGCCTCCAGGTCTACAGCGGATGTATTCAGGGGATCCAACTGGTCATAACCGCCTTGAACTTCCCGGACGATGCTAGGTATCTCAATCTGAGGCTTCGCATGGAACAGCAACGTCTATTTGCCTGGAGTGAAGCATCTGGCTTGCTCGACCTGGACGCCAAACGAAGGGATAAAGTCCTCGAGTCCAACACCTTCGTTCTGCATCGCCAGACAGTGCTTGACTTGCTGGTCCAAGTCGAGTGTTTGTTCAAAGAGTTCAAAGAACACCAAGAGAAACGAAAATGTCTGAGGGCTGTTCCTGACCAAGATCAGGTCCTCGAGAACCCTGAAAAAGATGCGGCCGAGGCCAACTTTCCACTGCCCAAGAGACGGCGGGACTTCATCAAGAAAGCCATGCGAAGTCTGAAGGAATCGTCACATGAAGCTTCCCAGAGGTTGCAATGGGTTGCCTTTGACAAGGCCGCTTTTGAGCTTCTCCTCTCCAGGTTCTCAACATTGAATGATAACATGACTGGAATCCTCGACCAACGCATGCAGGTCGAGATTCACCATACAGTACAAGACACCAACCGTGGTGTCCTGCAGCTGCACCACAAGATTAGTGATTTGTCTCGGCTTGTCATGGCCCTCAACATCAGGCTTGAAGCCAGCTCAGCTCTCCCTACAGCACAGCTCACCGTGGCGAAGAAACAAGCAAACGCCGACGGGCTCGAACTAATATCGCAGCTTGCCAAGTTCAAAGCCTTTAACGAGTCGATCGAGTCTGCCCACAAAAGGCCATTGGACGAGGCAACGGCCAACCAACTAGAGCTCGGAAAACCGGGCGAGAAACGCCTCCTTCTCGATCGTTCCATGATCGAGCTTGACCCAGCAGCCGATGAGTCTGATCAGCCGAGATGTGAGGCTGTCCTTGTCAAAGACGGTGTCAAGAAAAAGGTCTGGGTTGAATGGAAAGAATATGACCCGCAAAGACCGGGGGATTCATCACCCCCGAAAGCCGTGATTGTCGAAAGAGTAGCCAAGCTAGCGGCCCTGCTGAACCATACACCAAAGCCAGAGGACTTTAGAACACCTCATTGCCTCGGTTATTTTGACAGAGGAAGCTCGAACGGGCAAGAGGACGAAGATGAGGACATCTTGAATATGCGCCTGGGGTTGGTCTTTGAAAGACCAGTAGACAGTGGCCTTGACCAATCTTCACCTCCGGTGTCGCTCCATGAGCTCCTCGAGACAACACGAAAGCCACCTGTCACAAAGCGGGTCAAGCTGGCTCATGCCATCAGTAAATGCCTGCTTTATCTCCATGCTGTCAACTGGCTGCACAAGGGGCTTCGAAGCCACAATATCATTTTCTTCAAAACCACCAGCGGAGACGTCGACTTTGGCAAACCTTACCTGTCAGGATTCGATTTCTCCAGGCCAGCCCGGGCGGACGAAATGACAGATATTCCCGGGCCAGGTGACGACATTGAGTACAACCTCTACAGGCACCCCAACGCACAATCAACAAACCCAGACGAACGTGAGCGTTTCAAAAAGAGTTTTGATATCTACAGTCTCGGCGTCCTCTTGGTTGAGATTGCCCACTGGGCAACCGTCGACAAAGTCCTCGGCATCAACCTCAACGTCGCCCGCGGCAGGCCATCATTTGCCCTCAAGGTCCGCGATAGCCTGCTCGCCACCGACCAAATCGCGGAGTTGGGCGCTTGCATGGGGGAGCTTTACGAAGGAGCTACCCAGAAATGTATCGCCGGGGGTGAACAACTCGGTCTATCAGAAAAGGACGACGAAACAAACGACGCAGTGGCGGCTCGCCTGTCAATGGTCCTCCACGAAAAGGTAGTCAAGAAGCTAGGTGAGATCCAGGTCTAGCCAGCCAGACACTCTCCAAAATACACAACCGAACCTTAAAATAAGCATTTGCATAACTCCACTGGACGGTTCCTACATTTTGGTTGACGGGGCGGGTACCTTCTCTTCTATTTAGCCTATTAAATTACACCCGTTCAACGTTACGCTATACCCGCCACCTAACCGGGAGGCTGGAGTAGATTTCTCGTGGTGTACTAAGGCGAACTTTTTTCACCGCGGGGATAAAGGAAACTGGGCCCGGTGAGCCTGTGATCCGATGGAGGGAAACACCAAATCGCGGAGACTTACTACACCGTACGCTCTCGGGTAGCGAGATCCGGCTGCGGGGGACCGTGACTGTGACAAAAGGTCCCCTGTCTAACTGATGCACCGAACCGTAGTAGGTGTTTGCCTAGTGGCGATATTAAACACAGAGATCCCCAGATCTGCGTTTCCTGTGCCAAGATTTTTGTTCTTTACACAGGTGGGACCCTTTCAGTATGGTGCGTTTCTTGGGGGCAGTTGTTGCCCTGGCTGGGTTGGCTGCGGGTGAATCTCTCAAGAAGTTGAATACTGGGTTGACTATCTTGACGAACAATGATCTCCAGGGTAGGTTTCCTATCTCCCAGCGTTTGTGTTCATCTTTGACTAACACCCAAGCAGGACCTGAAAGCCGCTTTGCGGACTCGACTGTGATCGTGACCGAGTCTCGTGTGGCTAACAATGAATTTGAAAAGATCTGCTCTGGACTAGGAGAGCAACCATGGTCGGAGGGCAAGAAGAAGGGCGAGAAAGGCTTGCTTCAACCGTTGTTTGACTATCTTCGCTATGAGAAGCGGGCGAGCTCATCGTCTAGGTTCTGGATCTCAGGCCGCAAAACCATCGACGTTGACAGTGATATCAGCTCGGCTAAGAGCCGTGATGAACTCGCTGGTCTTTGTACCAACAAAGCACCCTTCTCGAATGAGACATTCCAGGATACGAGCTCGAAATGGCAGGTCTCGGTAGATGTCAACAACCAGACTTTGACAGGGTATGTTTTCCGTTTCGTGAGAGGCAACATGTGCTGACCTCGAGATAGCTTTCGAGACCGTCTTTCTTTCCGCTTCCTCGGAGTCCGCTATGCGCCGCAGCCGCAAAGATTCACATACCCGACTCTGTTCCAGGGCTCAGGAGAGGCTGCCTCTGCTTTGGAGTATGGCTCCCAATGTGCCCAGGGAGGCAACACCGGTACCGAAGACTGTTTATTCCTCAACATCTGGACACCCCACCTCCCCAATCCCAACTCCGCTCCCTCCAAGAAGCAGCTCCGCCCTGTCGCCTTTTGGATCCACGGTGGTGCCTTCACAGGCGGTACAGCCAACGACCCGACCTTTGACGGGGGTAACATGGCCTCCAGAGGTGACATCGTCGTCGTAGCTATCAACTACCGCCTTCACACCCTCGGCTTCCTAGCCCTCAACGACGGCAAAACCAACGGCAACTACGGCCTCGCCGACCAACTCACAGCCCTGGACTGGGTCCGGAAAAACATCCAATCCCTCGGCGGCGACCCAGACCGCATCACCATCTTTGGCCAATCCGCCGGCGCCGCCTCGGTCAGAGCCCTGATCGCCTCCCCCAAAGCCCTCGACAAATTCTCGGGCGCCATCCTCCTCAGCAACCTCGGCGGTCTAAACTACGGAACAACCTACTCGAAATACTACACCATCCCCGAGCAAGTCTCGGTGGTAGCCAACACCATCCTCAACGCAACAAACTGCACCAACGCCCCCTCTCAGGTCGACTGCCTCCGCGCCGTCCCAGCATCGACACTGACCTCCCTCACGTCAGCGAGATATTTAGTGGTAGACGGGACATACCTCACCACATCAGAACTGTCGCTTTCTCTTCCTTCTCCCAAACGCCGCCGCCCGTTAAATATATTAATGGGCATCACCCACGACGACGGCGCCCCGTTTATCAGTTTCCCCTCGTCTACCACCACCAATGCTACTGAGTACCTCCTCTCCCAAGGCTTCTCCCCCTCCCAGCTGCCCCCCTTAGCCCACCCAAACACAGGCAACGCAACACTCGACCTGTTCAACCTGACCACCCGCCTGGCCACAAACGCAATATTCCGCTGCGTAGACCAAGCCACCGCCTTTGCCGCCGTCCAAAACAACCTCTTCTCCTCTTTATATTATTACGAATTCGACCGGACATATCAAATGCCCGGCTGGCCCAAGCTAGACGTGTGCGAGCCGCCGCGGACGGAAGGGAAACCATTGGGTGATACAAGGAAACCTTACCTGAGGTGTCACTCGGGGGAGTTGTACTACGTGTTTGGGACGTTGAGGAGGCAGGGGATGAGAGAGAGAGATGGTGATGGAGGGGATAGGGCGTTTGAGCAATTTGTCTTGGACAGTTTTGCGCAGTTTGTGAAGGAGGGAGATCCGAATTTGGAGAGGGGGTGGTTGAGGGTTAGGGGGGAAGGGTGGAAGAGTAGTTTGGAGCAGAGGGAGAGGGCGGGGGTGTGGGAGGCTGTGAGCAAGGGGAGGAGAGGGGGGGTGCTGAGGGGGTTGGATTGGCCTGTGTCGAGGGATGGGCTGTTTAGGGAGGTGGAGTATTGTGAGAGGTTGGGGTTGGGGCTGGGGTATTATTTGTGAGCGGTGGTGGTCTAGGTGAGGATACAACGGTGGTTTGGGTAGCTTTTGTTATGAGAGATGAGTTTAGGTTATGACATGGTGGTCGTGTTGACGACTTGATCAAATAGCAGTCGCGAGAATAAAGACCATTTTAAATGCGACTTCACCGACCAACCAGGTTCATTGAAACTATTCCCAAGGCTCCCACCATCGTGGACTTACTTACTTACACAGCCAAGTAAAAACAGAAGAAAAGGAAAGTCGAAAAGGGCAAAGGAGTTCACCAGCCAACCCTCCCGTTTCCAGGTTGAGAGGGGTGACCGGCTACGAAAAACCCCGTAGGGCTTTTACTCCGGATAGGAATCGAATCGAGAAGGCTGCTGGACCCAATCCTTCAATTGGGAGCAGCTCCAGCAGCTTTACCACTGGACTACGAGGGGCCAATATGGATAGGCTAACTGGAGCTGTTGGAAGGGGCGTGTTTGACCTACTACACAAACCATTGGTTGCTCCAAGGAAGGAGCAACGATGTCTGTAGGTCAATTTTGGCTGTGATGAACCCGTTGACACTGACAGCAATGCCAGCGATGGTTCTTGCTCATGCGAGCCAGTCTTACCTCGTTCTTGATCAGCTCATGTGTATCTCTAACCAGCCCTGCTAAATCTCGAGCAGTGCGAGAAGCAAAGATAGGTGGTCAACCTCCTCCACACCACCGTTAGTATTCTACTGATCTTCTCAACAATCACGGCATGCACCTTACCAGACTCAACCCCCCACGCCGCCGAACTCGAGTCTCGCCCTCCCCGTCCAAAAGTGCCTATCCCACCTCCCCTCTCCGCCGGTGACCATGCCCCCCCCCCCGAAAGTCCCCTACAGTGCCGAAGAGATATTTGCGTATTGCTGATTGTTTGCTTGATATCACTCGTTTCCAGAATCAGAAAAGCATCACTATCCTGCTAGTCATCATGGCGTCTGAGAATCACACCTCGCATTGAAAGTTGCAAACTTCGATTAGCATTTGAGTATATACATCGACATAGCATAAACTACATTCCATCACCCCATTGACCCAGAGCAACCCGAAGAAATTTGGGAGGCACTTGTGCCCCAAAACCCTAACTCTATTAGTCTAGAAAGATCTAAATACTTTACACTACCCCATACCCAATGACCAACGCCGTCGCCGCCGCCGCCGCCGCCGCCCCAAAACCCAGCCGCTGTTGTAAATTTTTCTCGCGATTATCTTCTCAAAAGTGCCAAACCCCATAACTCAACAATGTGTTGCTTTTTTTACACTCCAAAACTTTCTGTCTCATGGTACGCTCGCACGAGACCGCTAGCTCACGGCCGGGGTCAGGGCTGGCCCGACTGGCTTGGATTTCTTTGTCGGTTGCTGCGCCGAAGAATCATCCGGCGCTTGTCTCTTGAGCTTCTTCTTCGGGGGACGCGGCCTCACCTCGCCAGGTTCGAATACGTCGTCGGGAAGCATCGTGTTCTTGATGTGGGTGACGGCGAGAAAGTTGACGCCTTCCTTGTAGAGGTCGCTGCTGCGACACATGCTCATCCACTCCTGGACCTCGCGAGAAAGATCGAGTGACGCGGGCGTCTTGCCCAGCTGTAGCCCAATGTAGTAGTTAGTGGTAAACACTTCCAGTTCCTGTTTCTTCTCCGGGATATCGGCAAGCTTGACTTCGCCGTCGTTGCCGTCTTTCTGTTCGACTCCATCTCCATTCTTTGTGACTTCTTCCTGCTTGACCCCATCGGCGACTGGTGGTGGCGCCGGGGGTGGCATGGCTGACTCTGCGCCCGGTTCTGGCTTGATGGCAGCTCCATCTGCTGCGGTAACGGGCGGGGGTGCTGCAGTCTCGGTACCAGGCTCGGGCTTAACGACTGGGCCATCTTGCAACACACTCTCTGGCTTCAGATTCGCATTGATCAACTCTGCCTTGACTTCTGTCTTGGCTTCACCCTTGGCCTTCTCCTCCTCCTCGGGCGTGGGCTTGTACAGGTATGCCAAGCTTCCGCTGTTGACCACATCTCCAAGCTGCTCATAATTTTGGCAACGGTGCTGACGGTCGTACCCCTTGTTGAATGGGCGCGCCAGTACTATGGCGGCATGATTCTCAATCTTGTTCACAAGAACACGCACCCTCGACTCAATGAAACCTGACCACACGTTCTGGGCATCCTTGGTCCTGCTAGACGAAATGACTGTAAGGTAATACCGAAAGTCAGACGTGAAGAAGGTGTGTTTGGTGAATAGCGCCTTCCACGGTGCTCTGCCTGTCATGATTTCCTCAGTTACCTGGACTCCTTTCTCCAACTCTTGCATGATCACCACCTTGGAGGACCTGTTGATGTTGTGGGTTGCGCACATGGCTGGGTATGCTGGGGTGATGATGGGCATCCTGTGGTTTCTGTCGCTGGAGTATAGCTGTACAGATGGTGAGTCAATTGCTGTCCAAGCTTATGAGGTGTTTGACGTACCTTGGGATTCCAAACAGGGGCCCGTGTAACGGAAATATTGTACTCGATATCCTTGAGCAAGACAGGCAGCGGCCAGGGCCACTTCAACATGATATGAAAGAACTTGTTCACCACAACCGCACTTGTTGCTTTGGGATACAGCTGGCACACTCTGGCAACCAGCATGGCCCAGGCAACACCTCCGGGGAAACCCATAATGTTCGCATAGATGGCTTTGCGCTGCGCCCACAGCTTGATGGCCCGGAGAGCTAGTTTAAAGGTAGCAGGTTCGGGGACGAGGTTGAGGATCTCATCTGTGACTCTTGTTCCGTTGAGCGAACGCACCTCATTTTCACTCAGTCCGCGCAGCAGAGTGTTGTCGGTCAAGTTCCAACTCTTGTCCTCGGGGATCTGGGTGAGACCTTTGATGGAGCAAAAGATCAGATCGATGCTGATACCGGAAAACTCAAACTTGATGATGGGCACAAAGGCGTCGGGGACTGGAGTGAGATCAGTGATGGCGCCGGGGGGGGCCATCTCGACGAGGAGGGGAGGAAAGAGACGGAAGTACTGCTCGGTCGTGACATGCTTGGGGGCCACCACCAGGGTATCGATATCGGAACCCGGACCATAGACACCAAGACGGTAACTGCCATAAGTAAACACCCTCCCAATCGCTTCGCGCACCATGAACGAGTTTTGGGTCTCGGCCGTAGCCTTCTTGACAAACGCAGTTGTGATTTTCTCAAGCTGAGCAATAACCTTCTTCCTCGCTTCTGTCTCGGCGCGACTCTCGAAAGTGCCCTGGGCACGCAGCTCCTCATGGAGCGCCTGGTGCATTCGCTTCTCTGCCTCGGTGGGGAGAGCCGTCGAGATGGGCGGCGTGACGCCGTAGACGCGTTCAGTCATGGTGACTATTGAAAGATGGCAATTAGGTATTTCTGGCAAGTGGTAGTTGAAAAGCAAACCGAACGGCGGCACATGTGGTAGTAAATCAAAAGTAGAAGAAACCGAACCTTAATGAAGCAGTTAATAAAACCGAGCAGGAGAAGAAAAAGTGAAAGAAGATGCAGCGACCGAACCGAGTTCAAGGCATGGTACGAAGTATGTCGTGGTCGATGCCAGGCTGGTCACCTCGACTGCGCTGAAAGGAACTGAAGTTGGATGATGCTCAGAGACGTTTCCGCGCTTTTGATCACTGCGACAAGAAGCAACTCGCTCAGGGCCAGGGCCCGTCTCTCTTGGCGCGTTTCTGCGCACGGACGCGGCCCACAGGCAACGGGTGTAAGCTTACCTAATCAAGAGTTTCTTATGCCGCTGCTTCAGCGATTGACTGATCTCTTGGACGATGGAAGAGATAGAATAGAATTATGAAGATAATCTGAAGATAATCTTGCAGTGTCTGCTGCCACGTCCTGAAAATCTCTCATTTATGAACTGTCAACTAGGACACGAACAGCTGTGGCACTGTAAGCTGTCACCTCCGGAACTGCCTAGCCTTGGACGCCACCCTACTTCCAAGTACCCATCTCCAATACGATGTCCATCAAACACCGGGTATGTCGTTATGAAGTGTCCCTCGCCATTTCCTACAAGACTCGTATCACGAAGAACCAGAGCCAGGCTTAAGATCGCTCAAGTCTCGGCATGTGCTCACACTAGGGACAAACATGCAGGCCGCGACATGAAATATTAAGACCTTAAAAGACGATAGATGCCGTCAATTAACTCTCTTGCAAGACATCTCGATTATTCCTGAAGTCCTATCAACTACCTGGTAGGGACATTGACTATGCTCCGGCAGATATTGACTGTCTTTCAGTAGCTCTATGATGGGTACCAGTCTACGTATCAGTTTTCCATGATATGGCCTACCAAGAGCAATGCAAGCCCCAGCGTTCTGGGCATTCACAAGCCTCTGGGAGATCTCCAACGGCATGTGGAGTTGCATCAACCTGAACCAATCTGCCATGCGTCACAGGCCCCGCCCCCACACTGAGCTCCCGGAACGCCAGCCTTGTGATGCAGTTCTAGATTCCCGATTCTATTTCTATATCACAGCTCAAGCAGTTTCCTGTATTGCAGTCGCACCCGCCCAATCGACCACCAATGCCACCGCCTACCCATCCCCAAAATGAAGAAGACACTCCTCCTCTGTTTCATCCACGGCTTCAAGGGTAACGACCACACCTTCGGCCCCAACCAAGCCTTCCCAACCCACCTCCTCTCCCTCCTCCGCCACCTCCTCCCCAAACTCAACCTCGAATTCCTCATCTACCCCACCTACGAAACCCGCGGCGACCTAACCGATTGCGTCAACCGCTTCCGCGACTGGCTCCTCAACAAGGTAATCGACCTCGAAGTCTCCCTCGGCACCCCCTCCCCCACCGTCGAGCCCGGCGTCCGCGTCATCCTAATCGGCCACTCCATGGGCGGCATCGTCGCCGCCGAAACAGCCATCTCCATCGCCTCCGAACAAGCAATCAACGGCTCCATCCCCAACAACGGCAACTCCCCCGACCAAGGCAACATGAAAGCCCCCCTCAACTCCCTCATGTTCCCCTACATCCAGGCCGTCCTCGCCTTCGACACCCCTTATCTCGGCATCTCCCCCGGCGTCGTCGCCCACGGGGCAGAAACGCACTACTCCAAAGCAGCAGAAGTGATGGGTCAACTAAGCGGCCTGGCATCGATATGGGGCGGTGCTTCTTCCAACGCAGCCAAAGAAAACTACCACCAACAACGACAAGCTCCCCAAAAAGCCATCGAAGCCCCACCATCCACCCAGAAACAACAACAACAACAACAACAACAACAACAACAACAACAACAACAACAACAACAACAACAGCAACAACCAGACCAAAAACCACAAACCGGAGGAGGCGGCTGGGGAAAATGGGGAACCCTCGCCCTGGCAGCCGGAGCAGTAGGCGCAATAACCGCAACAGGAGCGGCAGCCTACCTCAAGCGCGAGCAGATAACCCAAGGCCTCACCTGGGCCACCTCCCATCTCGAATTCGTCGGCTGCCTCGCCCGAAAAGAAGAACTTCGGAAGCGGGTGGCGTACATGATGCGCCTCAACAAGGAGCTGAACGTCGGTTTCGGGAACCTCTACACCCGGCTGGGGAAAAGTGCCGGGGCTCTCGAAAAGGTCAGCATGGTCGGCACGGTGCTGGGAGACGAGAGGACGTTTTGCGTGGTGCCGCAGAGGGATCAGGCCGGGGATTGGCGACCAGCAATTAATGACAAGGCGAGGGATGAGACGTGGGCGCACATGTGTGAGCATTCTTCCAGTTGTGAGATCGAAACGAGGGTGGCTAACAAAGACGACAGCAATGTTCGAACCAAAAGAGAATCCAGGATACGACAAACTCTCCGCTGATGCGAGAGATATGATCGCAAGCTGGGTAAACCAGGAATGGTATGAGAGCTCGACAGAGACGATACACGCATGAAGAACAACATAATAAGGGGCCAATGGCTCGGCGTTGAGGTTGGGACGGTTGCTTTGATTTGGAAATCGGCGTTCTTCTTTGTTATGGGGTTCTCCTTCCGCCCCCTTTTCCTCCTTGCCTTTCTAGATAACCAGGTGCTCGCGGCTTCGCTTTCTATGATGCTCCTCCTCTTGTCTATAACGTCGTACTAGTACACAAGTAAGATACCACACACGTTGATCTTTTCCGCCCCGTCCTTTTCAACGCATTGGAAATGACCGCTGTTTTCCTTCAAAGTGCAAACTGATGCAATCGTACCATGGTCGTCCAAAAAACCAATGTCGTAATGCCATAACGCAATGCCAGATCCTCCCGTCTTGGACCTCATCTTAACTCTGTTAATCCCCTAGATTCCTCAACCTCTCATTTACTGTCTCTTCTTCTGGTTCTTAACCTCCTCCCCCTTCGCCCCAGCACCAAGATACTTCCTCCTCTGCTTCAACATATGCCCATAAAGCACCACACTCCCCGGGATATAACTTAACAACACCGCCCCCAGCGCATAAGGGTACCAGCTGCTCCAAGCAAACGCCTCACTGCTCGCAGGACCCCAAAGAGCCCTGAGCGTCATGGCAACCTCGGAGCTGATCCCAATGGGGTAGAGGATCAAAAAGGCAGAATACCTCAGCCAGTGAAGAGAAGCCGGGATGCGGTCGAATTGCTTGAAGACGAAGTAGGTGTATCGAATAACTTCGGTGGTGGCCCAGGCGCAGAGCATGGAGGAGTACCAGTAGGAAGCGTTGAGCTGGGGGAAGGGGAGCGTGATGGCGTACATGAGGAAGAGGCGGGAGGCGACTTGCATGAGGGTTGTGAAGACGGGGGCGGGGACGACGCCTGGGGGGTGAGTCGTCAGCGAGGCTCCCTAGAGAGTTGAGAAAGGGGGGGGGGACTCACCAGTCAAAGCATGCAAAATCTCCATCACAGCAAACGTCTGCGTCACCCTCGCGAAATTGTCCACCACCAACGGAACGAAAAACGGATCCCCCTTGTAGTTCAACGTCACGACCACCCTCCCGAGCACCGTCAGCCAGGCCACCGCCGAGGCGGAGTTGTATAATACAAGGTATAGCTTTTTCGGCGTGAGGGCCGAGGTGGGCGGTTTTTGCGTGGGTCTTGTTGTTGTACTCATATTGTCGGTTGGAATGCACAGTCGTGATACCTAGTTGGGAATGCGTGGTGTTGTGAGGAGAAAACAGAACAGAGCAAAAATTGTTTTGGGGCGGGATTCAACAAAACGGAGCTGGTGAGCTGGACCGCGCCCTGCGCGATTCAGTGTGTGAGGTGACAGGGGTCTCAAGGGAAGTTGTCACTGTGGAGAAAGTGCGGGTCGCTCCGGTGGTGGGTTGGTTGGGGTGGTGCTTGGCGAATTGGGATTGAGGACGGCTAGGACGGAGTCGGGTTAGGGGACCAGATTGTCGGAATAACTGGAAGGGACGGACGGGTGATGATGATGATGATGATGATGAAGGGCTTTTTGAAAAAATATGGGGTTTTGAAAGTCATGGTCAATAGGGAGTAGGGGCATAAACTACGGCAACGCCGGGGCAGTGAAATGTCCAAAGATTTGGGGTGCTAACAGACAGAAGTGGCAACCAACAACCCCGCAATTGTTCAGTATAAATGCGCCAGCACAACTGTAAATACCCTCATTCATTCTCGTACAACAGGTAATCAAACATAAAAAGCAGAGTAGGTATCATCAATCCAAATTCCCAAATCCTCCCCAGTCCAAATCTAAACGCCATATCCCAATGCACATATCCATCATGCCTTATCGTCACCACCCTCCCTTCAAGTTCGTCACTTCTTCACAGCCCTCCACAAATCCCCCAACGACCGTCCCCCAAACAGAAACTCATCCGAGTGCCTCCCACAATAACTATTCGCATTCACCTTCCTCGGGCTCTTGACACTCTTGACCGAATCAGGCGGCGAGCTCCCATACGCCGTCCTACTCCGTGGAAACAGCGGGGCAGTAGTCGACGCAGGAGACGTAGGCGATGTCGCTTCACCATTGCAGTTAAAATAGTCCTTTTTCCTGTCGTCAGCCTTGTTCATTCGGCCTCTCCAACCACTACCAGGCAAACATACCGTTGTTCTGGACGATGAAAAACCCCCAATATCAAGCGGACCCGGGCGGGAGCCTTGTCCCGAAGAAGAAGACGAAGACGTCATGTCGCAAACAATTGGACAAAAGATTATCTGATCGGTGGTTACAGTTTGCACTGCCACCGCCCAGTTCCAGTGTGTCGGGTAGGTAGGGTAACGGGAATATATAAGCACTTTCCCTCAGAGATGGTGTGTATGTGTAAGCCTGATGTAGGACCTGAGGGAGAAGGAAGGGAAAATGAAAAAGGACTTGAGGAAAGTAGAACAAAAGTCCTTCCAGGCAAGGCTCCGACAACTCTTTTATTACTCACTCACCCAGTATTCCATTCGTTCGATACGAACCCCCAAGAAACTTAACAATCATGTCATCCTCCCACACTTGTGACCACTCCCCCCAATTTGGTCGCCTTATCAGGCATGGATGGTCCTCGCCTCGGTCCTCAGGCTTCCTCGGCGTGTCCTAAAAACGTAACTCTACAATGGTTACACTTCCGTCTTAGCCGTCCAACGCCGCCGCGAGCTGAGGACGGCCCGAGTTGTTAGTCAAAGAACCTTACATGCTGTTAATCCCTAACATAACTGGTATCTGTTTCATTCAATGTGGGGTAATCTCCCCCCGTAGGGCTGGTCCCATGATTAGTTGGTATACGACTCTTTTGATTCTATTCGTCACTCTCCCAAACGCCATGCATACAAGAATTGCGGACCATATCATTCAGTGGTTCGGCGGTTCGCAACATGAGCAAGCACGGCAAGGCAACCGTCTTGGCTAACTCTACACAGATTCACCGCAATGCCACTTCTGGCCAAGTCGGCATAGATAATGCCGCTGCCTGGACTGCGGTGGCATAGTTACACAACATTTCTTTCGGCACCACATTCATCTGTGGACTGTTTTTGGACATGACTGTTTACATGTTTTGATCTTTTGATTTTCCCCCGTCTATCGTAGATTCACCTATTTGTCGAAACGAACGGCCGGGTTCTTTTGCACGAAGCTCAGGTCGACTTGGTGGCCGAGGAGCTCGCGAATGTTGGAGATACCATACTTGATCATAGTTGGTCTCTCCAGACTCAGACCGAAACCGAACACCCTCAAGTCCCTGGGCAGACCCATCGCCTCCAACATCTCAGGCCTGAAAATACCAGAGTTACCGATTTCGATGAGCTTGTTGAGGCCCTTGTGGTGGGAGAAGATTTCCATCGATGGCTCAGTGTACGGGTTGTAACTGTGAAACATCAGCATCTGCTCTTGAACCAGGGTAGAGCAGAACAACTTACGCAGGCTTGTAACGCAAATCTGTGACACCCATGGCGCCGAAGAACATATCCATGAACTCCATCAGGCCACCGAGGGTCAGGCCATAATCAGCAATGACGCCCTCTACTTGGTGGAACTCGCAAAGATGTGTGGCATCGACTGTCTCGTTCCTGAAGACTCTGTCGATAGAGAAGTACCGCGCTGGTGGCACACGCCCATTCTCGTCCTTCTGTTGCGCGAGCTTGTGCAGCATGGCAGCAGAAACGGAAGTGGTGTGTGTCCGCAGAACAAGTCTGCACTGAATTAATTCATATTTCTGCAAATTGTGGCAGGAACAACATACCTTAGCGACTCATCCTCAGCCCAGGGATATCTGTAACCGATCGAGTCATACTTGCCGTCCTGGTGGACTTGTTGTACGTTCTTGAAATACTCCTCATAGTCCGCCTTGTCATCTGGACCAGTGGCAGTAGGTCTGCCGGCCTTTGGTGGGTCTGAGACGTAGAAAGTATCTTGGAGATCACGAGCAGGATGCTGCTGAGGGACGAAGAGTGTGTCGAAGTTCTGTGATCATGTTAGCCACGCAGAGTTTGACCACGTCATGATCCAACATACCCAGAAGCCAGACTCGACGAACTGGTTGGTAGGCATTTCTGTGAAGCCCATCTCGAAGAAGATTTGACTGTGCAAGAGGTCAGTATAACCAGCCCAGGGTTAGGGGTCGAAACGGGGGGCTTGGCAGAGATTCAACTAACCGGAACTCAGAGCGGACCTTGTTCAGGGGGTGAAGGGCACCAGCATGTTGATCAGCACCCAGTGCCTTGAAGTTGTATGGCTCTGCCAGAGTGTCAGCCTTGTTGTCCTTATTGTCCTTCTCGTGCCGGCCTCGGACAGCAAGCAGTATTGGCTCCCGCCCAAGCCATGCGCACAGCTCTGCCAGCACTCACTGAAAGTAGCCTCCTTCCACGCGCCAGATGCCAGCATCTCGGCGGTAAGATCTGTCTCCTCCTTGACCATTTCGAGGGCGAACTTCTCGGCCTTGTGTATCGTGAAGGAAATGACCTTCTGGAGCTTAAGAAGCTTGCGCTTCTTCAGGTCGGCAATAATCTTGGCATCGTGTGTCTTTGTCTCCTTGATCACCCTGAGTTGATCCCTCGTTACATCGTTGATCGAGTCGACCTATACCACCTGGAGTCAGCATCTGTATGCTTGTCGTTGTCAACGACCAGACTCGGCGCAAACCACATACCAACGCAACCAACTTGCTACCATCCTTCTTGATCCACTTCTCCTTGAAAGCCTTGCCCTGACCAAGCTTGGTCACTGTCTTGTCGCCGATCTCCTTTTCCAAATCCTGAATCGACAAGCCTTCCAACGCCTTGTGCACCGCATCGAAGACACGGGCCTCGTGACTGCCGTGGCTGACGATAATCTCAGCCTCTGGTTCCAAGAAGGCCTCTTCGCGCTCGATTTGTTCGTATTTGACCATAGACCGGGAAGCGAGACGGTCGAGGGCGGCTTTGATGGACTCGAAGGGGATCTGGGGGAAAGCCTCGGTCGAGTTGATGGGGTCCTTCTGGGAAAGAGCCTGGAGGATCTCTGTGGTGAGATCCCCCGTTGAGGCGCTGCTTGTTTGAGCCATATTGCTGTTCTGGTGTGCAATTGGGATTTTTTTTGGCGTAGGTGGTGGACGACGGGAATATCTTCAACTACAGCAATGGCCACCCACACCAAGAAAGTTGATTTGACTCACAACCCCAGTCAGTCATGGCGGGGCAGCGATCGTTCAGACCCAAGACCCACATGCATGTAGCAGAGGAGAGCGCGGGGCTGATTTCAGCTGGATAGACTGATATCCGCTATCGGAGGTGAGCTTATCAGCTTACCGGGGATATTTCAACAACACCAGCACTTCTTTCCTATTTGGGCTTCAAATTTGGCTGGAGACATTGTACATTTTGCGACTTTCTCAGCAAAGGGAGTAACCTGTTCTTATTCCTCTATATAATATTTCAGAATAGCTTCTTCCGGTCAATGTTTCATGAACAAGTCAAAGAAGAAGTGTCACCTACTCCCTTTCATTTTGCCCTCACTCCAACAACGGGAATAGACCGCACCATCAGCCTCATCTCTTTTCATTCGCCGCGCACTCAAAACAACTATAGGTCCCAAGCCATGGAGTGTTTATACCAAGGAGGAGCTAGGAACGACACATGTTCTCTCTGGACACAATGAGCCCTCACATGACAAGAGAGTAGGCTTGCATACCTAGTCGATCCCAAAATGAAACAGACCATTTAGACCTCTCCCGTAACTCCTAGCTACATAAATGCGTGCATTGAACTGTTCCTGTGTTTTTCGCTTTGGCTTTCCGTGATGAACACACAAGATGGCACCATACTCTCTGTTCACTTTGCTCCAAAGAAGACAACACTCACCATATCTTTGCAGGGTGAGTACACTAACACTGTCAGTTTCTATCCTGTGCCGCTTATAGCAGAGAATTCACACACTCTCTGCAGCCGCTCCAGCAGCACCGTGAGCAGCGAATCTGGGCTGCCCCCTTGCCGGCACCCCTTTCACGGGACACGCCGGTGAGCCTCATCTCGACAGATATATCTTTCATTCTGGCATGGATACGTTGCCTCTTTCATACTTGCCCCCTCTCAAATCATTCTACACCCATCTCATACCAAACCGGCCCCCACAACCATCGACAGAAAATCATGTCTTCCACCAATCCCACCACTCCTGGCCTTGCCAGTCAGAGAAAGCCCAGCAACTCCCGCCACCGCACAGTCCCTCCAGAACCCTCCACCTCCCCCCCTCCCGTCCGTCTAGCCAACCCAATCATCAACCCCAGCGTGTCCTATGCCCCTAATACCGCTACCGGGTTCATCATAAGCCCTAGTCGGACCCCCTCCAGCGTGCAGAATGTTACCTCAACCTCTGGTGTTCATAATGTCACTTCCCGGCAGCCTGTAGGTCTCCCCTTCCTCTGTCCAACCCCAAACTAACACCCCAACCTCAGCGCCCCATCGAACCAATGGTCCTCACCATTCCGTGTTACATTGAGCCCCGAAGAGAGCAGAGCGGCAAATGCTGCGAAACTTACTAGTATGGTCCCACTTTACTGAGAGAATAGACATATCTGTAAACAAAACGGCTGACAAAACAAAACAGTGACATCTTCGACTTCTGCTGTGTCCTAGGGCCCCCGCTGCCGAAGGATCCAAGGTTGATACCTAGGCATTAGCTCATCGATCATCATATCATTCTCCATACCGATGGCATCAACCTCCCGAGGGTGGAATCATGTGGAATGAGGTTTTCCGTCATCCGGCAGCCCATACCACTGTCCAGAGCCGATATACTCAACGCCTACCCCAACAACAGCCAGTCCTAGACACAAATTCGACCCACAAAAGCTGCAGACTTACACATCAATCAGCCCACGAAAAGAGGCCAATTAAGGTGTGTTTATGGCCATCTATCAGAAATCGGGAGGCATATTTACCAGGGGGGGAGGGGGATGTGGAAACATGGGCCGTCCAGGAGAAAGTTAGGACACGCCCTTCTTACTTGGATATAGACAACAATAATTTGGCCTACCGTGAGTGTCTCGAGAGGAAAGGGTCCGAATGCTATAGACGCAATACCACCGGGTTTAACCAATGTGCATGCATGTTGAAGAAGCAACCCACAGACCTTAAGGACCCCTGGATCCAAGTCCCACGCCAACCAAGGACAGCCAACTCGAGAAATTTGCGGTTGATCAAGACCTTCACTTCGCGAACCAACACATGACTCTGATGTCAACCCGAGAATATTAAACCCCACCACAGGGTTGTATGTTATTAAATGGTGTAAGTTCCTGTATACGTGCCAAAAACCCTCCCACCGCCCACGCCGCCCCTGTCTTATGCAGCCCTGCGCCTATCGCATGGTATGTCATCCATCCACACGGGCCCTCGTGGGCAAAACGTGCCATCGTCCGCCCCCCTCAAAAAAACTCCCGAGTCGCCGCTCTCCGCCGTACGTGTGTGTGTGTGCGCGCGTGGTTGTAAATACCCAAGTCTGCTTTCGACAAATTCGTAAATCGCGGGCATGCTCATGTGTTTGTTGTACAAAAGCCCCCCCCTTTCTCATATCTGCTGTGCGCCAAACAACCAGCACTCTAATCCTGTGCTACAGTTTGCTGTGGTTCTTGTCAGCATGCCGGTGTATGTGATGTCAAACAGGGATCACCATGTCTCAAAACTTACCGACAGCCAGTTCATTCCCTCTTCCACACCAGAGCCATCAACGGCACTGCAAGGGACGATGCTCCAGTTTCTGTCCCTCAGCTCGCCAAGCCTGAGCGCCTGAGAGATGTCCGCCGCACCCTTCGCACCTGGTTGATCCTGCTTGTTGGCAAATACCAACAGCGCGGCATCCTTCAGCTCATCCTCGTTCAGCATGGCCGCCAACTCATCCGCCGCTGTCTGCAACCGCTCGATATCGGTCGAGTCCACCACGAAGATGACCGCCGCCGTGTTGGCATAGTAGCATCTCCAGTATGGCCTGATGCTAGTTTGTCCACCAAGATCCCACACGTTGAAGTTGAGGTTGTTGTATGTGACGGACTCGACGTTGAACCCGATCGTTGGTATCGTTGTTACTACCTCGCCGATCTGCAAGTCTTTGTTAGACTAAAACTCCTCCTGTGTCAAGAATGGAGAAAAGCGCACCTTGAGTCTGTAGAGAAGTGTGGTTTTGCCGGCGTTGTCCTGGAAGCGCGGCCGTCAGTATCGCGTGCGCATAGAAACGGATCAGGGGTCGGGAAGGCGAACCAGTCCGAGAATCAGAATCCGGATTTCCTTCTTTGACGAAAAGAAGCTGGACAATGAACCGAGCCATGACATGGTTTGCCCCATCTTCGCCCCTGCTGTCGCCCGGAAGTTCCGGCGCGTGGTTTGTGGTTGGGTATGGGGTTCGTCGAAGTTTGACAGGAGAATGTATCGCGGACCGAATCCACCGACAAGGGAGATCCGGAGCGGATGACGATGCGAAATCTGGCCCCAGAGGGGATGACGTCGCCTGGTGTGTGGGAGAGGATATCGGGAGGTGGAATGACCGGATCGCTTGAGTATGGAATTCCCAGTTGCCCCCTATCTCAGAGTAAAGGTGTCAAGAAATTTCGGACTCGCAGGTTCATGCAACTTTGGTCCCGTTCATGAAAGAGGCCGCTTCTGGTCGGGCTATCTGTATGGCTCCCCCTGTCAAGTGAATCGCGGGTGCACGGTCACTGCCCTGCTTGATTGGCAGACAAAGCCGACAAGGGTCAAAAAGCTTGAAACCCCGGTAAGGTTTTCAAGCCACACTTGACCGCTCCCACGAGCCACTTTTCTGCCGGCACGTGATGGAGTCACCAGCCACACCAACCGGCCCTAGCTTGTGCGCATTTTCTAAAGCCCACACCAAATATTCGGATTCCAACCCACCTTGACGAAGCATCGCGAAATTGACACCACTCGGTTATCACGACCACCACCGTCAAAATGCCGGTATGTAACGACTGTCCAGGCTGAATTTCTCGCCGATTCCGATTTTCTCGACCCCAATTTCGGCCTCCCTCGCGTCAGTCATGCAGAAATCTCAGAGGTCGAAATTGGAGAGGGGCACTCGACGGCAGCGAGTATCGTGACGCAACCAGATGCTGACCTCGATGTTTTCAACAGAGCCACAAGACTTTCCGGACCAAGCAGAAGCTTGCTAAAGCCCAGAAGCAGAACCGTCCCATTCCCCAATGGATTCGCCTCCGCACTGGTAACACCATCAGGTACGATCCCCGACCGACGAACATGGCCATCCTTCCTTCTCTTGAACGACCAGAGGAGAAGGATCGGCTTGATCACGAACCGACCGAACCTCTTTTTGCTGACCCGTCAACCACAGATACAACGCCAAGCGGAGACATTGGCGCAAGACCCGCCTCGGCCTCTAAATGCACTTTTTCTCAACCTCGCCTCTGCTTCTCATTCGACCCTCAAGATACATCCACAAGCAAGACTCGGTTCACCAGCCCTTTTTTTGCTTGCTCGCTTCTCCCCTCCCGCGAACAGTTCAACCAAGACCAGACGAAACGAGGACCCGATATTTTCTCTAACTCTTTCGGCTGCAATGCATATGCCATTTGGGCGTCCGTTGCATGAGTAACGGCACTACTGTCAACAATTCCGACCAAATGCGCCATGCTTGATCTTTTGTCTTGGTGTGGACCAGGAATTTCAAACATATCAATGAACGAATCGAAGTGGGAACGGACGGAGGCATCATAGGCGATGGGGAAAGGAAAAAGGGTTATGGTGCATTTAGTTCTGGCATGCGGGCAAGCAAAAACGGCAGGCAGGTTCTCATTGGGCGTATTAATTTGCGGCTTTGGTATCTAAATGAAAGGGTCTCGGGTTTTTTCTCTCCTGCCGAACTTTGAGATTTTTTCAAACGGAGTATTTGTCTGCCATTGGTATTCTTTCTAGGGTCACCATTGGGGAGAACTGGACTGATGAGTGCAAGAGAGAAAACGACGGCATGATTGTTTGATGATGTGGCTTGGCCGTGGTATCGTGTATGTGATGGTTGTCGACGTAGTGCCCAACAGGGCTCCGTTTGTTCATGACATTCCGGCATTCTTTGAGGAGTGAAGTCATTGTCCATGCTGCAAGCTTTCAATCTTCAACGGCCTCCATACCTACTACTAACCGTCTCATCAATGTAAGCTCTTACGGACGCCTTGGACAAGATAACTTCTGGCATTGAAGCTACGTAATCCAGACCGTTCCGAGATCCAGAGTAGGCCTTCATCTTCTGTTTATTAACTGGAGTGATTGGGCGTGAGCTAGGGAGATATCTTGCAGGGAGTTTTTCCTTCCATTCATGGGCTTTTGCTTCCTTCACGATACCCCCCCCCAGTCCCCGTAGATGTATTTTGCAGTGAAATGAATGTATAAGCGAGCACCTAGGTACTAGAAAGATATCATTAACATTGAAGTCATCATTTACCCTTGAAGATATCCAACCACACGCAGGGCAAGGCTAATCTCATCTATCCTCACGACTACAAGCGAATTGATCACCTGTTGGATTTGGACATGATCAACCTATTGAATTTGGAATTGGGATTTCTTAATATGGCCTTGTTTTGCCTTCAATAAAGCAACACCTGGCTGCAACAGGCAAACGTAATAGGTATCTAGGTGGAGCGAAAGTGAGTGAGTTTGATAGCGCAAGCTGGCAGATGACGCACTCACCGATCGCGTCACCCTCAACAAGCGCCTCCTCTCAAACTTTTTCATCGCCCTCGTTGCCAAATCTGGCGCCACCGTCAAGTCAGGCGACCACAGTTTACGGCAAATGCTCGTCACAAGGGGTTTATTAGATGGCGCGACTGCGCTCTGGCTTTGAGCCTCCAGCCATTGTCTTAACTTAGGGGCCCAGAAGGCACCAAAGGTTCCGTGTCCGGACAGACAATGGAGCCACACACAATGAATGCCACATGGAGAACAGCGAGGGCTTTGTCCCTTAAGGAAAAAAGTCAAACGCCACGGCTCACAAAGTCTGTTCACTGCATTTGGTCACCAAAAAAAGAGCATCTACCACAAGTGTTGGGTATGATATCCGAGAGCATCATGTATTCATCAGCCACTATTCTCTCCCCATTGCCCCATCCTCCCACCCAGATATAGATAGTTGGTTTTAAAGTTGTTTCGTGAAAGGAAAAAAAGTCCGTAACGCCAGAATCAATGCTAATTGATAAATGAACTCAGGCCCAACGATTTAAAGCAGACCCAAAATGCCATTCACCACTGCCGCTATAGAAACCCAGTCAGAGGCGTACTCGTGACCATGATGGTTGTGACCATGATGGTTGTGACCATGATGGTTGTGGCCTCCATCTTCGCTGTCATGGCTTGATGGCCAAAGCGTCGCTCGTTTCCGATTAACGATCCTCAGCCCACTCGTTCTCGCGGCGGATTTGTTCCTCTTCCTCGGGGGTGAAGTCATTTGTAATGTTGAATGTCTTGCGGATCTCTTCTGGCGACTTGCCCTTGATCATGTTGGCGACAGTCTTGCAACCAACGTCCAGGAGTTGCTTAATGTCGAGATAGTTGGCAGCCTGTTTCCGTGTTAGCTTCTTGGTTACTGGAAAACCACCCAAGACCAGTGATTCATACCAAAATGATCTCGAACAACATCTCTTGGTCCACCTGCATGAACTTCTGGTCCCACTCGTCGATGTCGGTGGTCTTCTTGCGATTATCGTTGTCATCGTCGGCGGATTGAGCAGCGTCATTCTTGTGGTACTTGCACCAGTCGATGACCTTTCTGAGCACGGCAGTATTGACATTTGGGATGGGGATCGGCTCAGCCAAAACAGCCTCCTCTCCGAGATCGTCAATCAAGTTCTTGATGAGAACCGACCGTTCGGCGACGATGCGCTCTAAATTGATGCGGTCAGCGGAAGAAGAACAGAAAGAAAAGAATACTGCATGTCGGATCACTTACCAACATCGATCCTGGCGCCCTCGTTGGACTCGAGCACGATCTTGGTGGTGCTGGAAGAATCGGCCATTTTGTTGCTGGAGAAGCAGAGTTAGAAACGGTTGGTTGTAGAACTGCGGACGACACGATGCTGAAAGCGTACTGAGTAAGAAAAGACTTGGGGAAAGGAGCTGTCTATAATAGAAGGCGAGTGATGCTGCAGAAGCGTTGATGATGGTTGGTTTGTTGGCGGGGTCTTGATGGCAGAAAGATTGGGAGGGGGAGGCAGCAGGAAGACGAGGCAAGAGAGCGTGGAATAAATACCTTATCTGTATGGTTTGGTTTGTGGAGAGTTCGTATCGCAAACTTCAATGGGTTTGTGGGACAGTGAATGGGAGAGCAAACGGATCTGGGGAGTGAAGGAGAAGGTAAGGTCGACAGGCAGAGAAGGTTAAGGGACGCTGGGTGCCTCTTGTGGAGAAAGTAGTGCGCACGGTCCACCGAGTGGCTTCTTTGATCGGCTTTCTTGAAAGATACATCGTTGGTGCCTGCTGTGGCGGGGCGGGTGACTCTCTGCCTACCAATGCCAGGCAAAAGCAAGAGGCTCAAACTTCTCTCGTGTTGCTTTCTCTCTGGAGTCTGGTGATGAACTCTGCTAAGATATCTTCACTTCTCACATGCAACCAAGAGTTAGCCATACAGCAAATCTTAAAATTTGGTGGGGTCCTTAAGCAAACACGATTCACCCCGTTCCATTATCAAAATCTGGGGATCTCTAATCGTACTCAGATGTTTACACTGCGGTGAACGGTGAATACCAGGAACGGAGAGATGATGTAGGCGCAGCCAGCCTTCTTTAGACAGCCTCTCACATCATCTTGTGGCTGCTCAAACAACCATGCAGGTCATCTCGCGGCGTGCAAGCTGTAGCCTCGTTCATTCTCCGTGTTTGCAGCCGTTCCCAGTACACAGCAGGCTGGGAAAGTGCAGCAAGAACCGGTTGCGTCGGGGAGATGCAATAAGCTTCAGTGCAGACGGCAGACGGAAATGGTGCGATGTGGTGAAATCCGGCCATTTGGGTGTAGTTAGCGCGGCACATCATAAAACGAACATCTCACTAAGCATCTCACTCCACTTTCAGAGCAGCTGTGAGCTGGTCCCGGTAAAAGTCCTTTTAGTTGTATCATGACATCCAAAAGTCTTCTGAAAATACTCAGAGTCATGAAGAGGGCATGATGAATGACGACCTTATAATAAACCATCGGCGGGGTGTTGTTATTGTCCCGCACTAGCAAATTCCAAGGCTGGAATAAAAAGCATCCAGAAGCGCACTGGCAGCCGTGACCCCTTGTCATCTGCGCCCCTGACGGGATTGGCGGACCCAAAAACAGCTCTGTCACTCCAGATGCCAAGCGCGTAGCCCAGCTCGATGGGCAGGGATCTGAATAAACACCCTGTCTTTCGCATGATGGTCTCCCCTCCGAGCAGTAAGTCTGGCTCCATATCGTACCCATCCTTCCCGTCCTTATTATCTTTATTTTGATGTATGTTTAATGATCATGACCTTGCTCCCTCTTCCATTTAACCTCCAAATCCCCCTCGTGCCCGGTGATGCTCGACAATAGACAACAGCGAAACTATTACTCCAACCTTTGCGCCCAACCCTAGAGATCGGATGCTGCGGCCTTGCGACAACATCACCACCACCCCATCCTCGCTGGCGTAAGAATAACGAGATTGCGAAATTAATATGTGGCGGAGAACGTATCTCTTTCTGGTTCTCGTCCGGCTTTGGTTTGCCCTATCACCAAGCTATCTCCATCCGGACGAGAACTTCCAAGGCCCCGAGGTTATCGCTGGTACGTCACAGATACTTTTTTTTAGGGGAGGACGGCATATCGAGCGCGGGATCACATCGCGCTGAGATTTGGTCTGCGCAACGGATTTTGGCTTTCAAAAACACAAGCGTTGGACTAGTGTGGGAATAGGGTTCTAACATGGCTACCCAACAGGGCAAATCTTCAAATACCCAGTCCGACACACCTGGGAGTTTACGAGCGAGAACCCGATCCGAAGCGTCTTCCCATTATGGCCGGTCTACGGGTTACCAATGCTTCTTTTGAGGTGGTTATGGATCGGAAACGGTAACGACGGCGAGATACCACCCATCGCTGTCTTTTGGACCCTGCGGGTCTTGATGTTTGTGGTGGGGTTCGTTTTGGAGGATTGGGCAATCTACGAGTTGATCCGGTCGTCCCGGCATAGACGACTTGCTGTTCTCTTGGTTGCGTCATCGTACGTGACATGGACATACCAGACCCATACCTTTTCGAATTCCATCGAGTCGTTGGTTGTCGCATGGTGCTTGGTGCTCATCGAGCGCATTGTTGGGAGCCCAGTAAGCAACACCCCCGCAAATGCCGAGAATATACGAGATGCTGACTGGAGTCAATAGCAGGAGAGCACCGTTCTAGCCTCGACGGTCCTTGGAGTTGTTGCCGTTTTTGGCGTGTTTAATCGTATTACCTTTCCAGCGTTTTTATTGATACCCGGGCTTCGGCTGTTGCCCTACTACTTCAAGAAGTACAGGCCCCCTGTTCTTTCTCTCAGCTTCAAGACCATAACTAACATGAAACAGCCCTCTTTCTTTCCTCGCGATCGTCACCGCCGGACTCTTCACCACCGGCCTAGCCATCGCTCTCGATACCGCATTCTACACCCCACACTCGATCACCTGGTCCGATCTCATCCACAACCCAGTGCTCACCCCTCTCAACAACCTCATCTACAACCTCGACCCCGAGAATCTAGCCAAACATGGCCTTCACCCCTGGTACCAGCACATCCTGGTCAACCTCCCCCAGCTCCTCGGCCCAGGAGCCCTCCTCCTCTTCACCCGGCCCCAGCTCTCCCTTCGCCTATATTCCGCCATTTCTGGAATCGTGGTGTTGTCCATCTCCCAACACCAAGAAGCCCGCTTCCTCCTCCCCACAGTCCCCCTAATCCTCTCCTCGGTCCGCCTCCCCAAAAGCGAGAAGCTCACCCGCATCTGGACCGTATCATGGATCATCTTCAACTTCATCTTTGGCGCCCTAATGGGAACCTACCACCAAGGCGGAGTAATCCCCGCCCAGGTATTTTTATCAAAACAACCCGACGCCACCCAGGCAGTATGGTGGAAAACCTATTCCCCCCCCATCTGGCTCTTGAATGGAAAAAACGAAGTCCTAACGACAAAAGATGTGATGGGGCTGGCAGGGGATAAGTTGTTGGCGCAACTAACAGAGTTGGCTACGTGCGACCTGCCGGCGGACAGGAGGAGTAACGAGTACTTAAAAGAGAAGAAGGGGACGTACCTGGTCGCGCCGCTGAGTGCGACTTGGCTGGATGGGTATTTGGAGAATAAGGGGCATGATGGGTTGAGGTTTAGGGAGGTGTGGAGGTACAAGAGGCATTTGAATATGGACGATTTGGATTTTGGGGAGGATGGGGTTTGGAATACGCTGGAGCGGGTGGTGGGGAGGAGGGGGTTGGGGATTTGGAGGGTTACGAGGACTTGTCCGGAACGGAGGGGGAGTTGGCGTTAATATGGGATGGGATGGGATGGGATGGGTAGATACCACTTGGGAGGGATATTTGGGTAATGGTTTATATCACAGGGGGGTTATTTGATTTTTGAGCGTTTTTTTTCTTGTGTCTCATGATATCAGATCTAATGGCATGTGTGAGTGGCTATTTTCTGGCCAATATCAAATTCTTGGGGATGGCTATGGGAGTGAAGTGATGGTGGTCAGGCACCCTGATGGTTTCTTTCTTGGTTGTGAGCCAGGGGTTTCGCTGTTTGAGCTTGGCAGCTCGGGACAATGCTTTGCAGCTAGGAAGCTTGGGCCACCCATTGCCGCATCGAATTGTATGCGTGCCCCACATCAATGTTGACGACTTCTTTGCTTGCCGAGAGGTTCCAGAATTTTGGGGGGAGCTCAGATCAGATCAGCTTATCGAACCGTCCGTGCAGTTTTCGACAGCTTCATCACCGTCACCACACACACACATTCTCTGATCCAACACCGCACACCGGTCAAACAGGGAGGAATACAGGCAAGATGGGTGGTCTTAACTTGGAGGTCTTCAAGGTTAGTCAACCAATCCATTTGAGGCGGAGGGTGGGGGAGGATATGCGCTGATGAGCTTGGGGGGGACCAGTTCGGAATGTACATCATGTTCCCCATCGGAATCATGTACTACTTTGGCACCAACCTCGACTCGAGATTCTCCGTCCCCGAGTTCTGGCCCAAGCCCGAGAACGCAAACAGGATCCCGCTCGAGAGGGACGAGATCGAGGCTGAGCTGCAGCGGTTGAGGGCTCGGAGGTTGTATCTTAGGGAGAAGAGGTTGGGGGAGCAGGGGGGGCAGCAGCAACCACGGGATCAGCAGGAGTAAGAGGTTGGAGGGGGAAGGTATGATATGTGTATGATCGAGGGCATGGTGCGCATTTTTGGGCGTTTGGGTTATATCAAAACACTCTCTGCTTTCTTTGGTTCGGGACTGGTTGGGGTGGGGGGAATTGATTGTGTTGTACATTTTCCATGTTAAAATACAAGTCTATATACACAGGATGGGAGGAGGAAGGGCACTATCGGCTCAAACACTCCTCAATCTTCCCCCACTCCTCATCGCTCATCTCCCCCCTCGTCACATTGCTGTAAATCGCCTGCACATCCCCGTCCTCCCTCATCTGCTCGAGCATCTCGGCGAACTTTTCATGCTGGATACCGCTGTCCAACCTCGCCTTGGTGCCCTCGTTTGGCGTCCAGACAATCCCGGCGCTCAACGCCTTGAGGTCGAACCTCGTCCCTAACGTCTTGGCTACGTGGGCCGTGTCGGATGGCTGTGTCCAAACAACAATGTTACCCTCGGCGTCATTTTCGAGATCTTCGGCACCGGCTTCTATCGCCTCGTCCATAATCTGGTCGATATCGACATTGTTTTCCGAGTCTTTCTCGAAGACCACCCTGCCGAGACGACTAAAGAAGAATTTGGAAGAGGACGGGGCACCAGAGATCTTTTTGACGCGGAGGTTGAGGTCTTGGAGGCAGCGGAGTTTGGACTCAGTTTCGGCTTCGATGATGAGGGCGATGGAGGGGGGGACTACGGCTTCGAAGGTGAGGGACTCGAGGGTGGCGCCCGAGGTGGATTTTCCTTGGCCGCGGGCGAGGGCGGCTTCGATTTTTTCTTTGGGGACGCCGGCTTTTTTGGAGGCGGTGATGATGTTTGCGAGGTTGGGGTTGTAGGTTGGGTCGGGGCCGTATACTTTTTGGAGTGTAAGGGCGAGGTATGGTTCAGGTGGGTAGTGGTGGGCAGTGGGACGACGCACATTTGCAAGAGACAGTTATCTGCTGAGTGTAGAAGAGGATGGTTTGCATTCTTTTGCGGTCGTTGATGGCTTTGTCATGGCGGATTTTGGACCACTTGTTGTGGCCGCTGGTGAGGAGGGTGGTGGTGGTGAAGGGGCGGGTGGTTCGACAGGAGGCGCATATCGTGGGAGAGGACCGGGTTAGGGGCGTGAGAGCTCGGAAGAGGGAGGCCATTGTGGTTGATAAGGGGGTGGGGAGACTGTAATGGTAGAAAAGAAAGAAGAAAAAAAAATGAGGGTATCTACAAACAAATTACCCGAAAGATTGCCAGCTCTCAGCCCCCAATCCCTCTCAGGTTTGTATCTGGCCTGGCCGGTCTTCAAGGTGCTTCCGCGATCAAAAGCTCCAACCTGGGGAGGTGGTTCTCAAAATATTAGCGCGCTGCCTGCCGGGACGGGAGTGGTGGGGCAGCTGCTCTTGCTTGGCCCCTCATCGATTTCTTGGGTTTCAATTGGCTTCGCCCTCTCTCTCCCCCACCGCCAGAGAGATCCACTACAAGGGTGTTGTGTGTGGTCATCACTGGTGCGGGTGTGGGTGCGCCCCTGACAACCTGAGACCTCTCCAGCTCTCTCCTTTCCAGATGTTGAGAACACATCTTTCTCCTCAGAGAAACACACACGACATAAACAGACAATACAATAATATCAGATGGCCTCGACAGCGGCCGTCACGGACGAGCCAACCCACGCGAATGGCAGCACCCCCCGCGCTTCCTCAGCAGCTGCCGCGAGCTCCAACCCTGAATTCGACGCTTCCAAGCTCCAGGGCTTATCGTCTGAGCAGCAGGAACTTTTGGTTCTGAACTTTGTCGCCGCCCTCAGCAAACATGTCCTTGCGCTGCCACCAGACGACTGTACCGCCCAGCAGGTCTACCTGAAAAAGGAGATTTTCAAAATCATAAACCTCGCCGCCCCGTCACCGAGCCGCGTCATACGTAACACGTTGGGCAAATGTCTGGCGCACATATTTGGCTTGGGGGATAGGAAGCTGCTGTTTGAGACGGTCAACGAGCTGGTGGGGATTATCTCGGGAGGCAAGTCCAAAACTGAAAGCGAGAACAGGACGAGACACGCTGCGGTGGTGTGTCTGGGGGATATCTATGGTGCGGCCGGAGACAGCGCGATTGGGTTGCATCAGTTGGTGTGCTCGGCTTTGCTGAAGCTGTTGAAGGCTTCTTCGAGCAATGCTGGACTGCGTGCGGCGATATTTACGGCGCTTGGCAAGGTGGCCAAGATGCTGGGAGGGAGTCTGGACGAGAGCATTGCTAGGGATATCTGGAAGCAGTGCAGGAGTTATGCGACGAGTGACAAAGGGTCGCTGGTGATCATCTCGGCCTGCCGATGCATGCGCTCGTTGGTGCAGCACACGCCCTACTTTCAGAACTCGACCGATTTCGACAAGCTCCGGTCCTGTGTTTTCAAGGTCTGGGACTCGCCGTCGTCTCATGTGCGATCTGCCGCCGCCGATTGCTTCGCTGAGGCCCTTGTCTGTGGCTACTCGCCCGCGGCCGTTGGGGAGGCGCCCCTCGTGCTGCTGAAAAGATCCAAATCAAAGGCTGTCAAGAGGCAGTCTATGCAGCCTGGAGCTTTGCAAGACGAGGATGATATCATTCCTTCCAGACCCTCGAGTCCGGCGCCAACAGGCAAAAAGTCCCAGGTGCTGGCGCTGTCACTGATTGACATGTTCAAGATGTTGACTACCGAATATGTTCGCATGTCAACGAGCAACAAAGCCAGGGCGGCGATTGCGATATGTTATGGCAACATGCTTCAGAAGCTGGGCGAGAAGACTGTGGAAACCAACTATATCAAAATGTTGGAGAACTTGACCACCGATGTGTTGGGCCACAGTAATATCTTCAACTATCGATATCGATTGCTTATTTCACGGCGCATGATTGAGGTTATTCTTCAAAATATAGTCGGAAAGAGGATTCTGGGCGAGTCTGGGCAAATCAGTGCTGCCAAGTCCATCATCAACAACATCCTCAAGAACTACCCGGAAGTGGTCAAGGAAAGACCAGAGCCGACAAAGCAGACGCTGATTGTTTCGCTGAGCGCCCTGTCATCCCTGATCAACACCTTGGGTTCGGCTTCGAATGCTTTTGCCGAGTCCTGCCGTGATGGTTTGCTCCAAGTCTTGCAACACCCAAGCTATACCGTGCAGGTTCATGCCTCGGCATGCTTGAAGACGTTCGTTCTGGCATGCCCGCAGCAACTATTACACTGTCTCTCGGTGTGCATGAACAGTCTCGGTAGGGAGTTGGGACTGCTCGGCACTGGAAGAAACTCACCTCGTCGCTGCATCGGTTTTGCCCATGGCCTCTCGGCTGGTCTCAGCGCCAGCCCACAGCGCCCCCTGTACGGGTCGGTCGATGTCAACAGTCGGGTGCTTACCATGGCCACAAACCTCCTCAAGTCGAGTGGCACTTCTGAGTTGAGGGTAGCCAGCACTCAAATTCAGGTCGCCTGGACTCTCATCGGAGGTCTGATGTCTCTCGGACCCAACTTTGTCAAGATTCATCTCTCCCAGTTGCTTCTACTATGGAAGAATGCTTTGCCCAAGGTTCTCTCCAAAGACAGCTCGATTCATAGGAACTACCTCAACGCTTCGTTTCTCACCCACGTCCGAGAATGCGCCCTCGGATCTATTCTCGCTTTCCTCGAGTCCAACAGCCGTCTTTTGACTGTTGATGTCTCGAAGCGGATTGCCACTATGCTTCAGAGCACTACTGCTTTTTTGAGAACACTCCCATCGAAGAAGACAGCCGAGGACATCAGCGAACGACTCTTCACTTCCCTTCAGCTTCAAGATTTGGAGATTATGGTGCAGAGAAGAGTTCTGCAGTGCTACACCAAACTAGTCAACATCAGCCCAGCAGGCGGCACCGAGGCTTTACTTCAATCCAACCTCCTCACCTTGGCCATTTCGCTGTTTGCAGACCCGGACAACTACACCCCTTCCTCCCTCAGCGCCTCCATCGCCAACTCTGCCGGCAACTTTGAGAGCATCTGGGACATTGGCGACAACTCTGGGTTCGGCATCACGGGAGCCGTCCGAGGGTTTGACATCCGGCCCCTTCCAGGCCAGCACGAAAACCCCGAAGAAAGGACTTCTTCTGGACAACAAAGTCCAGAGGAGGAAATTCAAAAGCTGCTGTTCTCGCCTATTTGCGGGACGCTTGAGCATGATGCCTCGCTTCTGTATATCGGCAGCCGAGAGGGCCCTTCTCTGCCCGATCCTGCTCCCACAGAGGTGGTGAACATGGCTATTCAGCTCTTTGCGTTTGTCTTTCCTTTGACACCGCCAAAGGTGCAGGAGAGTGTGCTAGAGCAGGTGACTACTTTTGTTGCGGCAGGGAGTTTACAGCGGGATCCGGGGAGGAAGGCGGCGATCACGGTGAATGTGGCTATGAGCTTGCTGGAGGTGTTACGGGTTGCGGTGAGGGAGACGAAGTCCCCTGGTGGGAACGTCACCAACCCCGCGGTGGAGAAGCTGATGCAGGAGCTGCTGAGGGATTTTGTCATTGATCGGGATCAGTACGTCAGGGCTATTGCCTATGAGGCGGTGGCGCGGCTGTGTTCGACGTGTGGAAACGCGTTTACCAATCAGGAGATCAAGTTTTTGGTTGACACGATTGTTGTCAACAGGGAGCCGAGCGCGAGGGCGGGGTGTGCGATGGCGTTGGGGTGCATACAGGCCAAGATTGGGAGCATGGCGGCGGGGTATCATTTGAAGACTATATTGAATATTCTGATGAGTCTGTGCAATGATCCGCACCCGACGGTGCACTACTGGGCGTTGGAGGCGATGGGGAGGGTGAGCGAGGCGAGCGGGTTGGGGTTTGGGAGTTATGTCAGTGCGACGTTGGGGGTGTTGGGGAGTTTGTATTTTGCCGAGACGCACAATGCGGAGACGGCGCTGCCGGCGAGTATGAATTTGGAGGTTGAGTACGGGACTACGGCGGCGATTGCGAGGGGGGTGGATAGTTTGATTAATGTGCTTGGGCCGGACTTACAGGACTCGACAAAGTCGAGGGAGTTGATCTTGACGCTGGTGGGGTTTTTTGGGAAGGAGGAGGGCGATTTGGAGACGCAGAGGGGGAGTTTGGTTTGTTTGGAGCATTTGACGCTGTATGCGCCGGGGTATGTGGATTTTAAAGAGTATGTGAGGACGTTGCAGAGGTATTTGGTTATGGGGGGCGGCGGGGATGAGAAGGGGTTGAGGGATGTGGCGGTGGATGGGTTGCATAATCTGATGAAGAGGAATCCGTATGATGTTATTGAGGCGGCGGAAAGGGGGTTTGAGGATCAGTTGTGGTTGGTGCTGGATGAGGATCCGGGGCATGAGGGGATGAGGAATACGATTAGGAATTGGATGAGGCAGACTTGTGTGCCGAATACGACGGCTTGGTTGGCGAGGTTTCAACATGTGTTGAAGATGACGAGGCCGAAGGAGGCGGTTAGGGCGACGGCGGTGACGAAGAAGAGCAACGGGGGGCTTGAGTTGCAGGATGAGGAGGTTGCTGGGTTTGCTGCTGGGGCCGCCAAAGATGATGCTTCTGCGCCGAGCGGGTCAGATGTTGAGCCGTTGAGGTGGCAGGTTACTACCTTTGCGATGGAGTGTTTGCATGACATCTTTACCATCGTCACCAAGGAGGTTGCTTCTCATGGCGAGTCTGAGGCTTATACGGCACTGCAGAGCAAGGTTGCCGATGTGGTACGTATGGCCTTCTCGGCGTCTACGTCTGGCGTCGTTGAGCAACGGATTTGGGGTCTCAAGATCATCGGTGCTGTACTCAAGATGTTTGGAAAGACACCGGATCCTGACTTTGAGGAAGCCATGCTGCTAGAGCAGTACCAGGCCCAGATCAGCTCTGCTCTGACACCTGCTTTTGCAGCAGATTCATCTCCTGAACTGGCAGCCGAAGCAGTTGATGTTTGTGCCGGCTTCATTTCGACCGGCATCGTCACAGACGTGGACAGGATGGGGAGAATCCTCAAGACCCTGGTCAGCTCGCTGGAGAACTTTGCCACAGAAGATGAGAATGCTGGTATCGGCGATCTCAAGGGCCTCAGTTCAAACGCCAGGGTCATGGTCAAGATGTCCGTGTTTGGTGCCTGGGCTGAGCTTCAGGTTGCTAGCTCTGAGCAGAAGTATCTACTGGACGTGCTCAAGCCACATATTGGCACGTTGACACCTCTTTGGCTGGAGTCTCTGCGCGAGTTTGCCAGGCTGCGCTTCGAGCCGGATATCTCCATGACTCTCGGACCCCCCTCACTTTCTGGTAGCTTGGATACAGTCTATGCTGCCCTGAACCGTGAGACGCAGCTCAAGTTTTATCAAGATTCTTGGCTCAAGCTGGTGGATGCCATCGCCAGTCTTATTGAGCAGGACAGCGAGTTTGTCTTTGATGCGTTGGACGGCAAGGAGGTGACTGGTCCGAACAGCACGAATGGGGGAGGGTCCAAGGGTGCTGATATCAACTATCGGGATGAGCCCCTGGCCTTTTTCTTTGTGCTTTTTGGTGTTGCTTTTGAGGCATTGGCGACCAAGCCGGGGCAGAGTGAATCGCTGGCGACGCAGGAACAGACTTTGGCTATTCTCAAGGCGCTGAAGAAGATTCTGCACCCGAGCGTTTCGGGTCATGCGATTTATAGAGATGCTATCTTCTCCGAGACAATGGATCTCTTGGATAGACTTGTTCTCACCGAGGAACTTGACGTTCAGGGAGTTATCGTCGAAATTGCGAGGGCTCTCTGCGTTGCCCACCCTGCAGCGAGGAAGAAGGACGAGGCCGACAGCGGGGAGCTATCCGAGGACATTGAGCAGCTGTTTGAGCTCACTCGGATCATTGTCTTGGTGTTGTCCGGTCTGCTGCCTGGTCTGAGCGAGACCCCTCAACCAATGCGTCACCAAATGACGGAAGAGGCGGTGTTGCTAATCAAGACAGCGTTGAACGCACTGGTTGATGCCGCCGAGGTGTTCCCCGCCGTCATCAAGACAGACCTCCATGCCTGCATTATCCATATCTTTGCTACCACCCTCGCCAACCCTGCCTGCCAGGAGGTCATTGTACCGCAGTCACTCCCCACTCTGAAGCGGTTCATCAGTAGCATGTCGCAATCTAGAAGGGTAAACGATGACGAGGAGCACTCGGCGACGGATATCCAACTTTTGGGATGCCTGAGAAGGTTCCTGTCGATTTACCTCAAGGGTCAGCAGAGGGAAACACCGGCCAGTCTGGCGTGTGTCAAGAATTGCTTGCTGGCTATGACGATCTTGTTTACGGCGGGGGAGAACCAGTTGCCGGGGAGTGAGCCGCTTGTGGCGAGGTTTTTGGAGGAGGTGGTGGATTGTTTGACTGATCGGATGGTATGTCCTGCCCCCCCCCCTTTTTTTTTTCCCCCTTTCCCGCCGCCCACAACTAACAGCGTGATAACAAACAGACGGCGAAAATGGCAGCCAACTGCCTCCGCTCTTTGCTTCTCCACGCGGGCAGCAAGAAGACTGTCGCTGACCTGACAATCACACGGTTCTTGTTCCCCCGTCTGATCGCCTTTGTGACGGACACCAACAGGGAAGACCTGGAAAACGCCCGGATGCTGGTCGCGCAGGCGTTGTGTCAGTATGTAGGGACTTTGTCGAAGGATCACAGCCCGATTGCCATGGCGTTGGTCATTCCCATGTTGCTGTCTAGAGCGGCGAGCGAGGATGATGTGCAGGATGGTGGGGTGATTGCGAAAGAGACGTCGGCGAGGTTGCTGGAGCTGGCGAGCGCGGACCAGAGCGCGTTTAGGGCTGTGGTTGGGGGGATGGGGGAGGAGCAGAGGGGGTTTATGGAGGGGGTTATCAGGAGTGGGAGGGCGCTGGGGCAGGGGCGGGATAAGGGGGGGCAAGGGGAGGAGGAGGAAAGGCCGACGATTGCGCTGAAGATGAATTTTGGGGGTTGAGGAAGGGGAGTGTATATATATAGATGTGACAGTGAACATGAAGCTGGTTAGAATATTACTTTCAGTTCCCATCATTTTGGTGACTGTTTACAGTTTTCATCTCTGTTTGGTGATCACTCACTACTCGATATTGTCTCATAATATTATTACATTTCCCCTTCTCTGCTCGCCCGTCACTAGCTAGCAGCCAAAATCTGCGCCGCCTCGGGCGCAGGACTGTGATCCTTCATCCCGTTACTCCTCCTCATCTCCTCTTGCTCTTTTTGCCTCTGTTCCATCTCCTTTTTCCGTTTGCTATTCACAAACGTGGCGTACCTCAACGTGCCGAGCGTCAAGACGGCCATGAACAAAATCCCGAGGACGGACCTCCTAATCAAGACCCACCTCACCTCTTCAATCTCGGATTTCGAATCCGAGTTCAACATGACTGATATTTTGTAATTAATTTGTTGGATCTATTTTCAATGTCAACACACCATCTCATTGTGTAGAAAGGGGAGACAAACCCTAGATTCAACAGCCTTTTGCTCCTCCCTAACAGCCATCTTACGGTCGTTGAACATGCCCCTTACGCTGTCTGTAAGTGTCAACAGGTCTTGATTGAGCCGCTGGGTGAGGATATCGACTTCGTGCTGGAGGTGTGTTCTTTGCTGCCGGAGTTGCTCGTCGGCTACCCGGCGGTTTTTGCGGACTTCGGTCGAGAGCTCGGAGCAGGCGGCGCGGAAGAGGTAGGTTTCGTTGTCGACGTCAGAGCGAGACACTAAGCCGGATTGGGCGCTGTCGAGGTTGTGGGCGAGGAGGGCGCGGATGGCTTTCATGAGGGCGATGGATTGGGGGAGGGTGTATTTGGGGGGTTGGTCGGGGGAGGAGAGGTGTTTGACTAGGGAGTAGGAGTCGAAGTGGTGGATGTAGGTTTGTTTGGGTTTTTGTTGGGTGGTTGTGTTCTCTTGGGAAGAGATGGTGGTGCTGGTGGTGGTGCTGGTGGTGGTTTCTGTGGTTGAGGGGGGTGGTTCTGAGGGGGAGGAGGGGGTTATAGGTGATGATGGCGCGTCAGGGGAGGAAGAGGGGGGAGGGCCCATGTGGAGGATTTCATCCATTGGTGACCCCTTTTTCGTTTGGGTGATCGGGTCGATGTCGGATGGGGGAGGGAGTTCGATTGTGGAGGGGTCATGGGCGGGTTGGGGTGGTGGCGGAGGAGGAGGGTCGTGGATTGGACCGCTGGTTTGGGTTTCGGCGGGGGTGGAGGGTTTGATTGTTTTGTGGTGAGTCTCTTGTTGACTTTCGGGGGCGTCTTGTTTTGTTTCTTGCTGTTTCCCTTCGTCCCCTGGCTTCGAATCTTGACTATGCTTCCCAGCTCCATCTTGTTTGCTGTCTTGCGCGGGTTTAGGGGGCAGGTCAGAGGTCTCGTGGTGTGGCAGTGGCTCTACGCCCTTGCCGGCTCGTTTGGCGAAGGCGGCTTGTCTCCCGGCCGAGGGCGATGCGAAGCCATGGTGTTGGTGTTGGCAGAGGAAGGCAGGTGGGTGTTGCGACTTGCGACGAGCTCCTCGGGCAGCGATTGCGGGCTCACCCCAGCGGGCTGTTGATTTGAATAGGTGGGGGTAGAGGAAGGTCAGGCGGTGGGTGGCCATGACGGTGGCGGTTATGAGGTTGGGTAGTGTCTGTGTTGGTGATGTTCTGGTTAGGTTGGAGGTTGCCGGAGCTAGGCGCGCTATTTCGGGTGGCCGGAAAGGGGTAGGGCATCCAGGGCGGGTCCGGTCCGGCGTCGCTGTGACTCGGAAGCTGTTCCCTGATCCTTCCTTGTGATGACGCTGCGGGACCGGGTGGGTCTGCAGTTCGGCCCGCCGTTATGCGCAGATATGCAGCTAAGCGGGTTTAATGATCAAAACTATCGGATAACCCTCATGAGATATCCAAGACACATAGACACACATAGCAAGACAGTGAGTGCGATGGTAGTCTCACAGAATATCCAATTGACAGGTTGTACTTAGTACCATGGTACACAAACATCTGTTTGCCCGGGAAACATATCTCAGTGTATCCCGTCTGCGTGGCTCGGTTAATTCCATGGCGGCAGGTCTTCGGTGAAGGTGAAGCTCTGACTGACCGGGCAGTCGGCACCGGCTCTTTCCAATTTCCATCTCGACCTGATCGTTTGTCATTAAACACCACTGCTCTTTCCTGCGCCGCCTTCCAAAGAATATCGTCTTTGGTCTTTTTCTCCTGCCCTTTCTTCATTCTTTCCTGCTCTCTTATAAGATACCCAGCGAAAAACCAAGCCAAATCGCCATCTCCTTGTTTCATCCAGTTCGGATGACTCTTACCACACTCAACCCAACTACTCTCGCCGCCTGATACAATCACTTCAATTGGAAACTACCATCAGCCCTGAGATTTCCGATTCTCTTCTGGACGGCCGGTCTATTCTTCATCTTCTCATCTTGTATGTCCAATGACAGTATTTCCTCAAACACACCTATCTTCTCTTATGATACACCCACCACCACCCCAACTTCACCATGCTACTACCCCAAGTCATCACGAAAGCCGCCGCATATCGGCACGGTCACTCACTGACCCCCCAACCCCCACCCAAATCCACCATGCTATTACCCAAAATCATCACTGAATCTGCCAAATGTTGGCATGAACACTCACTAACCACCGAACCCCCACCCAAAATCATCACGGAATCCGCACTAACATCCGTCAAAGGACTATCCCTCAAATTCAAATTCTTCAAAGCCTTTGCCCTCACCGCCACAAGCGGCCTGGCGCTCTGGATGGTGGCCATGGTTTTCACAGAAGAGAAGCTCGACGCCAAATCAACAGATCCTCCCCTCCTCGAAAAATACTCTGAATTCAAGTCCTACACCACCTCCAAAGCCTTCTACAACAAACTCCGTATCTTTTACCGAAAACACCCACAAACAGACAACCTCCCCAAAGACCCACCACTCCCCCTCCTCGTCTTCATCCACGGCCTCGGGGGGTCAGTAGCCCAGTTCCACCGGATCCTGACCAGCCTCACCCACCTTGCGTCTTGTCTTGCCGTGGATCTGCCAGGATGCGGACGTTCAGAGTACACCAACACCAGCTGGGTCGCTTACACCACCGATGCGCTTGTGGAACTCTTGGAGATGATCATCAATGACTATCGTGAAGAGAGGCAGCGGGTGGTGTTGATAGCGCACAGTATGGGATGTGGACTGGCGACACTGCTTATCAACCCTCGGCACGAGATACAGTCGGATCTTTGTGACAGTGTTCTTGGACTTGTGGCTATGTGTCCGGCTCTGATGCCGACGGAGGAGCAGGTGAAAAAGTATCGGCGACTGCTTTGGATCCCGGGCTTCATTTTCGACCTCTGGAGGGCTTGGGATAGGAGGGGGGGGATCAACAGTGCGAGTGTCAGTCGGATTGTTGGCCCCATGGCGGATGCCAAGGCGAGGAAGCTGCAGCTCATGTTTAACTACCAGAGCAGAACGCCCGTGTTTAGACGTATGGCTTGGGGGATGTTGCCAGAGTTTGATGAAAAGGGGAATCCGAAGGGGGGTTTCCCGGAGAATAGTGTCTGGACGGGCCTTCAGGTTCCGGTCTTGATAATCAGTGGGTGGTTGGATGAGATTACGCCGATGTGGGTGGCGGAGAAGGTTTATGATTTGGTTGAGCACTCGCACACGACGCCGCCGTGGAGGGCGGGCCGGATTTTGGATTGGAAGAATTCACCTATTTCGACTCTGAGCTTGGGGAGCGCGGGCGCGCGGTCTCGGGGATCACCGGGTTCGGATACTAGCTTGGGGGGTGGCGGTGCTGCTCCTGCTCCTCCGACTTCTATGGTTAGGGACTCTGAGGTGGCTAGCTTGTCGAGCTCAACTCCTGAGGAGTCTTGTGCTTCGGAGACGCCGAGTTTGGACAGTTGGATTCCGCCTCTGCCGTCCCACCCACCGAAGTATATTAAGAATTTTGATATTAAGGTTGGGGGTCATGGGCTGCTTTTTTCCGAGGAGATGGTGGCTGGGTTGATATCGGAGTTTTTGACCGACCAAATCACTAAGAGGTTGGACCTGAGTTGGCAGCTGCAGTATTTGAACGAGGGTGGGAAGTGGGATGTGAAGAATTATGAGAAGTGGCGGGGTGTGGTGCCCGTGTCGGACCCGATTGCGGGAGTGTTTAGGGCGATGAAGACGTTGAGGGAGACGGATGGTGAGCACTCTCCTCAGAAGTTTGGGGCAAAGTACGGGGGGAAAACCATTAGGGATGTGATTGACATCTCGCACGACACGCCTGTGTACGAACCGAACAATTTGAGGGTTTGGCAGGTCAGCTATCACAAGGTGGCAACGGTGTCGAAGATTCCGCCGTCGAGGGCGGATATTGATCGGTTTATCGAGAAGGTGGACGAGATCAGAGCGAAGCAAACCAAGTTTGAGATTGGGGTGCATTGTCATTATGGGTTTAACCGGACGGGGTTTTTGATTGTGTGTTATTTGGTGGAGAGGTTGGGGTGGAAGGTTGAGGATGCGATCGAGCACTTTGCCCAGGCGAGGCCCAACGGGATCAAGCATGCGCATTTTCGGGATCGGTTGCATCTCATGTATCCAAAGAGTCCAAAGAGGTATGTTGATTAGGATAAATATCTCGGTCGGGTGAAGGAGTGGAGGACGAGGACGTGGTGGACTTTGGTTAAGTGGTTAGGGGTGAGATGGTTAGGGGTGAGATGGTTAGGGGTGAGATGGTTAGGGGTGAGATGGTTAGGGGTGAGATGGTTAGGGGTGAGAGGGTGATGGTGTGTATACCCAGCGTCTCCTGCTTTTTTTTTTTTCGGTTTTGTAGCGAAATGGTTCCTTGTAGATTCGAGATTGGGGGTTTCAATTGATTGTAATTCTATCTGTCTATAACAGCCCCTGACTGGCCAGGTAGGCAGCCCCTGAATCAGCCCAGATTTCATACTTGGTCAGTTTATTGTCATTGTCAAACTCCAAGACATATGTAAAGACCTCGTCCCAGGACTGGTTGGTCGAGAGCCAGGTGAATGTTGCTTCGCCTCGGACTGATACCTTGAGGGCTTCGGGGTCGGCAAAGTAATTGCTGAAGTGCATGTCTTTGTAGGCGAGATGCTTGGAGAGGAGATGGAAATACTCTTTGAGGCCGGAGGGACCTTTGAATTCTCGGCCGAGAAAGGGAGCTAACTGGGGGAGGCCATGTTCGTAGATTAGAGTGTCGGGGGAGGAGGAGAAGTGGGAGAGGATGGTGGAGGGGGGTGACTGAGCGGAGAGGGAGTGGCAGAAGGAGGTTGTGGCGGAAAGGAGGGAGGTTTTGCTTGGGGACATGATTTGCTGTGTTTGAGGTGGGTGAACTTGAGTTTGAAAGAGCGGTGTTGATGTTTGATGTGTTGGGTGGTCACAAGGGGGATGCTGTCACTACATGGGTTGTGTTTGTTAATTGGCGAGGCTTTCATGTGGGGGTGGGGGGTTGACGTCGAGGAGCCCAGCTAGGGATAAGTAGCGATTTTTCCTGAAGACCGGAACGCTAGTTATATCTAGCATTTTGATCCACAAGAGTTTCTTAATATTATAAAAGATAAAAAACACTATAAAAATAAAGGTTTTTTTTTAAAAAGCCTATCTTTGATAAATTTAAATACTGATTTTTATATATTTAATTACTATTACTATTACTTATATAAGCCAAAACTGTCGCCAACTTTACCGTTACAGTTGAAAAGTTTAACAGCTTTAGAGGTTTTACAAGATTTCAACGGCTTTAAATAGCTTTAATAGTTTTAAACGACTCTAACAGCTTTTAATAGCCTTAATAGTTTTAAATAGCTTTAATAGTTTTAAATAGCCCTAATGATTTTAACGGTTTTAATCATTTTAAAAATTACCATTAGAGCGTATAAAAGGATAATATATATCGTAAAAACCTATTTACCTGTATTTTGTAAGACTTTTAATATTGGAAAACTTACGCCCTAGTTTAATTAATAAAAATGGAGCTAAATGCTAGATATAGCTAGCGTTCCGGTCTTTAGGAGAAAATGCTACCTGTCCGCAGTCGGGCTCGACGTTGAGACTTGGTAGTTGGGAGTAATACCTGTCACGCTCAGCCCCTGCAGGTCTAGGCACTGCAGGCTAGCCGATGTTCCAGGCTCCCCAGGTTCCCCCAACCTCCCCCAAACGTCCTCGAGTCACGGTCAACGGTTTTCCAACTCCCCAGTAGTTTATCTACCCGCGCCGTCAAACTCAATTTTGAATTTTGACAGAAACACAGTATTGACAACTCTCAGACGATAGACAGACTTGAGTCAATATTTGCTTTTGACAGTTTACCAACACCCGAATAGGAGAGAGCGACGATGGTGAGTTCACTACCCCAACATCCCATGCCATCCTTATCAACATAACATCATCTGACCAACACCTCTCCCAGTCCCCGACGTCCAAACCGGCGTCCGGGGAGCGCACGCCGCTACTAGCAGATGGAGTACCCTCGCGCAACTCAATCGACTCCCTCCGCCGCGCCGAACAAGAAGATGCCGCCATCCACGGCACCCCACTCTCACCAACGCCCACCGCCCGCACCCGCACCGTCCGCGAGCTCCTCCTCTTCTCCTGGGCCCTCCTCGCAACAGCCGGAGTAATCGTCCTGGCAGTAGTCCTCCAACACCGCAACAGCACCACCAACCCACCCACCCCCACCGACCCCATCCCCATCATCCCCGGCGATCCAGGCACGGGAACCCCCTACCCAGCCATCTCCTCCCTCCCCCCGAAGAAAGACCGCAAGCGCAACCTCATCTTTATGGTATCCGACGGCATGGGCCCTGCCTCCCTGTCTCTCACTCGAACATTCAGACAGCACGTCAATAAGCTCCCCATGGATGACACCCTCGTCTTGGATCAGCACTTTTGGGGCACGTCGAGAACAAGATCGTCAAATTCATGGGTGACGGACTCTGCGGCTGGGGCTACGGCGTTTAGCTGTGCGAGGAAGAGTTACAACGGCGCTATCGGGATGGAACCCGGGTTTAAGCCCTGCGGTACGGTCCTCGAGGCTGCCAAACGGGCGGGGTACAAGACTGGTTTGGTTGTCACGACGGATGTGACGGATGCGACGCCGGCGTGTTTTGCTAGTCATGTTGGGTATCGATGGCAGATGGATGAGATTGCGATGCAGGAGATTGGGGAGGGGGTGTTGGGACGGTCAGTGGATTTGATTTTGGGGGGTGGGAGATGTCATTTCTTGAAGAACTCTACCGCGGGGAGTTGCAGACAGGATGATGTTGATGTTGTGGAGATTGGGCAGAAGAAGCATGGGTGGGGGTATGTGGATGACAGGGCTGGGTTTGACTCGCTCAAGTTGGGGAAGAATGTGAGCTTGCCGTTGTTGGGGTTGTTTGCCGAGAGGGATGTGCCGTTTGAGATTGACCGCAGGCATATGAATGATGTCTACCCAAGCTTAAGCGAGATGGCGGTCACGGCTTTGAGGGCGTTGGAGGAGGCGACCAAGGATAGTGAGAAGGGCTTTTTCTTGATGATTGAGGGGAGCAGGATTGATCACGCGGGACATATCAATGATCCGGCGGCACAGGTGAGGGAGGTGTTGGAGTATGACAATACTTTTAATGCCGTGTTGGAGTTTATCGAGGAGTCGGATACGGAGGGTGTTTTGGTTGCGACGAGCGATCACGAGACGGGTGGGTTGTCGACTGCCTGGCAGGCGCCGAATGAGCTGCCTGTATACAACTGGCATCCCGAGGTTCTGCTGCAGGCGAATGCCTCGGCCGAGTATCTCACGCTACTGTTGCAGCAACACATGATCGCGAACCCGGTCGAGGAGCAGCAGCAGCTTCAGGACTGGATCAGGGAGGATTTGGTGGAGAAGAGATTGGGGATCAAGGATGCGTTGGAGATTGAGATCAATGCTCTGGCGTCGAATCCTTTACTGGCGATGAATATCTTTTCAAAAATGGTGAGCATCCGGGCGAGGATTGGATGGTCTACCCATGGGCATTCGGCCGTGGATGTGAATATTTATAGCAGCGGGGGGCCGGGGACGGAGGATATCAGGGGAAATGTGGAGAATATTGAGGTCGGAGGGTTTTTGAGGAGGTATTTGGATGTGGATGTGGATGAGATTACTAGGGAGCTGAGGGAGAAGATGGTGGTTGATGTGAAGGAGGCGGAGATGACCGGGAGGGATGGGCACCCTGAGGAGTGGTTTGTGGAGGTGGATGGGCTGGTGGGTTATGCTACGGCTTGATGGGTTGATGATTTGAGAAGTCAGGTTGGTACATGGCTGATATGGGATATGAAATATGGGACATGAGAGGCGTCTGGGTTGATGAGCGGCTTGCATTGGTGTGTTGTTGTTGTAGGAGTATTACAGATAGATATAGCCAGGGGTAGCGTTTTTGTTTCCTTTTTGGTTTGGGTAGAGGTAATCATGGCTCTTTTCTGTGTAGCATTGAGAATAGCATAACACGGTTACCGGTTTGCTACATACATGCTCTTGATTGTTTCACTCTGTGTGGTTTATCCTCGCAATACTCTTGTCGATAACACCATTGATCTTTTCTGCCCTGATAGCATGAAGATACACCATTCACGAAGTACACACCCCCCCCTTCGAGGGAGCTCGCCCTGCTCTGTTCCCTCAGTGTTTACGGAGAGTCAGCAGACCGTTGGTAGCTCGGGTTATTCATTAACTCGACGACTCTGGGAGCGCATGTTGAGAAGGAAGGAGCCACCGTCAAAAGGAAGGAGCCACCGTCAGAAGGAAGGAGCCACCGTCAGAAGGAAGGAGCCAACGTCCAAAAGGAAGGGGCCAAATGTTGAGAAGGAAAGACCCAACCACGGTATATATACTAGGTCCCTTTTACTCCTTCCAACAGCAGCTCGAACATCTTGACCAGAGCGCCACTTTGTGGTCAGGTCAAATGGTCAAGGTGTAAAAGCTGCTGTTACCGCCCCCCCCCCCCGCCGGGGGACCTATAACCCCCGAGTTCGATTCCGAAGTAAAACCTTCCCGGAGGGTTTTCGTAGCCGGCCACCTTTTAAAGGTTGGCCGGTGAGCTTTTTGCTTTTTTTCTCCACTTTTTGGTTGTTGTTCTTTCTTACAACCTTTTTTTTTTCTCAGAAGCTATCCTGACACGAAAAGAATCAACCACCACGACTTTTCAAAGTGTTTTTCTTCTTTGGTGTTTGTTTACATCGAGAGATCAATCATCCTCCCCGCTATCACTCCCACCACTCCAGCCCTCATGGTACTCCTCCGCCATTTCCGCCAAATCATTCCCCAGCATCTCCCTGTCCTCCAGCCCTACGCTCTTGATCACCGTGTCCTTCAGCTTTCTCAACCTAGTACAGACGCTCGAGTCGGTCGACAAGCTGGTTGTGATCTTGACCTTGACCTCCGCTCCCTCATTCTCCTCCTCTTCATCCTTTTCAACAGTGAAAATCGCGGGAAACGAATCCAAAATCGGGAACGCCAGCTCAGTGGCATAAGTCTTGGTTATCGGCTCGTAAGAGCTCTTGCGGATACGTCGGCCTTTTTCATCGAGTTCCTCGCCTTCTTTGCCGGATGTTTCCGAGGGGGAGAACCCGCGGGAGGTGAGCAGCTGGCTGAAGACTCTTGGTGTTCTTTGGTTTTGGTTTCGAATGGAGTAGACGTCTATTTGGTCTGCTGCTGAGGAGGAAAGTCTAATGTCGAGTTGGATCCCCTCGGAAAAGTCACTGATGGGGGAGGAGTTGATTGAGAATTGTAGCCCGGCAACCTTTTGCTTGCCGGTTAGATCCAGAGTTTCGATGATGGTGTTGAGGGTTTCCTTCTTTTGGCCTCGGAGACGGGAGGGGAGGAGGGCGGATTCTACTGCTGAGGAGAACAAAGCTGTTGTGTGCCAGGGGGAGGTGGGGTCGAAGTTGGTGAGGGAGGGGGGTAAGAGGGAGGGGAGGGAGAGGGGGACGAGGATGGAGGAGTGGTTGTAGAGTTCGGTGAAGGAGCGGGATTTATTGGCTAGGCGGAGGAGACGTTTATCCTGTCGAGGTTAGTACATGGGTAAGAAAGATGAGGAAGATAGAAACGTACCCGTGGCATGGTTTTGAGTGGTGATTCTAGCCCCCAAGTCCAGATAGCTATCTTTGCGCCGTACTCATCCCTGATCCTCTCCAGGTATCTGGATCCAAAACCTCCCCAAGCATCGTCTACCCCCATAAACACTTGAAATCCCTGCATAAAGTCTGCCTCTTCGGCGAAATACCTCAGATCGCGGTCCAGGAGGTCGTGCTCTTTGTCAAGCTCCCTAAACAACTCCTCTCCAGTGCTGAACTGCTCGAAAGGCTGGATCGTCGACGCTACCTCAAACTCATTCAGCTGCACGACTGACCGTGGGTGGTAGTACAACCGCGAGAAATCAGAAAAGCATCTCACTGTGTCGGGGGTAGGTCTGGGAGGTGGGAGGCCAGAGTTCAGAGCTTCTGTGTAGGGTGAAGGCTGAATGGGGTCGGCCTTTTGGAGGACTGTCTTTCCGGGCCTACTGGACGATCAGAATCTGTTTGTCGTGGAGTGAGATATGTCAGTGAGGCTCACCATACTCCAGACGCCGTCGGGTTCAAGTCCAACTGGGTGGGATCAGGCTCCTCGCCCTCGATTTCATAAAGCGCATTGATCTTCTTCATCGAACCAAACGCCCCCTTCAAATCATAGATCACCGTCCGCGGCATAAACGTCTCCGTTTTGCCATCTGGAGAGAGCCCGGGGCGGAAGTGCACATCGTGGTCGATGAGGGGCTCGTCGTTCTCTAAGTAGGTGAAGTATGATTCCTGTATAGTTTGTAAGCTTCTCATGATGTTGTTGACAGGCGCAGGGATGAAGTGTACTTGGGTATTCCAGAAGTGAGTGGCGAGATAGTTGCTCTGCTGCCCCAGTTGCAGGGTGATGATTTCGTGCATTTTTGAGGTATATCTCTATCTAGCGCCCAAGTTTCTCTTATGGCCCAGTAATTAGGGACAAGAAAGTCAGGAAATGTCGACTTTGTTGTTGATGCAAAGTGAAGTGGAGTTTTGGGCTTCAGTGAGTGGCATGGGGTTGGTGGGAATGACGAAGTTTGAGTTATTGAGAGTGAGAAAGCATAACCCTAACCCTTCCCCTTTTCAACTTCATGGAAACTCCAAGACAGACAGAAGCCAGAGGGAAAGTATAAAGAGTAATTTGTGGGAAAGCGCCTCTGATGCCTACAGCGGGTCCAAAGGAGAACTGGTGGCACCAAACTTTAAAATTCCAAGTTTGATTTATTATTATTGCTACTCTGTTCAGAGAAACTTCTCGCCGATCAACGTTCCAGTAACATCCTACCTATCTGAAAAGGAATACGCAGCAAGATGGCGCCTATCTCGCAACACTCCTTCGTATCCACAGACACAATTGTGTCCCAGTCAACGGCGGTTATTCGTCAGAAACCGGAGAAAGAGCAAGGCGAGCTCGAATCCGAAACAGCCTCCACTCCGGAACATCCAGCACATTCGCAGGCAACCACTGGGCCCGAGCCCATTCCGCAACATCCCGACTTCTCGACGGAGGCCATTTTTGCCGAAATGAGTTGGCTTTCTCCCTACTGGAAGTCCCTGTTGGCCCCCTTGTGCGAGCCCGAGCTGACCGCGTGCAAGCCTCAATCGACATCGGTCCAGCAGATTGAAAATGACGAAATGATTCTTGCAATGAAGACTGAATGCCTAGACTCTCTGAAGGAATATGTACCAACCACGCAGATGTATGATACAAGATACTTCTTGGAGACCTTTGTCCACCATTTACCTCTCGAGGGAGGTAAGAATCTCATGAAGGAGATCATCAAGTTCTCCGTGACTCCCGAAAAGCTGCAACAGCTAAGAAATTTTCTTGCGGGCACGATTCTCAAGCCAGGTATGTTTAGGATCTTGACGTTTATGGGCTTATTTGAAAGGTTATTGACAATTATGCTCAATTTCAACCTGCCGACCAATCCAAAGTTGACCATGGCATCGGTAACTACAGGGCCGAGAGAGATTCCGCCTCAAGAAAGAAGCAGGAAGATCTTGAAGCGTCTTGTTTAAAGCGGGACGGGTACCGCTGTGTACTGAGAGGGGCTTATCAGGAACAGTACTCCATGACCCAACTGTCCGCACATGAGAAGACGAGACAGTATTGGGAGGAGCACACTGTGGCACACATATTGCCACACGTACTTGGGGAATTTTGACGAGAAAAACGTTGAATAGGTGGGTGTGATAGCCCCAAGTCAAACGACACCTAGCTAATGTATTCGAATATAGACTCGCAGGATGGCTGTAACATGATGGGCTTTTGGGCGTTATTTTGGCATCATCAATCCCTAATACACGAATATAGCAAGTATCAACAAGGCGGAAGACGCCATCATGCTAGCCAAATACCTGCTGTTCAACGACTTCCGGTTTGGGTTTGAACCAACACGCGAGGTAAGTCCAGCTATAAAAGATCTCCAGCTTCTGGTTGCTAAAGAAGTGGACAACAGCCTCACACCTATCGCGTGCATGTCTTCGAGAGCGGTATTGGTCACTATCAGCTGAGCATGGAACCTCGAAGCGTCACCTTTAGACAGAATGATGCTCGCAACCCTGTGCCGCTTCCAGATCCCAACCTGTTGAGAGTTCATTATGCTCTGGGAAAGATGTTCAACCTAAGTCAAGAGAATACCTGTGTATAGCCTCCACAACTGACTTACTAAACAGACCGAGCCATGCCTGAACTGGAACTTGAGAATCCAAGAGTAGGCCTCAAAAGATGCCTAGTCACGTTGTGGACAAGATAACTGGTACTGCAAAATACTGAACCAGGCCCTAAAAGATAGTTAATAGACCTCTTAGCTATCTTTTGAGGCGTACTAATTATCCTTTAAGGCCTGTTCTTCTTCTAGAAAGGGGTAGGTTAACAATAATTATATGGTATACCGACGACGTGCTAGTCAACAGGCCCGAAGAGACCAAGGTACTTCTTGCACAATAATATCGATCCCTATTGACTACCTTATTACGCCTTAAATGGCTGTTTGGCGTGGCCACGAGGAAGAGACAAGTCCAATGGCTACCTAAGAACAAAACACACATGACGTGATATTTACAGCCGGCATCTGGGTGTGTGATATACACAGTGTTTTTCCGTGAAACAGGATGCTAGCGGCAAAGTCAGAGTGAAAAACTAAAGACACATATCTAGTATCCGTACATCCATATTCTTCAGTGAACGACTTTGCAGACAAGAGGTGGGCACCAGAGGTGTTATGCTTGTCATTGATGTAGATACTGCTACTATAAACATCAACAACTCTTCATCCTCTCATAAAAGCCCCGACCAACCCCAACCACTCCCAATCTACAACCTCTCCCCCAGTCAAGCCTTCTCGCCCTGTATCGTAGCAACAACCCGGCGACTATGCTTGGCGGCTCTAAACTCGAGATACCAGATCCCCTGCCACGTTCCGGTGCACTATTTCAACTCATTAGCATCATTTCGCCCCTTTCCCTCCACTCACCACAACCAGTCAAGACTCACCAGTTTCCCATCCTTGATCGGAATAGTAACACTAGCCCCAATCAAAGCACTCTTGACATGAGCAGGCATGTCATCCAGCCCTACGTTAGGTACCCCCATACATGTCAGCTCTCCCACCATCCCTTTTTGGTCTTCATCCCAGAAACAAACTCACCCTCAGCATCATGCCTATAAAGCGCCTCCCCCTTCGGCCCTTGCTCCGGCACAATCTTATCCAACGCATCACTCATATCCGCCCTGACATCCTCGTCCCAATTCTCATTCAGACTCAACGCGCAGGAGGTGTGCTGGATAAACAGGTTCAACAAGCCCACTTTGTAGTTTTTGATCTCGGGAAGTTCCTTGATGATGGTGTCGGTGATGAGGTATGAGCCGCGAGAGCGGGAGGGGAGGGTGAATTGTTTTTGGGTCCACATTGTTACTGCTGAGGGGGGGGAATGGTAGCTTGTGGGGGTGTTGTGGTGGGAGGGGAAGAGGAAGGAGAAGGGGAGGTTCCAGAGGGTGTGGAAGAGGGAGGGGAAGAACGCTAGGAAGAGGATGGAGATGAAGAGGAGGGTGGGGAGTTGGGATTGGGAGGGGATTTTCAGGGGGGGTAGAGATGGGGAAATAAGTGGTTTGGAGGTTGTGGATTGGCCGGTTGGGGAGAGGGATTCCAGGGGGATAGAATCGCTTTCGTTGTATGTTGGTGGTGGTGATGGTGAGCGTTGTGGTGGTGTCGAGCGAGGCATGCTTTCTAGAATGGATGGTGAGGGAGGAGGGGCTTTCTCCAACGTCATTGCAGGGGGGTGCCCTAATGGTGGGGTAGGTGTGACGGCGGGACCGGAAGCCGTTATCGATATGGTGTGTGAAAGAATAAACCGTGGAAGTTTTGTCAAGATGGGAATGACAAGCTTGCAAAGTTCTCGACTGAAGAGGTACGTAGCAAATATGGAACTGGTTGGATTGGCTTAGCTTCGATTGTAATTAGCATTGCTATGGCATTTGCAAGTGGTTGCGTCAACTTTGCTCTGAAGAGCACATCAGTGGATGTGTCGGCATAAGACGCCCCGACCACGTCCCAGAGCGCCGGTTCTTCCCCGCAACATGTCACGGAAAAGACAGATTGTGAAGTGGAAAGAAGCATTCCATATTACCAATCGTGTACTGCGTACCACGAGGCAGAGAGCTGCTGTCGTCACACCGGACACTGGCCACCGGCACCGTGGTGAGGCAAAGCTTGAGATGGATGGAAAATGGGACAGCGGTTGCTGGTGGGGTGAAAGCTCCGACGTCGGGTGGGGCACCCTGTGAGCTGTTAGGCAGGTACATGGCTTGGCATCCGGATAAGAGGGAAAAGAGAGCAGTTGCAGCCAATTGTCGGATGCCAAAAGTCCCCCGCTAGCCGCATGACCTGGGGCCGTGAACACTTTGATAGCTGCATGCAGCTTAGCTCGGCTGCATCTCCAGGCTCCCCCTGTCGATAACTGCCAGAAAGACCCCCAGGGCCCCAGAACTTGCTGACATATTCAAGGGCGCGTTTGTTGGCTGCCAGGCGAAGCTTGTCCTCTTTTCTCGGTTTTTCTTCTTGCCGACGAAGGATCCTTCATTGATTCCTTGCCCCTCGAACCTCAATTGTCTCCTGTTGGCCGAGCCAGCCCAGTAGCTGTCGACTTGATCGCATCGCTTTTCTCGGTTTTGCGCCCGTGCCTTGCCGGTGCCGAGATCGCCAAACTCCGTGAACGTCATCCATATCCGCCCCGCGAAGCCGCCGCCGATACCAGGGCTAGTTTCGAGACTTCACTGCCCGCCATTGAAGTCCAGTTTTCGGCGCATTTTGGGGGAAGTCGTGGAGGAGAGGAAGGCCTGATATGACGTCTGCGCCTAAGTTCCTAAGACGGCAATAATATCTGTGCCAATGGACGAGGCCGTGGCTCGCTTTGGTGACGGCCTGCAGCAGGTCTTGTCACCGCAACCGCAACAGTCGTCGCAAAAGATTCTCTTTGAGACCGGATCGTTTACAGGATACCATTCCCTCTCTTCTGGGTTTGGCCATGGGTATCTGAGCGCGGAAAGGACTTTGAGACAGCCGTTATGTGGAAATGAAGAAGGTTGGGGTCCCTTGAGCCCCTTTCGATGGGACTTTACGCCTTGCTTTATCGATGTCTGGGTGGCTTCTGTTGCTGCATTTGGAATCATTGCTGGGTCATTGGCCATCGGGTGGTTGATCAAATGGAGGAAACCAAATCCAGTTTCCAAGGATTGGCACTTTTGGACCAAGCAGGTAGGTTGCGAAAGCCTGGATGGACATGAATGTAAGGTGACGGATGTTGCGCTGACATTGCGCATAGGTATTGCTCGGTCTCATCATCGCCAACGTTGCGGTTCAACTTGCGTTCCAAATCATCAGTTATCCCGGTATCTGGTACGGCGACTTTAGAGTGTACACAACCGTCGCAACTATCGTGTCTCTCGGTGTGGTTTTCACCATCCAATGGCTCGAGCACGAAAGACTGCGAAACGCCAACGGTGTCGTCCTCTTCTACTGGCTATTTCTTATCATCGCCCTCTCCGTCAAACTTCGATCTCTGATCTCGCAGCAGATCTTTGCCAGCAACCTGCCCTACTTTATCACCTATTGCGTCGGCTTTGGCCTTTCGATTGCCGAGTTTTTCTTTGAGTGGTTGTGGCCCAAGAAGAACTCTACATACGAGGCTCTGGTAGACGAAGAGGAGTGTCCTGTGGAATACGCCACTGTCTTTTCCCTTCTTACCTTCTCGTGGATGACGCCACTTATGAAGTACGGTTACTCGACTTTCCTGACAGAGGAGGATCTTTGGGGTCTTTCCAAGACAGATACCACAAAGGCCACGGGTGAGGCGTTTGCCACTGCCTGGGAGCACCAACTCAAGACTCGCAAGAACCCGTCCATTTGGTTGGCGCTTATTCGTGCTTATGGTGGTCCTTATATGCTCGCTGCTCTGTTCAAAATTGGCAACGATATCTCGCAGTTTACCCAGCCCCAGCTGTTGAAGTATCTGCTCTCTTTTGTCGACTCCTGGAACCTTCCTGGCGTGGAGCGCCAGCCCGTGATCAAGGGCGCATCGATCGCTCTGGGTATGTTTGCTATCGCTGTCTTCCAGACCACCATGATCCACCAGTATTTCCAGCTTGCTTTCGTTACCGGTATGAGGATCAAGGGTGGCTTGACCTCGGCAATCTACAAGAAGTCATTGAGACTTTCGAACGAGGGCCGCAAGAGCAAGACCACCGGAGACATTGTCAACTATATGGCGGTGGACGCCCAGCGGCTGCAGGATCTTACGCAGTTCGCCCAGCAGCTGTGGTCTGCCCCTTTCCAGATTATCATCTGCTTGGCCTCGCTATACCAGCTCGTCGGATGGTCTATGCTTGCGGGTGTTGGTGTCATGATCGTCATGATTCCGATCAATGGCATGATTGCAAAGTTCATGAAGAATTTGCAAAAGAAGCAAATGAAGAACAAGGACGCCAGGAGTCGACTCATTGCCGAGATTGTGAACAACATGAAGAGCATCAAGTTGTATGCCTGGGGTGCGGCCTTTATGAACAGGCTCAACTACATCAGAAACGATCAGGAGCTCAAGAACCTGCGCAGAATTGGTGCTGGCCAGGCCTTTGCCAACTTTACATGGTCCTCGACACCCTTCTTGGTGTCCTGCTCGACATTTGCGGTGTTTGTCTTCTCTGGCGACAAGCCCCTGACCACCGACATCGTCTTCCCCTGCTTGGGTGTGTATCATTCTTCAACTTCTCACAGTACTTGAGCTAACCTTTCATAGCCCTCTTTAACCTTCTCACTTTTCCTCTGGCGGTTCTACCCATGGTCATTACCTCCATTATCGAAGCCAGTGTTGCTGTCGGTCGCCTTACCTCGTTCCTCACCGCCGAAGAGATCCAGCCTGATGCTGTTATTGTCAAGCCAGCAGCTGAAGAGCTCGGCGAGGAGACTGTCACCATTCGCGATGCTTCCTTTTCTTGGAACCGCCACGAAAACAAGGACGTCTTGCACGATGTCAATTTCTCTGCTCACAAGGGAGAGCTGTCCTGCATCGTAGGCCGTGTCGGAGCAGGCAAGAGCTCTTTCCTGCAGAGTGTCCTTGGCGACCTCTGGAAGGTCAAGGGCGATGTTGAGATCAGAGGCTCAATCGCCTACGTCAGCCAGACCTCTTGGATCATGAATGCTACTGTCAAGGAAAACATCATCTTCGGCTATCGTTATGACTCCAATTTCTACGAAAGGACCGTCAAGGCCTGCGCTTTGCTCGATGACTTTGCTCAGCTTCCTGACGGCGACGAAACCGTGGTGGGAGAGCGCGGCATTTCTCTCAGCGGTGGCCAAAAGGCCCGTGTCGCCTTAGCCAGAGCTGTTTACGCGAGAGCTGATATTTACTTGATGGACGACTGCCTATCCGCTGTGGACTCTCATGTCGGACGTCACATTATCGATAACGTCCTTGGCCCCAAGGGTCTTCTGAGCTCCAAAACAAGAATCCTCGCCACGAACTCGATTCCAGTCTTGATCCAATCTGACTACATTTGCATGCTCAAGGATGGCGAGATCGCCGAGAAGGGAACCTACAGGCAGCTTGTTGCTATGAAGGGCTTGGTCTTTGATCTTATCAAAACCGCTGGCCAAGACAGCTCTGGGCCGAGCTCCCAATCTGTATCCCCCACAGACAGCGGCAGCGAAACATCTACCATCATTGATGCCGAGGGCAGCAGCCAAGAAAAAGATACTATCGAGGAAGCCCAGGAAGGGTTGAGTATGCTCCAGTCTATCAAACCAGGTCCCAGTCAATCGTCCCCCTCGAAACCCAAGGCTAGGACGGGCAGCAACACCACCCTCAGACGTGCCAGTGCCGCCAGCTTCAGGGGCCCAAGGGGCAAGCTCACCGACGAGGAGAACCCTAGCAGGACCAAGCAGGCAAAGGAGCACTCCGAACAGGGCAAAGTCAAGTGGTCAGGTACGTCATTGTTAACTTCTCTAATCTTGGTATCGTCGATCGCGGTGCTAATATTGTTCCAGTTTACACCGAGTATGCCAAAACTGCTAATCTCGCAGCCGTTGGTGTCTACCTGATCACACTCATCGCTGCTCAAACTGCGGGAATTGGTGAGTCAATGTGTCTCCTTCCACTTTGCATACCGACGATATATAGCTGCTTCGTTGTTTACACCCCTGGATGTGCCTCCTGCTAACTCTGATGACGCAGGCGGGAATCTGTGGCTCAAGAGCTGGTCAGACGAGAACACCAAGAACGGCTCCAATCTCAATGCTGGCAGGTATCTTGGCTTCTATCTCGTGTTCGGCGTCGGCGCTGCCGCCCTTACCGTGGTGCAAACGCTTGTTCTTTGGATCTTCTGCTCTATTGAGGTGAGTGAGATTGACGATGGCGATGCAGGCGAACCAAGCATCATGCTCACAGGTGGTTCGCATAGGCATCGAGAAAGTTGCACGAGAGGATGGCAACGGCGATCTTCAGGTCGCCCATGTCCTTTTTCGACGTCACACCGGCCGGCCGCATTCTCAATAGGTTCTCAAGGTACGTATCCTGTTGCTTCTTCTTAGGGCCTTGTTTGTCCGGTTATGTCCCTCGGCTCTCCCCGTTCTTGCTCCTGTTCGCCGATAGAAGCGTGGCACAAGCTACTGTTGTATGAGACGGGAGAATCGAGTGGCTCCGGTGGGTTGGGCAACACTAGTGGGCATGTTGTGTTCCGTTACTGTTACGTATCTTGCAGGCTGTCCAACAGCGGAGCAGAAGGGGCGGTCTGCCTTTAGCGAGGGTTGCTCAGATTGTGCTAACTCGACCCTTACATAGTGACATCTATCGTGTCGACGAGGTGATTGCCCGGACCTTCAACATGTTGTTCAACAACCTGGCAAAGTCCGCCTTCACGCTAGTCATGATCTCGGTCACTGTACCTCCCTTCATTGCCCTGATAGTTCCCCTCAGCGCCATGTACATCTTCATCCAGCGGTACTACCTGCGCACATCCCGTGAGCTCAAGAGACTTGACAGCGTGAGCCGAAGTCCTATCTATGCGCACTTTCAAGAGTCACTCGGCGGTGTCTCGACCATCCGAGCGTACCGTCAGCAGGACAGGTTCGAGGTCGATAACGAGTGGAGGGTAGATGCCAATTTGCGAGCTTACTTCCCCTCCATCAGCGCCAACAGATGGTTGGCGGTGAGACTCGAGTTTATTGGCGCCGTAGTGATTCTGGCCGCCGCTGGCTTCGCCGTCATGTCGGTCGTCAATGGCAGCGGGCTGTCGGCAGGATGGGTTGGTTTTGCCATGTCTTATGCCCTGCAGATTACCACGTCCCTCAACTGGATCGTCCGTCAGACGGTCGAGGTCGAGACCAACATTGTGTCTGTAGAGCGCGTGCTTGAATATGCCCAGCTGCCAAGCGAGGCCCCTGAAATCGTTCATCGCAATCGGCCGCCTGTCAGTTGGCCGGCCCGCGGCGAAGTCGAGTTCAACAACTACAGCACTCGTTACCGCGAGGGTCTTGATTTGGTTCTCAAGAACATTAACCTGGACATCAAGTCGCACGAGAAGATTGGTGTCGTGGGACGTACCGGAGCCGGTAAATCCTCGCTGACCCTAGCCCTCTTCAGGATCATCGAGCCCGACACGGGCAACATCACCATCGATGGCCTCAACACCTCAAGCATTGGCCTCTTGGATCTCAGACGTCGCCTGGCCATCATCCCTCAGGACGCCGCTCTATTCGAGGGCACTGTTCGGGACAACCTCGACCCCGGCCACGTCCACGATGACACCGAACTCTGGAGTGTTCTCGGTACGTTCATTTTGACATGTTACACTTACCACAGAGTGACATTGCCCCCCTATCTAGTTTCTATCCCCCCTCTTCGGTCTTTCCCCCCACCATCTCGGAGCTCACATGGGTTTTTCTGTTGACCTCTGATTTGCCTTGATGACGGGAACACAAGACTAACAATCTGTTTGCTGCACAGAACATGCCCGGCTAAAGGACCACGTCGCTTCCATGGAGGGTGGTTTGGAGGCTAAGATTCACGAAGGAGGTAAGCACCACATATTTTCCCACGTGGTTTTCCCTATTGTCTCTGCGCTTTCTATCGGCTTTTCGCTTTCCCGCACTTGTGTTATTGTGCAACCCTCAGTGTTGGTGTTCTGCTGCCCGCTCTTCGGCATGGTGGCGGCGCGTTCGCGGCTAGCTGCATGTGCTGCTGCCACACCATATTCTTTGGGAACACATTTTCTTGATACGAAAGCGATATCTCTGTTGCTGCTTTCCTTGCGTTGCGCGTTCTGCATGACGGACAGATGAAGCATGCCGTCATCTGCGCGTGTAACAGCGGATGGATTGGGATGGATGGGATGGGATGGGATGAGACGGAAGGAGACATGAAGAGCGATGAGGCGTAGAAGGACGGGAAGAGGAGTTCGGTGCTTCGCTCGCCGTCTGCTCTTGTTCTTTCTCTGTCTATTCCGTCTCTCCGTCGTATACACGATCCAATCCTTCCCCCTGCATGATCGCCGAGAGTGTGTAGGAGGGTGTGTTGGACACACAAGCTGGCCGGACTCCGAAGGGCATTGCGACGGCAACATCAAGAAACCTGCCTGTGTGCTGCTGCTTAGGAATCATGAATTGCTCACCGACTACACCTTTACCTTTTGCACCCCCTCCTTCACTCCCTACCTTAATCACCTTGCCTTATACCCCCTCTGTACCCCAGCCCCCCCGAAATGCAAGGATCATGGGGGGGGGGGGGGGGGGGGCAAGGGTGGAGGGGTTATCACACCCACAATCTGCCGGCAGGGCGATAAAGCAGAGCAGCAACAACTGGGAGTAATGAGCATCCCAAACTTTCAGAATCGCCAACGGTCAAACGCCAAGTTTGGGCCTTTTCATTCACCGTGTGGGGTCTATCACACCGGCGCGAGTTTGGCTGCAGGATCAAGCTTAACAAGCCTCTCTCTCTCACACACACACAAACTTGGGAACAGCATTCATTGGCCGCCTCTTCTTTCTCTCTTTGTCCCACACCCCTTTACCCACCGTTTACTAACCCTTTTTCTTCTTTTCAGGATCCAACCTATCCCAAGGCCAACGCCAACTAGTCTCCCTTGCAAGAGCCATGCTCACCCCGTCTAACATTTTGGTTTTGGATGAAGCCACTGCCGCGGTGGACGTCCAGACTGATGCGCTGTTGCAGAACACGCTGAGGGGACCATTGTTTGCGAACAGGACGATTATCACTGTGGCGCACAGGATTAATACTATTTTGGATAGTGATAGAGTCGTGGTGTTGGAGAGGGGGGAGGTGGTGGAGTTTGATACGCCTGAGAGGTTGATAGAGAAGAGGGGGGTATTTTATGGGTTGGTTAGGGAGGCGGGGTTGGCGGAGGAGTAAGGCCAAAGGACTGGCTGAAGGGGAGGACACTTGGGGAAGGGGAGACACGGGCTGTCTGAAGGGGAAGATGGGGAAAAGAGTGGTGCTATGTATAAAATGGGTTGTGGGGAGTTCAAGATTGATAAAAGGGGCTGCAGGAGTAGATATCATAAGCGGGGGTGGGGTTAAACATGTAAACAACACAACACATCATCATCATCATTCATGTCTAAAAGAATGAGGGAACAAAAATGATCAGTTATGATGAGATTTCGATTCTGATGGAGCGAGCTGTGAGATCCGGCAGGTTTGAGGGAGGGTAGGTTGCCGAGGAAAATGACAGAACTTTTGACAACCAACTCCCCCGATCTGTCACCACTCCTGCAGCCCTGATCTTTGATCGATCTTGAGGAGAGGGGGGGGAGGGGGGGGTTTCCTCGGGTTTTTTCTTCTTTTTTCTTTTTTCCTTCTTCTGAGGGTTGAAGCTTGATTTTCTGTGAGAAGAGAGTCATTTCGTTTCTTTTCATCCATCACCTGGGGCCTGTTCATAGTCAATCATCTACATGCCATGTACCTATATCCCTCACCTTTTTCCTCACGTTGATCGGTTTTGCCCTGTCGCATGATCGTTGGCCCTTTGGCGTCTACCTTTAGCGGTTCTTCTTTTTAAAATTCTCACACACCTGTTTCGAGTTCTTGTGCTTTTCATGATTCTTTTTCCTTCCCACCTCCCCGGCCCTTCTGACCCCTCTGTGCAGATGGTGATTCTTTTTCCTTTTGCTCTTTCCTGTTTCAATGGTGCCGTCTAATTTAGCACCCTTCCTTCTCATGTAGAAACTTGCCGACGGTGCATATCCCCCCAGATCGTATCCCCAACCAGTCACCAGGTCGGCGGTGCTGCCAGCATCTATCTATCTGCATGGACTGAAGCCCACCATCATCGTCAGATCATGTCACTTTTCATCCTCAAAACAGAAATAAAATGTGGAGAACATCGAGACCGACAGACCGGTTCGATGCAAGCCTCCTTTCTGTTTGGGCACCCTTGTTGGTTCGTTTCAATCTTGAGTTGGTGGTGGTGGTACCCCGCGAAGGATTTCCATCCCTTGCCTTGCTCTGCTTTACCTTCCCATGTCGTCGTGGACAAGATAACTGGTACTGCCGAGTAATTATTAGAAAAAAAATACATCTTGAAGGATATTCATTATGCCCAAAAGGATAGCGCCATCTATTCTGTCCACAGCAACATACCTTCTAATCGCGGCCCTTTTGCTCGTTTCGTCTCGCCTATCGTTTGCTTCCTTGTTGGCGACGCGTTCTAAGAAACAAAAAGACTCAAACGAGGAAGCGGTCAGCACCGTCCGTTTCCCAAAAGACATCAAGCTTATCGATCGAGATATGAAAACAGACATTGCTGATAACCAAATAAACGTCAGCAATAAAAACCGGAATCCCCCAAACCAGTAACCCGCCTTTACCCATCCGTACCTCAAATCTCACAGCTTTTTTGCGTACGCAGACATCAGAAGGTGTTGTACACCGCCGCACACTCCCTCCCAAAAAAGATGGTGTGCGGTCAGAGCAGAACCACACACTGTCCAGTCACACCCCAGACCCCCGTGAGCAATCTCGTGACCTATCCTTCCTGCCGTGTATCCCGATACTCCGAAAAAACCCATTAATCAAAAAGGCTGTGGGTGTGGTTGACAAAGCGGGATAGGCAGGGGGTGATGAGCTTCTGTTGGTGCCATGTTGTAACGAACCCCAAAAAATCACACAAGAACGGCCTGCAAGGATCTTGTTTGGATTAACCTTGGGAGGACAGTTAAGCGAGCTGGATGCTACACGAAAGAAAAAAAGCTGTTCCTGATTGATATGGCCGTTGAATATCATGAATATCAACAAGATGGCCGTCTCATCGACAAGGCGAGACTCTCTCCTTGGTTTCCTGGCAAAAGTGTACACCATGCTCTTGGGGAAAAAAAGTAAGCGTTAGGTTGCGTCGACTACGACACACAAAAGTGGAAAGGATAGGCCCTTCCAGTGTAGTATCAACACGGAAATCTGGAGTTCTTTGTGTAAGGGTCGTGGTGTGTACATGCGTGCGGCTGCGGTGGAGGCCATGATGGGATGGAGGGTAGTGATGAGATGATTGGTTTTCAGTCAAACCAAGCTAATAAAAGACATGTCCTTCTTGATAAGGGATTCAATCGTGGTCGGCGTGTGGACTATCCTCGCATGGGACGCGAGCCGGTATGATCTGACAAGGTGTGGATATGCCTTGATTTTGTCGTCTTGTAAATCGATTGTGACCGTTCCCCTCGTTTCGTGCCCTGACAGATGCCTCATCGATGCATGTTTAGAAAAAATGGCTTGACACGACGCACACGCAGCGGTTGTGTTACGTGGGCATGGATAGCCCCAACATCATTGCCATTTAAACGGCCATGAGCTGCTGATCACGCAGGCAGTCACAGGTGCGGGGATAAGGCCTCATACAGTTTCCTTCGGCAATCAACACCAGATGGACAGGACACGCCGACTGGGTTTGTAGCACAGCAGACATCGGGAAAATAGGAGGGACGGATGAGTGGTTGAGATATTCACAATGGACGGACCCAGACTCGAAGATTAGGCGGTACGTTGAATTGCCCTTTGGGGTGGGTTACACAGGTGCCCAGGCTACCGTCGAGTTGAAAGCGTGCTGTGGGAGCACAAAAAGGGGTTGGCCATCGAGGACAAGGTGATCCTAGGCATAGCTGTCGTGATATGCCTGGATGTACATACTTGACAGTGCGCGTTGCAACCGAGCAAAGAGGCGGGCGATGATCAAGACGACTGGCGTCGGAAGTCGTAAGCTGCTCTCAGTTAGACCCTCTCGTGTCTCATCCAAGTCGAACCGATGAGCTTATCAGGAAAACAAATCGTTGACAAGACCTTTTGCTGCGTGCTGCGTTGTTGGCGATGTTGATCTAGCTTGTTCGGCGTCTACTAGTGAAGGAGCTATGCAAAGGTCGTTGGTGCGCATCAAAGACCGAGAGGTTCGGACTCTTGTAGCAATGCCTGGTGTTGGTGTTGCAAGTTGCGAAGGGTACGCTTGCCGTGGCTATCGATGTGCCCTGCGTTGTGGAACCAGCCAGGAGATGCATGAGCGCAGCGTCAGCACTGTGAACCATCGTGGTGAGCGTTGCGGTCGTGGTATGGACGCAACCAACAGGTGCTCCAATGCTGAAACCTCGGAACCAGCTGGGACAAGACGGCTACGGACTACCATGTTGGGCCAACCTCCTCCCCAGGTTGGGAGGTCGATAGCACACCATCTCGCGAGTAAGACGCCAGCTGTCTGAAGCCCTGATGTCAGAGCCAGATACATATTTCCAGCCGCGCCCGCTCTGGCTGCTTCTGACACTTCGCCTGCCAAAAATGATCCTTCTAGTGTTGGCTGGAAGGCTGGATCCTTCGCTGTCGGAAGCAATGATTTTCCGTGGTGTTTTCCTCCGAGAGGTTACGGAGGTTACCACCAACTCGGTAACAGCCCAGTTGCACTAACCAGTGGTGATTGATGATGGTCGAAAAAGGCTTGCCAGCCACCGTCTTGTTTGTGCGCGCCATTTCCGCCGTCAGGCTGATTCATAGCCAGTTGGATCGCCGTGGCATTTCTCACCATGCAAGAGAAACAGAAAGGGGAATAGCCATAGAAACACGTCGGTCCGCTACAAGTTTGTTTGTGTAACTTATCCTCTGGCCGCTTGGGCCACCCCTAGTCTGTGGCTGTCAAAACCTGGGGGGAAAGGGCTGCTTTTCATGCCGCTGATTGGTTGACTTGGGCAAGATGTGGTTGGACGAAGAAACATAGGGACCTGTCGAGATCTGGACCGGGAGGCTTGGCTTTGGTGATGACCAGCATGTACAGTCTGTATCTGTGCCCAATGCATGCGACGACAGCAAGACATGTTGGTTGACGGCGGTTGCTGTTTCAAGAGGAGGGGAAGCCACAAACTGTGGCCTGGCTGATCTGGTGGCGTCTGATAGGGCAGACTGCCCGAGATGTGCTGCAAAGGAGCCTGTATGGAGGGGGGGGTAATCGCAGGTGGTTGGCAGGCAGTCAATGCCAGCCAGGATCGGAGGACATTTCTCCTTTCTGAGAGCTGTGGAAATCCACGACGAGCCAGCGAGATTCCATGCCCAAAAGAAATGATGGCGTCTGGCGGTCAGAAAACGATGAGGTCAACGATGGACGTCCGAATGCTGGTCCCGAGAGAGTGGTTTCATTTCCACCGAGGAATCCTGGCGGCTGGGCGTGGTGAGAACCAACTGTAGCACCATGTCCTCCAAAGAGGTAAACCGACCCCGCAAGAATTGGCAAGAAACAGCAGAGATTGTCGGCCAATGCTGTCAAATGCGGTTTTCGTCAAGTTGACCAGAGACGGCGGACGGGTGGGCAAGGGCCGTTCCGGCAATCTGGTACCGCGCATCTGACAGCAGGTTAGAAGTGAGATATGAGGAGACGAAGAAGTGGTGAAGTTGGCCAGAGCCGGAGACTCGTCGAGGCCATGATTAGGTAATCAGAAAACCGGCAGTTGCACTGGTTGCAAGTCTGACCCAGCAGGAATATTCCCCTTTGATAAGGAAATGTAACGACGGGAAAAGATAAGGCAGCAGATAGATGGCAGTTATAAAAGTCGAGGTAGTGGGGGTAGCTTCCTCTCTCTCTCTCCATGAAGTAAGGTGCTCCTGCCTTTCTCCTGTTGTTCCTGTCTTTGGTGAGGTGCCCTGGTTGTTCCCGTCTCGGGTGTTCCTTCCAAAGTTGCTCGATTGCGTTAGAGGTAGGTGCTGCCCAACGGTTGAGTGTGGTGTGGTCAGCACGCACTCTCCTGGTGCAATTGCAGCTCTGGCATCGATGCGGTTATATGTTATTTTTTGCCCAGTTGTCACTGGGCAATTGATTTCTGATGATAGAAGGTGTTTGGCCTGAAAATGCACCATTAGGCTATGCTCGGGTACGGTACACAGCGGTTGGCGGAGACCGGTCGAGTCGAATCAGCAGCGTCACATCAAAAGCCTGACAACCTGGAAGCGCAACAATGCAGAAAGAGCAGAATTCGGCGACAAGTGCATCCCTTGATTTCCCCATCCATCTTGCTGCTTACTGCGTGCATCTCTGGCCGCAGCATGGCAGCAGTTGGGCAGGTCACCTAAGCGATGATTAATGCTCTAGCCTGCTTCGTGAGGGAGAGCAGAGTTGGGCATCTGTTGGCGGAGATGGAGATCTTAGATTGTGCACAACAAGGAGCATACCGAGGTATTGATCATCGCCCCATATCCACTGGCAGGATGACTGTGTCCTTGGCAATGCGCGTCAAATCGTTTGGGCATCTCGGTATCTGCCTGAGGAGCAGAGCACAGCATAGAAGAGGGCATCATCTGTCATGATAAACTTTTGACACTTTCATCAGACAATTGGCTCGTGCTCTCGACGACTCCACCTCGCCGAAGCTGTCGCGCCTTCTTTGGGAAGCTGTTTCCGGGATCCAGGAAATCGCGAACTCCCGCAGTCGGTGGACCCCCGTAGCTAACCCCGGCCCCGGCCCCACAGGGACGGGATCTACCTAACCTGGCGGAAGCTTGAGGAGCTTGAGGAGCTTGGACCTTTACCAGGTATCCAGGAGCAGCTCGACGGCTGACGCCTCATCATTTTGTCTCACCTCTCTCCTCACCAGGCCAGCACCTAACAGTACGAATACAGTGCTCCTACAACTGTGCCGACAGTCGGCCGTCCCTCGTGTTGGTTGCTCTGCGAGATTTAGGACTGCCAGGGGCAGCATACATTGCGATATCACCACGGCCTCTGCCATCATGTCAAGAAGGTAGGACATGAGGTATATGGAATGTATCAGGCCCTTAATCAGTACATGTTTACTTAGGTGCCACAGATCACAGAGAGGTCAAGCTCCCGTGGCACTTATCGCATCGTAATAACGGTGTTGCCGCCTGGTGGACAGCAAGAGTAAAGTCGAACACGGGCTGGGGGGCTGTCTTGCAACATGGACCCATGCTGGCTGAGGCCATGGCTGAATCGTCGGCGTTTGGCACACCCCCTCACCACCACCACCACCACCACCCCCACCACCACCACCGTCGTCGTCTCTCCCAGACCCCGCTGCACGCTCCCGATATACATGCAACTACAGTGCGACCCGACACTCCCAAGGTCCCAATCGAGTCGCCTTGAGAGCAAAGCCCGCTGCCGCTGCAGTCCGTCCTGCAGTGCCTGGCCACCCTGCAGTTGGGCTGCCAAGTTCAAACTGGCTATCGAGTCGAACAATCACCCACTCGTTTGTCCGCTGTCGTACTCTCTCGCCCTCTGTGCTGCCGTCTGTGGTCCCAACCCCAACAGCCTACCGATTCGAAGCCTCAAATCAAATGCCCAGAAATTTGTAGCTGTTAACTGTTTTTTTCTGTGTGACAAGCGGTCGATCCCTTCTATATTTTCCTCCCCCGTCTCCTGCCTCCTTTTTGGGAAGCACTCTCTCTCTGGTCTAGCATTGTTTCGACACCTGCATGAACCCACGACAAGCCCAACTCGACATACTGACTGTTCCTCTGACACCACCGGAACTCTCTCACCATACACACACTAGCCCTCACCACCCACACGCTCTTCAACAAGAGCGGAGCCAGTCACCTCCAACACCAAGCCTCTAGGCTCGGCCCTGCTCGTGGTGATCACCAGCTCGGCAGCAGAGTGACAGCTGCTTATTGCATACATTTCTGCATGCACTCGATCTGCCATTTCTTGCGCTCTCCCCCACGATCGTCAGGACTATCGTCTTCAGGAACCACCGTGTTGGGAATTTTCAAAACCACTGTCTGTTCCGTCTAGGCCGGCCTGCTCCCGCCACCTTTTCGTGTTCTGCTTGTCGTTAGCCGCTGCTTTTTCGAGGTTCCTTGCGCCCAAGGATCCAGGCTGGATTCAGGACCAGCTTCTTGAAAGGCAGGGGGCGCCCTCCTTACCCGCATACATACGTATTTCTACACACTATATACACTTTTGTTTTTACCCACACACCCACATGCACGCACCTTCTCACCTCCACATTGACATCAGCATCCTGCACCCACATCAGCTACGTTGAGGGTCCAGCCACTGGTGGATATTAGACGGAAGAGAACCGCCGTTGACTGGTGAGTCCTGACCACCAGAGTGTCTCATGCGACTTGCAGACAACAAAGACTGACCGTGGTCCATCTCCCACCCAGGAGTTCGCAGCCCCAATCTCACACTTGTGTTTGAGACCAGCACCCCAGTGTCTCCACCTCCAGCATCAATATCGCAAACAGCACTGAAATTGCTCCCTGACAAGCAGCCATCGACCTTCTTTGTGGCCCAGCCATTACTGTTCCCATCAGAGCTGTCATTGGACTACCCAGGGACTCTGGCTGTTTGGTCCCCCTCCCGTCTCCATCTCGGCCACCAGCACGTTGCCTTCCGTTCCATCCGATCATCAGGAATACCCGTGGCTTCCCTAACCTTTGGCACCGTTGACCAACGTCTGCTCGCCTGCAATAAGTTGACGGCGTCTTGACAAGCCTCCTCTCTCTGCTAAACACTAGCAAGGGTTCCTTCACCTTCAGGCTCTGTCGCTATCACAACCATCCAACAAAGGCTGTCTGACCACCCCCCCCCCCCCCTACCCCCCCCTGGGCACAAGTGATTGGGTGCCAACGGATATATCAGCGTGAAGCCCCCCAGACCCATCTGATTCCAGCACTGTAACACCTCCAACCTCACCTAGCACCATCACAACTTTGAGCTCAAGTCGACTCACCGCAATCATGGTTAATACTCACAGCCATGTCTATCCCCGACCTGCTCATCCAAGGCAAGCGTGGCAACCAGAAAGAGCCGGTCTGATGCCGGCTCCAGGGGATGGCCGTTACCTGGCACCAGATTCTGTCAGGACAGTGCCTCCTGCAGTACGTGTCTAGAACTGAATCTCATCTCCTCTCTTCCTGAAAACAGGAACTAACAGTGTTGCAGACAGTTGGCAGAGCGTTGCGAGAAGTCTGCCACATCAACCACAAGAACTTCTTTCTTGCAGTTACCCTCGAGAATGGCGAGCACGCTTTTTTTTCCGGTCCAGAGAATGTCGATGCGGTAGATGCTAGCAGGATGTTCCACATGAACATCTTCCTGCAGTATCAGCAAGGAATACCCCCACACGCATCAAGTACGGAACCTCATCCATGTCATCTTTCATTCCGATGTATGCTAACACGATTGCAGGAGAGACTGGCCCTCTTCAGGGAGATTATCCTGGTAATGATCTCTATTATGCGCATGCTGTAGGCCCATACGGTCGTCACGACAGAGGATATGATCATGACGAGTTTGATCATGGCGCTGCCTCCCAACGCAGGAAACGCCCACGACGGGCCAGAGCACCACGGTCGTTGGAGGAGGAGGAGGTGGCTACCGTCACTGCCGGGTCGAGGAAGACCACCATCATGATTGGAGATTCGGATGTTGTGCGGGCCTTTTATGAACGTCGTTTTCGGCTCTGTCACCAGATCCTCTGCCGGTGCATCGCCAAGGCCTTTGTGAAGCTCATGGAGCCCAAAAAGCAGACGAACCATCCTTATACAAAGGGTCAAGAGGCGGCACCAAGGTGGTGGCCAAATGACTATGGTCCTAACAGAGTGCTTCTGAGGCACAAGGAACCGGATCACATCAAGAAAGAAGGTCTGTGTACCATCATACTCTTGGGTATCTGAATCTGAAAGAACGCCAGGTTGCTAATATTTTGAATAGAGCGTGTGCACCTGCTGACCCATATCCTCCGCATGCTTACTGAGCCGAATCATAAGCAACACGAGGACATTCGGTCGCAACATCTGACTGTGGCCAAGCTGGAGGAGGCTGCTATGGATGCTGCCGCCTCTTTCTTCAATGCCTCGGGGGAGAACATGAAGAAGAAACTGTGGCTCAAGGAGGCGTTTAAGGTAGCAAAGGCGGAGGAGAAGCTCAAGAGGGGTGAGATAGGTGAGTGCTGAGCAAACTGAGGCACTGAGTTTCTGATGATTAACATGTCCTGCAGACCCCACCACCCAAATCTTCGTGACGGCGGACAACCACGAGCCCGAGGACGACGACGACGATGGGGATGAGGCCGAATACGAGCGGGTCAAGCGTGAGGAGGATACCGGTGATGCCCCGGACCCCATCGCCCGAACCATGTCTGTCCAGAGCTACGGAAGCGACATGGCGATGCGCAATGCTCATCCCGGTCCCGCAATCGTGCATACCGATTTGGCACCAACACAGCAAAACTATGTGGAAGGAGTTTCCCTGACGGTTGGCGGGCCACCTCATCTGGCCAGTCCAATGCAAGAGGTTGACAACAGCCGCCGAGCCATGTACGGATCTGCTGCCGATTTTGGAGGATCGACCGGACCGGCGACGCTGTATCCGACTCAGTGGCAACACAATCCGGCGGCTCAGACGACGGCGTCGGGGATGTATACATACACGCAAGCGCAACCGGCACATACATCGCACGGTTATCCGACTCATGAGCAAGCCCCGTCTTTGCAGCCCCAATCCTATTTGACGTCGGGATATGAGACGCTGCCGGGTTCTCACACTCTATATCGTAATAACAGTTACCTATCGCCGACGGGGAGATTTCCCAGAGACGGGTCACAGTAGCCATGGGACGATAGGTGGGGGTTAGGGGATGCACAACAACAATAACAACAACTTTGCACAAATGGGTGGTTGACTGCTTTTGGGTATCTTGACAGGCAAAACGGAGACTGATGTGGACAACAGCACAGGAGATGGGTGAAGTGGGTTGATTGGGTTGATTCGGGTTTTCTCTTCTTGAGCGTGGCGCTACAGATTGATGACTGCCATTTTCTTTTTTACATTCAGGAGCACAGTTTGGGTTTGCAGCTTTCTTGGGGGTTCAGCAACAGCGAATTTTGTCCTTTGCCTTCTATCAGTTTTTTGCGGTTAAGGCGCAAAGTAACATCGCTTGCTCCGGGTGAGCAGTCGGGTGGATTGGATAGAGGGGATCGATCTTTTTGCATGAGTTTGTTTCTTTCCTTGGGTATTCTGATGCTGGTCTGTTGCACTTTTTTCTTTCTCGGTAATAAATTCCCGTCTGTTCAAAGGGGCTCTTGACATGGGGGATGGGGGGCTTAGTGTTGGGACCTTTTGCATTGGGGGGGAATTGTTTATGGCTGTTATGAAATCTTGTTTTCTTCTTCTTCTTCTTCTTCTTCTTCTTCTTGCTATGGGGTGGATAAGGGACATTTTCTCACAAGTGTGTCGATTTGTGTGTTTGTTTGTTTTTGGCTTTGTGCAATGGGATAGTTTAGGGGAGGGGAGAGAGGGGGAGGGGGGTTAATAAGGGTAGTGTGAGTTAGTTGAATAAAGAGAGTTCTGTTGAGAGTGGGAGTCTAAAGAGTGTTGGTGGCTATCCACTGTTGACATCTTGTGGGATGCTTGGTGCGGAAGGCCAGGCAGAACTCATTGACCTGCTGGCATGCCATGGACAAGAATAACCGGTTCTGTCAGGCAGAAAAGGCGTAATGATAGAGAGTGAAATATCTCTTTTAAAGGCATACAGATTATCTTTTAAAGAATTACAAACTATCTTGAAAACCTACAAGCTATCTTTAGAGGAATTTTGATTGCCTAGGTATCTTTTCATGCGTGGTTCAGGATGATGCTATCTTGTGTTGGTTTTATTTACAGAGCTAGTAGTTATTTTGCCCACAGCGGTTTTGGCTTGGTCATGCATGGATGGTCTTTGGGAAATTTCAACTGGTATTGAGACTGGTTGTACAAAGCTGGGAAGATATGTGGAGTGCGGGCAAAATGAAAAAAAGAGGGGGGGGGCCGTAATGTGACGTGTGATATTTTAAAGGTGGGGGGGGGGGTGGGGGGGGGTTTTCTTTGTTTACTTTTGGGTGGGGTTTTGGCTGGGATAATGTTGGGGTGGGGTTGGGAGGGCTGACTGCTTGGGTAGTTGCTTGGTAGGGAAGGGTTTGGGTGTTATTGATAGCCTGTTGTTCTTGTTTACGGTTTCTTTGAGAGAGAGAGGTTATACGAAGTAAGGGGTGAGGGTGGTGGTGGAAGGGGGTTAAAGATGGTGGTGGTGTTGATGATGTGGGATTCCTTTGTGGTGGTGTTTCACCACTGGTGTAATTGACTTGAGGCTTGACAAAGAGGTGGGTAAGGGACGGGGATTGGTCTGAAAAGGGGGGTGTGATTCAACGTTTGAAGGGGGCTGGGGGGTTTGCCTGTATGCAGAACCATCCTTTCTTTTCCTTTCAGGTTACCCAGTTGGGGGTGATCATCATGGTAGCTTCTTATCTCAACTTTCCCAGATGACATTTATGTCTCTCCCCGGCTATCACCTTCCCCCGGTTTTGAAGGCTCGTGGATCATCAAGATGTATGTCGATCGATCGTAACCCTCCCTGCCTACCAACTCACATGCCTAGAATAACATTATCAAAGAAGCAAAGTAGAATCACGCATATTTGTAGGAGGGTAGTATAGCATCTCGGCCCCTCTCTCGGTCCGAAAAACACTTCCAGTGTGGTGTGTGTGTGTGTGCCTGGAAGGGTCGAGGAGAAGTTGATGAAAGCACTGGATAAGGATGAAAAGCCTTTGCATATTTTGCGTACTCTATCTTCCGGGATCGCATATGCATCCTGCTCCTAACCGTTCTCTGTGTGGGGGGCTTAGATGGGGGCTTACCTAGGGAACCTCGGTTTGAGCTTCTCCGGTTCAACATCCAAGCTGAATGATAGGTAAGGCATGTCCGATTTTTCGGGGGCTCGGCCGAGGCCTGGCGGAAGGAAACATGATATGACACAGGGGGTGGGGTGAGAGTTGTTATTTATGAGTTCAGAGATGTGATCTATCTTCTGACTAGGCAAGAGGCAAGAGGCAAGAGGCAAGCAACAGATACGAAGGGGGGCGGGCGGCGTTGGGAGTGTGTGTTTTCATGAGATGCAGAGGCGGGAGGCTCATCGTACGATCTGATAGTTTTTTTCTTCTTTTTCTTTTTTTGCCTGGGGCGAGGTCGGTTGCTGCAGAAAGTTTGAGTGTAAGTAGGGAGGTTATTCCGAAGGCATGCAGACTCTGGTTCTTTGGTTATGGGGAAAGAAGAAGAAAGGAGAAACTACCTAAGGTTGTGCACCGAGCTTGAAGAGACAGACGAATCTGACCCCCACTCTTGAAGAAACCCAGTTGGTTTGGGGAAGTAGTAAGATTAAACAAAATATATCGCGAGGCGTATTTCATGTAAGTGATGGTGTGGAAAGTGCGGGTGAGAGTTTCCTGGTTGCTGGAATTTTGATGTGGCTTGCCTCTAGGGAGAAAAACTTGACAAAGCCAAGACGGGGATGGGAGCCGGGGACACACAGGAAGTTGAGCAAATCCTGTCGCAAGAACGGGGGAATTTTGAAGCCGGTGAGCCGGACGTGGAAGGAGGTGCAGGGAGCAAACGGGTGCTTGCATGTGAGCTAGTCTGGGGGCTGCATGACGAGGTACAAACTTGGACTTGAAGACTTTTGAGGCGGAGGAATCAACTTGTACTTGATACCTAGATCATGGCTGAGCTGTTTCGGCTCGCTTGAAAAGTGCACTTTTGAGGCAGGCTGTGATGAATGGGGGCGTGTGTGTGGATGGTTTGTGCAGATGTAAACATCGCGCTGGCCGATGTTAGCTAGCCTCTGGATGGCAAAGGTTATGTAACGTGGTATGCTGTCGTTTCACATACTCTAATTCTAAATGAGATGACGTCTTTTTTGAAGAACTGTGCACGGCATAAAGCATGTGACAGGAGGCCGAGTTGACTTGTCTTGGAAAGAGCGAACTGAGGACAGTAGAGCTCAATGTGCAATGAGATGAAAGTCTGCTCTTGATTTATGAGTTGTCCGTCCTCTGGGTATTGTACAAAAAAGATATCGACCCGAAAGACTCGATCAAAAGAGTGGCAAACTCGAGGTTTTCCCTGGTAACAATAGACAAACGGAAGAAGAGTAGTGACCTGACGGACTTGAGAGGTCGAAGTGAAAGCTCATTTCTGATGGTCCATGGATTTCCTTCATCTCCTTCACCGTCACAGCAGGGCGCATAATTTTCACATAAATAAAGCGAATAAGGACTCTGAGAAAGTTGGGAAATGAGATTTACTCATGTATTCGGTCCTCGAAAGTTTGTTGCCTCATGTGTGTTCGAAGCCAGATTGAAGCCGAGTACATTGCTCAGCCTGTTGTTATATTGGCCCTGGGCTCCGGGTGATTTGATATGCTGCGCTTCATTTCATGTTCTGATGCTCAGATTTTCAACTACCCGCCAGCTCTGTGAGGCGATGGTAGTACCGACCTCGGGAATAGCCTCATTCCCTTGCAAATGCTGACCCTTTCAACTCGGGTCCGCGGAGCTCACCAACACCAATCAACATGACTTGAATCTGAGTCGACATATGATCAAGAGTGTAAACTCAGATCTTGAATGCCGCAGCGACAAAATCCTTCGAGGTGAGAATAAATAGCGTGTGAAAACGCCCCGCAAACTTCCAGTATTCTCATCATCAATCCAACCTCAACCATCACATCTTCTTAGGCTATATACCAAACACTACCGCTTTATACCGCTTCAACCACTGTCAAAATGGTCAAATTCACCACCGCCGTCTCCCTTTATCGCCCTCACCATGGCCCCGGCCGCTCTTGCCAAAAACTGCAAGGGTAGCCTGATGTACTGCGGACGCGGACTGCTCAACAAGGGTCAGTGACCATAACCTAGCTTCTTCATTACCTGATGAGACAGCTAACATATCGCCTTCGTGTAGGCAACTACTATGACCAAATCATCGAGGCTCTCCAGGGCTCTGGCCAGCCGAGTGATTCTGCCCATGTCAATAACTCCTTGTTCTTTTGCAAGAGTGATGGAAACATCATTTTCCAGGCCTTTTGCCGGACTAGCGGGTGCATCAATGGTGGTGCTTATCACAGTGATTACTGCTAGGTCCCAACTCAAGGGTGGTTTTGGGATGGTGGGGTGGGAGACTTCGCAACGGGGCAGTGGTGAGCGAGGAGGATTGTAGTGACGACATGGTTTCTGTAGTGTCAATAAAGATGTTCTCCCTTCCATCTTGAGATTTTCAAGATCAGTGAAACAACCACCGTGTCGACCTTAACCCTGGGTTTCTTTTGGTGCTGTCTCATCATCACTGGCTTCATCTCCATCTTCTTTTTCATCACCATCGACTTCATCACCGGACGACCCTTCATCCTCCTCATCAACATCCTCCTCCTCCTCCACCTCCTCCTCACCGCTTTCCCCCCACCCCTCAAACTCCTCCTCCTCCTCCTCTTCCTCACTCTCCTCCTCCTCCTGCTTCCTTTTCTTCCCCTGCCCTTGTCCAGGCTTCTCCCCCTCCTGCTTCCTATTCTTCCCCTGCCCTGGTCCAGCTTTCTCCCCCTCCCCCTTCCTCACAAAAACAAAACTCCTGCTCTCCCTCCTCTCCCCCTTCCAAGCCCTCTCGCTCACCTCCCCCGTCTTCTTGTTCCTCACCACCCCCAACGTCCTAGCATGCGCATAACCCGGGTACGCCCCCGCCTGAAACCTGAAACTCCTCTCCACCTCCAACCCGGCATGTCGCGCCAGGTCACGGATATTCCACAAGGTATACGGCTCCCCCTCAAACAACGTGACGATAATCTTTCCCCTTGGCGCCAAATGAAGTAGAGCCCGGCGGAAAAAACCAACCATCATCTCCTGATTCGCTCTCACTTGTCGGTTGACATCTTTTGACTTGCCGCCGATGTGGGGAAAGTTGAAGATTATGCGGGAGAAGGATTGGGATTTGAGGGAGAGTTTGGTGGCGTCGATGTTGTAGAGGAGTTTGTTGTTGTTTGGTGGGGAGTTTGGGTGGGCGTTTGGGGGGGATAGGAGGAGGGAGATGTTTTTGTCGACGTGGGGGTATTTTTCTTGGAGGGCGGGGAGGGAGGGTTCGAAGACGGTGGAGGTTAGGGCGGTGCATTTGTGGTGGGAGGATAGGGAGGCGGAGAAGGAGAGGTCGGCTTCGCCTAGGAGGAGGATGGTGTCGGTTGGGGTAAAGGGGATGATGGGGGCGGATTGGGAGGGTTGATGGTGTTTTTTCTTGGGTTTATTGGATTGTTGTTGTTGGGGGCGATTTTGGGAGGTTTTCTGTTTCTTGGAGGGGGGACCTTGAGGTTGAGATGGTTTTTGTTTTTGCTGGGAGATGGCTGATTTGAGGGCCTCTTGGAGGCGGCCGCGTTTCTTAGCCATTTGTGAGCTGAGATTCAGTTTCTTTGGGATATAAAAAGTCGTTGGATGGGATTCAGAAGCTGTCGTAGTCGATATCGGGCCGGAGGTGGACGGACGTAACGGGGCGACTCGGCGATCTGCCGGGAGACGGAGGAGATGATGGATGGCAGAAAAAAAGGCTGGGTCCCGGCAGGCAAGCGGCATGGTTCCAGCCGCACAGGCGCGCGGCAGTGGGGTTGCACTGGGCTCTTAGCGCCAAGCCGGCCCCGGAAGCTGCTTGAAAAGTGGGTTTGCCCGTTTTGGGGCTCCGCAGAACCCCTTTGTCCATTTTGCCGGCCCTGGTTTGAGGAAATGCTGGCAACAGGACTTGAGATATGGAAGACATAGGTACGAAGTAGATCGTGAGTTTAATCAATGGCCGAGAGATATGCTTAATAAATCAGATTGAAATCTATTTGAAGATCCGTATGTATCTGTGAGTGGTCGCCGTTCTCGTGAGTGACGGGAGCGCCCTTGAAGCAGCCGGATCCACTGGCCCGCGCTCTTCAACGGCGAACCCGGCAATGGGGATTTGGTCATTTCAAATTCAGCAAGCAGCCAATACTCACCGGGCACCCGGACGTCGGGGAACTCACAGGAAAGCGAGGTCCGAGACTGATATGTGCGTCAGAGGAGCCGACGCAGACCAGGTGATGTGCAGATGCCAGACAGGCTGCTGGGCCGCAATGTCATTGACAGCTCATTCAATCTCGGGATCAGGGCGGGCTGCCAGTTCAATGTGGTACAACTGTGTTTCTGGGCAATATTTCACCGCCTTGGTGCCTGAACCAATGGCATTATAGCATATGCCACATTCACACTCTGTAGAAACGCATAAACATCTTCGGGCGAGGCTGTTGCAGCTGTCAGAGCACTGACACCAACGTGGCCCGTTGCAGAATTTGATTTTTGCAGTCGAAGTCCTCCTCCCGTCCGCGCCACGATGCCGGGGGTTGATGACGAGACAGTCCCCAGATCTTATCGGAGCTAGCAGCTACCAGATACCCCTCTGAATATTCACTACACACTTGTAGCCCCTAGCATCGAGAGAGTTTGCAAAGACATACGACCAATTTTTGTAAGCTGTTGTGAACGGTTGCGACTAGTTCCTGATTGGGAAGTCAATGCGGCGCTGTGATTGGCTGTTTCGTCGGTTAAGCCTCGGTGGAGCAACCCAAGGCTGGACTCCCTTTTGGCTTGGCCTCCAGCGGACACAGTGCGGGCTCAGTGTGCTCTGGAAATGCAGCACGCTCAGCACAGGCCTGCTTCGTGGTCCACTGTCTATTATTCCCATCCTTTACAGGTGAAGGACAACACCAGCCACGACTTCACGGCCGCGTCCCTGGTTCCAGACGGCCAGCAGCAATTGCATCAGAATCTCTTGTCTCTCAGCTTTCTTCTGATTATATTTTCCCCTTCTCTTACCTGGTGTGTCGCCACTGCGCCGCTGTCATTACTTGACCCTCGCTGGTACCCTACCCTGAGCCGCTGCTGCAAGCAGTTTGCACCAAGAGAGCGACTCTGCCAACCCTTTCTTCACTCACACCCGCCACAGCTGCTTGACCAAAAGCCACAAACCAACCAAACTGCCTACATCTGGTGACACACTGGATAACCTTCGTCCTGCCCTCTTATACTTGGATCGAGGGAATCATCATCTGGAGAAGTCTTTGATCTTTCGACATCGACAGGTTTTTTTTCGTCTTTTGCATCACGGCTGCTTGGCTTTCCCCCGGCCTCCCGGTTTTTACATCTACACGGAGCAAGCTTTGGTCTGTCATCGACCGACTTGCACCGCCGATTGACGACATTTGCTATTGTTCATTTATATACGACTCATCCTCCCATATTCACCCAGCACCGGTGGTCAGAGCTCAGGTATTCACCTGCTATTGTTTACAGTTGCCGAATGGAGAGCAATGGACATTGAGCAGCACCGCTCACACCTGGCATCGCCCATTACAAATTCTCACCCAACTCTCTCTTTTCCCACACCTACTTCTTTTACCTCGACTCCCATACAACGGAAACTCGTCATTCATGAGATGCCATCCAAATCCGTCAACAACATGAACTTGCAGCAGAGCTTCTCCTCTGTTGCCGATGCCCTAGAGGCTGAAGACACCATGTCTGATATCATCCCACAGCAACCTTCGACTTCCACCCGCGCCGCCCCAACCAGTACCCGAGCTCGTGGAGGCCGCGGTCGTGGCGGCTCCCGCGGAGGCAGAGGTCGTGGTGGCAAGTCATCACAACCGAAAGCTCCCGCCGGTCGCGGTCGTCGTCAGAAACTTTATGAGGACAGCAAAGTACAAGCTGCCCACGAGAGAGCGCAGGAGCTGAAGCAGGCCTGGGGCGTGCTCTCCAAGTTAGTCAAGCCAGCAGCCCAAGAGATCGCCGACAGGTCGATCAATCAGCTTCTTGAAGACCCTGGTGTCGTTGAGAGAGTACCCGAATTCGACGTCGCTCAAAAGTTCCTGAAGCAGCGATACGAAGACACGCTCAGCCAGAATGATCGAATTCTCGAGATGAGCCGTCAGATGGCCCAGCGTGTTTATGAAGGCGAGGTCGAAGCAGCCAGAGCTTCATATGCCGTAAGTTTTCATCTTTACTTCCATACACACAGCATTCACTAACAGATATGTTTAGCGCCAGGTGGAAGAGATGCAGGAGGAGCGTCTCGGTGAGCTTCTTCAACAGCTCGACCGTTTCGAACACCAATACAACCTCAAACTTCCCGTCGATGTATGTTTCCTTTCTTGCGCTCACCTCTGTTCATATTTTTCTAACCATGACTAGTATCCTCCGCCACGTGACGAGAGCTACACCTATAAGTCCATCACAATGGCCGAGAGAGATGCCCAAGGAGTCTTTCATGAGGAACGCGATGGTGTTGAAGTCCCCTTCCCTGGTACTAAGCTTAGAGATCTTATGGTCAAGCCGCCCACCATGCCCCTGGAGTCTTTGAAAAGAAAAGCCGATGGCCAACCAGACGGTCAGCCAGCTTCGAAGCTCCTTCAAACCGCCAAGGACGAAGATGCCATGCGTCAGTTGCCACGCCACACGGCTGGCCTTTTGGGTGCAGCTGAAGCGCTCGAAGATACTGTCGCCACTCCACCAGATTCCGCCTCCAATGCTGCCACGCCGCTGCCCGAGCCTGCCGGAGACATTGCTGAGGTGCGCGGGCAGCGCCGAACTTCCGCCGAGCCCAACCCCGCCGACGGACCCGAACTGCCCCTTCCGCGCGGAGCTCTCGACCCGGATGAGTACGGCGTTCGCCTCATTGTACGCCGCAATAACAAGGCTGAGAACCCCAATAACCGCATCATGGTACCAAACCTTTTTGAGTGGGACGATCTCGATATTGGTTTCCGCGATTCGACCAACTCTGCTGAGAAGGGCGCCACCAAAGCTCGTCGCGGCAAATATTGGCAGAAGCCCAACTCCAACTACATGTTCATCGACCGTCGTGTGGGAATTTGGGATTCCACTGAGGCTGCTGGCGAGCTTCCTGAAGCCGAGGTGAAGAAACACAATCTTCACCCAAAGTACGGCATCTTTTTGCCCTCCTCCACCAATCTCCAAGAGTCGCCCAAACCTGTCGTCGACCCATGGAAACCGGTCGTGCTGGTTCCCCCAAATGGGGAGCTTATCCACGCGTCTCGGACCATCCCAGCTGCGAAAGCCGACCGAGCCTTCAGCAAGCTCGAGGCAAAGCTGGAAGGGAAGAAAAAGTTCTCGGCCTTGCTCAGTCATATTTGTGAGCAAGAAGGAGTTGAGGAGGAGGAGATCACTCCGTCAGCGGAGGAGATTGAAGGGTTGCGGCGAGAGGAGCTGGCGGCGAGGGGCATGGACCCCAACACGGTGTACCAGCCCTCGCCGGCGCCACCCACTCCCGCGCCCGAGCCCGAGCCCGAGTCCACGCTGGAGCAGGCGGCTGGCTTTGGCCAGTTCGCCGATGACATGCTCCGTGCTGCGGCGGTTCTGGAGGACGACGAGGCGCGAGACCTCGCGCGCGAGCGTGAGGAAGAAGCTGCTCGAACGGTGAAGAGCGCCGCTTCCAAACCGTACGACGCGGTGCGGGACGCGCTCGGGTTCGACAACTCCTCGGTCCCGGAGGATACCACTGGCCTGGATGTTCTCGCACACATTGCGATCCGAGAACATGAGGCAACGGCTCACATCGACCCTCGGATTTACAATCCGATGCAGGTCGATGGTCTGGCACGCGACCATCGCCAGTATGGTTCGCACGTTGACTACCAGCCCAGTGAGTATCCTCCGCCGCCCGAGGAGTACCATGGTCCACCGATGTCTGAGGGCTACCATGGGCTGAGTATGCCCGGTCACTATGCCAGTGAGCCGGCCAGAGGAGATTTTCTCCGTACGGCACTGAATCCCCAGTCGCCGGTATACCCTCCACCACCTGCCCCGCCACAAGACTACCCGGCTAGCCAACTTTCTGGCGGTAGGACACCGTTTGCACCCCAAGGGCAAGGTGTAGGCTTACCAGCCTTACGTCCTATGCGCAGCCTATTGAACGACAGCCCGCCCCCTCCTGAGCAGCATAGTCCAGTTCCTCAACACGGTAGCATGGTGATGACGAACAGCGGCGCCTTTTACCCAGTCGGGCCTAGTCGTCCTTTTCATAACGGCTATTCCGTACCGGAGCCTCAGCACCATCTACAGCCTCTGATGCCCGCTCCTGGTCCTGGACCTCTCCAGGCACCACCCATGGCTGGCCCGCCTGGCACGCAACAGCTCGCACCTCGCCCTCCTAGCCCCTCGACTGCATATCCAGTCTCGCCACCCTATCATACACCGATCGCACCAGCTCCGGCGCCGGGTGTTCATGCCCCTATTCTTCCCGCTGCTACTCAACCTCCCATGCAGTCATCTCACTCTCGACCTGGAAGCTCCTCTGCCTCGGCCCCTCCCCCTGCTTCCGCTGCCGGTTCAGCAGCGTCGTCTAAATACCGCAAGCTAGAACCTGCGCCGACGCCACCTCATCGTATGACCTACTCGGCCAACGGGCAAGAGCTGCGTACTGTACAGTTCGACTATCGTGAGGCTATCAAGGACTATTCTGCTGTAGAAGCTCCCCCTAGAAGTGGTCCAACACAGATTCGTGGATGGACTCACCAAAACATCCGCAAGGGCCCCAAGCCGAGCTCCTCCCGCGGCGATGCCAACGCTAACCCGCCAAACGCTGACGAATCCGCCTAGAAGGCGCGATTTGAAGGTGAGACGAAGACGAACAAGCGCGTCAGCGAGATTGTCAACGAAGAGAGAACCTTCAAGAGAACCCGGAGAACACCCGCCGCGGAAGCCCATCTGGCTGATGTTCACGCCTCACAGTCGTCGAAGAGAGGTGTTCCTGCCGGTATGACAGGCGTTTTCTCCATCGACCAAGGGATACAACGTGGCGAAAGGGGCCCATCAAAGGTCAACACAGGGGTAGAGGATGCCGGCAAAGGTGTGTCGGTCATGGAATCCAGCCTCCGTTCCACCCTGCCGTGTATCAAGCAGACTTTGGAGACCATTCCTGAGGAACCACGGCGTTCACCGAAGATTATAATTCGGTGGTCTAGCAAGACACCCTCTCCGGAGGAAGATAAGAAGCCATCGTCAAAGATTATACTTCGGCAGCTAAGCAAGACCCCTTCCGAGGAAGAGGTAAAGGTCGAGCCCGTCAAGAAGAAAACGATCATCAAGCTCAAGTCGCCGGTCAAGAAGACTCCCTCTGCGGAGGTGAAGCCAGCAGAAGAGCCAGAGGCCGAGCCAATAAAGAAGAAGACGATGATTAAGCTTAAGGTGCCGGCCGAGAAGACTCCCTCCTCGGAGGATGGGTCGATACTTGAGCCCCTGAGACCTTCTCTGCTTCCGCGGCCTCGTAGGGAGCCGTCTCCTCCCCCAGGACAGGCCTCGCCTGTTGCTCCTACGTCGACGCAACCGGCTCACTCATATGGCTTGAGGAGCCGTCGCCCTCGGGTCATACAGTCCTGAGAGGCATAGATCACCCCACCAAATCATGGCGAAAGGGAGAGATCTCTCAGTATTTTGACGTTCAGTTGGCATTTTCCCACATATAGCCGTTATCTCACATAGAAAGAGGAGGATAGGATTCATGGACATGTTTGCTACATCATCACAGTGGCAACAGCATCCGGAGGAAGCGGTTTGATGATTTTTCAGCACGGAATTTGATTTGGAGAAGTGAGAAGAAGGATTTTGGAGAGGAGGATACCAAAAAGGAGGGAATATTTGGGGAGTTGGGTCATCACAAGCATGGCAAAAAGCATAGCATTGCATGGTCATGGCGTACATTCATGGTTATATCATGGATTGAATACATTTTTCAGCATCAAAAGCCGGTCTGGATGGACAGGATGGTCTGGTTTGAGGGGGGTTTTAAGGGGGGAAAGAGGTGTGCACTTGGAACGTTGATAAGGCACACAAAAGATTGCATACAGAATATACATAATGATACCACTGGGGAAGGAGGGAGGCAAGCGGAAAATATGTGGGATGGGCATAGGGATTGAGGATATATTGTACAAACAACTAGAAAGTGGTAGTCTGGTACCTAATTATGAGCGAGTTTATGCTCTATTTGTAAAGACTTTGTTCTCCCATTTGTGAAAGTTTTATGTCCTTGGATATTTGTGAAGTCTTTGTGCTCGATCTGTGAAGATTTTATGTGTTATGCAGTGTGTGCCTTGGGGGGAAATGGCTGGTTGTTTAACAAGTCTCATTGCTAAATTTTGGGATTTTGTATGGTCAAACATACCCAGAAACATATCATCCAAACTCGATCCGAGCTTTGATTGGAGATGGGGTTTGTAAACGCTGCTGAGTCTTGTGTTTTGACGTTCGTAAACGATACTTGGACGTTAGTGAACGCAGCTGGGATTTGAGAAAGTATATATTGTGCACTTTGTTATTAAGATTATGAGCAATATCCCAACTCGCTACATACACGAGAGCTTAAGTCTTGAAAAAGCGAATATTAAATCTTCACCAACAAAACCCAAAGTCTTCAGAATTTAAAAACAAGGTCTCCATAAATTAAACATAAAATCTCTATGAAAATAGTACAGACTCTATACAAATAAAGGATGGCTTTGCCCCGTATAAATGGGAGAAATGGTCGTTTTTTAACACCCTTTAGGCAGGTACATCCAAATGCTCCTCAGGTTCCACAATCTTTTTCATTACTCAGTTGCAAGATCATCTTAGGCTGAGGTAAATGGTATCAGACTACAGTGGATTGCATAATAACGATGAGTTTTTTCAGTACCTTGTTGAGAGATACGTCCTTCTTATTGAACAGCACACCAACCGGAGGAAGGGATTGAGTTTCGACAAAGATTCCATCGCTGTTCACCGTTCACTCGTGGCCACCCAACATTGCCCCACAAGTAGCGGGTTCATTAAGAATAGCAGACCATTGTTCATCCACATCTCGAAGTGTGTTCCCAGTGGTTCGGTGGGGGTTCTTGCCGCAAGATTCTCCACTCTGTGAGCTCGGCCCAGTGGTAAAGAGCGTCGTTGTCATATTCTGTGTCTCTGCGAAGATGCTGTTTCTCTAGTGCGGGTTTCCAGATGAGCAAGGGATAGCAAGATACATACTCGGGTAGGTCTTGCGACCTCATTGTTCCAATAGGGGCCCAGTTCCACAATATTTGCCGTAACTCGTCGGCCTTGCGCTCGGATATGGCTTCTTGGTCGGTGTGGTATTCGATCATGGCGTCGCAGAGGGCGTTGAATTGGCTGGGGGTGAGCATTTTGATGTGATGCTGTGTGTTTTGTTGACAGTGGTTGTTAGATAGTTGTTGGCCATGTTTTTAATAGGTCTGATACTAAATAGAGAGAGGTTTTCTTTTGTGTAGGTACATTCCGGTGAAGTTGGGGATGGCTTCATGTAAGTAGCCGTCTTCGGCTTACTACCACCCACACCACATCTCCAATATATCTCACCTTGACACCACAACGGCATACGGATAAATACTTTTTTAATTTCTTTTAATTATTTGGCTTCCCCCAGAAATAGCTGAGATGAGCTCCAATACCCTGGATCGAGATCACTCCATATGACACTCCACTTTATGCGTTCGCCCCAGTGGTAGAGGGCATTGCTCTCATATTCTCTGTCCCTGCAGTACTCTGGTTAGTGTGCGTTCCTGAAAGCGAAGGATGGATTTAACAACCTTCTGGGTATCGGCTCGAGATTGAGTTGTCTTCTGATAAGCCGTTCAATCTCACCCGGATCCTCTCGATTCTCTTCAGCCTTGCGCTCTGACTCGGCTTGTTGGTCAGTGTGGTTCTCGATCATGGCATCGCAGAGTGAGATGAAGTGGGTGGCGGTGGGAATCATGATGTTTGTGTGTCTTATGCTGTTGGAATGGATGGTTTGATCTCATCTTCTGTTATGTTTGACAATTGCAGGCAATCGTGGGTGATGTGGGAGGTCTGCCAAAGGTAACAAAGCCCCTTTGTGAAAGGTGTGAAAGGTAGGGGTGTTCCTTCAGAATAGTCAACTCACCCCACTGTTCACTCTTTCGTGAGTTATATGTACTTGACATAATCACATAGCTGCCCCAGCCAACCATCTACCTCTTGTTCATCCTCCTCACCTTCATCCATTTCCAAGCTTCAAGTCCGTGATAAACGTACTCTTCCCAACACTCTTTGGTACCTATGGTGGTATTAACTCTCTCATTGCAAGTGACGAAATAAAACACATTCCGCAGTATAGGGGGAGGGCGCTTCCACCGTCCTTTATCCACTTTTGACGAGCCGGGGCTACCCGAGCAGCGTGGTACTCGATTATGGCATCGCAGAAGGCGTTGGCTTGACAGATGGTGGGCATTGTGAGCTTCTGCTGGGGCTGAAGGCTTTGCTGTGTGTCAATCAGACTTTGGCGTAGGTGATCTGATCGGTGGTACCAACCAACGTTCGAAGGTTGGTGTCTTCCCTGAGTGATAGCCGCTTTTTTCTATGTGAAATAATGGCGCCGAATCGAAACATTTGGCCGAGGGACGTTGTTCCAGTGGATTTCTGATCAAATACAGAACATGAAAGCGAAACTGTGCTTGTCCACTTCGCCGTGGGTTCTAGATTGGGTCAGTAATCTTTGGGGCTTGCAACGGCTAGCTCTCTATCGTATTCGACCACGGCGCCACAGATTGCGTTGAATGGCTGGCGGTAGACATCGTGCTGCAGCGGACCTAATGGTTGTCCGGGTTTGTGTTTGTGGGGAAAGAAGTTCAAACTTTTTGATCACTGCCTATCTCTACGCCACATATTTCGGCACGAGGAACTCACGAGATTCGTTTTGATATCGTTCGCAACCTAAAATTGGCTGCCCTAGATAGCATGATATGGACAGGAAAATAGAGACTGCGACAAGAGTCAAGGACTTACAAGGTAATCAATACGTTTTGGAGGATACCTAGGCAGTAGGTTTTGAAGATGCCAACCTTGAAGATGGTTGGCACACCTTTGGAGACAGTGGATAGACTTTAAATATATATTGATAGGCCTTCACAGATGGTCGAGAGATCCTGGAAGATGATTGAGAGGCGTGGTGACTATCTTTTAGAGACCCGATATTTCGTCGCAGGCTCTGTTTTCCTGTGCGGTGTAGATGGTGACGACGTGTTTGGTCTTTTTGGCCTTGGATAATGACTTGAAATACCTCGACCACCACAAGTCAACTTCTACGCCCATCGCCTCTCGCTGTTGAAGCGTTCCTTGACTGGCCATCCAGCTCGCAACTTCGCGAAATGATACCACCATTGCTTTTGCCATTTGTCTGCCCTGCAATAGCCAACTTAGCATGCATTCCTCGAAACAAAAAGAGATAGGTAGTCGGGCCAACCTATCAAGATAGCGCCCCCTGTCATCACCTTGGTCACTGCGCAAATCTCTGATAATGCGTGTGGCGTGCTTGTGTTTCCACATCGAAGCTGCCCTCTCCCACCTTCTATGATAACTGAGCCTGGTAGGGAGGAAGCTTTTACATGTATGCAGCCACAAAGCAGGCTCGGGTTGCCGATAGAGGGGCGTCAATGTCGTAAAAGGCCAGCTCTCATCAGCAAGCCACGCTAAATCTGTGGTAACCGTCTCTCCCAGACATTTCACATGGACACCGGCAACAACCCAAAAGAGCAAACAAGAACAATGTAAAATGTCTTAACCATGATCCGCTGGTATCTGCCTGACCTGTTAAACGCCGTCCAAACTCCACCTGACGCCTGCTCTCTCGAAAAGAAGAAAGGCACAAAGCAAACCCCAGATCCGCTAACCCATTCCCTTCCATCCCGTTTTATGTGTAGTGCGCATGAGTGGCAGAAACTCAAGAAAAGTAGTCGCAGGCTTATCTCGCTGCTTTTGACTGAAGAAGACAGGTCAAGAAGAAAGAGTTGAGAAGACACTAGAGAGCTAATTGGCGCCATTCTCCTGTTTCTTCTCATCCCACTTCTGGTCCTCATCAGTCTTCATGTCAACATCCTCGTTGCCACCAGCCAGAACCCGAGTCTTGGAGGCGTGGTTCTCTTGGCCGGCAGTAGGAGTCTGAGCGACAACCTCCCCGTCCTCGTTGACAAACTCAAAGTTGTATCTGCTGAGCAAGTGGGGGATGGCAGAAAGTTGGGGTCCGTAGCGCTGGGTGTTGTCGTAGAGCTCGAATAGGGGCACGGCGAGGAGTTTCATGTTCTTGGGAACGGAGAGGACTTCTGATGGGAAAACATTAGCATAGTTGAAAGATAAAAACTGGAAGAGGGGACTTACTGGTCTCAGGAAGCTGGATCAAGTAGAGCTTCTTGCACTCCTTGGGCCGTGTGATATGGGCAGGGACGAAAGGGTACATGAAGGTCTCGGTGTTGGGGCGCCACCACTGCGCAAGGCAGTCGCCAATTTCCCAGTCGGCGGCCTTGTTGCCTTCGCCCAGGCTGCCGACTGGTGCAAGGCGCTCATCGAGGCGGCGCTTGAATCCCTCAATCTCGTCATCTTCGGGATGGAGGTAGTCGCCAGGCAGCTTGAAGAAAGCATTGGCAATCTGGAGCATTAGAATGTGTGGGTGGTTGTGCTCGTGGCACACCAGGATGCCTTCGCAAGTCCGGCGCATTCCATGTTTCTCGTAGTGGTCGTTCAGGCGCTCGAGTCGGGCGATCACACTGGGGTCCTCCTCAGGCTGGGTCTCCTTGACACCGAACGTGTAGTTTGAGAGAGGGTAGAGACGGATAGTGGGTGGCTGATTGGCATTGAAAGAATTGGGGATAGTGGGGGGTCGCTCGCTTTGGAGTGCATTGGGCGTGATTGTAGACATCTTGACTTGGTGTTTGCTCGGGGTCGCTGGAAACCTAGCGGGTAGCTGAAGCAAGATGTGCTGCGCAGGAGGAGAAATGGTGCTGAGAGAAGAATTTTGAAGCTAAATATTCTACAAGAGTGTTCTGATAGAATAACTGGACAGTGCTATTGTACTTCTCCGAGATGATGTCGTCGGTGGTGTCTGAGGGCGGATCTGCTTAGTCATCGATGTTGTTGCTAGTGGTGGACCTGGTGGCAGTTCGCTGGGAAACAGCCCCTGTTTGGAGCTTCCGCCTTGGCCATGTCGGCAGAATCACTACACTTTAAAGGCGGTCAGCGCTCTCAAGACCAGGGATTCGGTCTTGGCAGAACCAGCTGGGCCGCACCCAATTTCCAACGTTTCATGTAAACGCAGGTTGGGTGGTTGGGAATAGCCTCACAAAACTGTTCATCGCTATTAAAGGGTGCCATGCCATAAATAACATCTGCTCTTATATCATTAACTCGGGTTGACAATGCAAGGAACATTGAACACCTACAGATATCGCTCCGAGTACTTTCCTGGCCTTCACTCAATTCCAGCTAACCGGACTGCGTAGACAGCGTTGCCATTATGCCCTAGAATTGTCTATAAGCAGTCATGGCTGAGCAGTGTCATAATTTCATTCTGCTTTGACACACGATACTTGCTTGTGTCTGCTATGTGGTCCCCTTTGTGTAAGGACTCTCTCTCTTTGGACAAGTGCACTAACATATAAACTACCTACTATTACCGAGTACTCTAGGTACAGCTTCCAAGCTGAGATTGTTTCTATTACTTCAACGTGCTATGTCAGCCATGTTGCGGTACTGGTTGACTAGTCGTGTTCCTTGAATGAGACTTGGTGCATCCTACCTTACTTAGGTATTATTGACAGTACTCACCGTCCTAGTTGGGTTTGTTGATACTAATACTGCGCTAAGACGGTTTTTTTGTTTGAAATTACTCTTTTTGTTCCCTGAGATCCTGAACAGCCAATGCCATCTGGCCTTGATATATTTCTCCAATCTCACCTAGTCGTCTGAGATGCCTTTAGTCGTGGAAACTGACCTGCATGAAACCCCAAGGCCTCAGCTCAGAGTTTATGCCTGATCGAAATATCCAAGATGTCTCTTTCTATTCGTCATCCGAGCTACCAGTTGCTCCTTCCCTTGATATCTCTTATCTCACGATGCTTATCTCGGAATTTTCGTGCGATCTTTTTCCCAGCTTCGAACTCTCCCAGCCAAACCACCCAGTTTGCTTATCTTTTTATTTCTTCCGCTCAGAGATCTGCCTCAAATCTCTTCTCTCAACCAAATTTTCTCCCGTCGGGCGGCTCTCTACTCTCCCCTCTTACAACCGCCGACTTCTGGGCTCACTCTTCACGAGGATCACCTCAACAGCTTCATATCATTTCTCAGTTTCTCGAATTTTGCTTTGTGGTCGAGTCGGAACATCTTCCGGAGTCGAACGACTCTAGATGGTGACATTGTGGTCGGTACCGAGATTCTTTAACATAAAAATCGACTTGCTGGTTCATTTTCGCGATGCTGTTTGCTAACACCGCCTCTAGATCTCAACACATCACCAAACAACTAGCTGAGTCTGTCACCATGGAATCGCCCCCTAGCAAGGAGGGCAAGCCTCCCACAATATACACATCAGAAGACACCTATTTCGAATCCCTTCACACTCTCGGCAAAGAAGACTTTCGAAGCTCGATGAGGGGTTCCAATGTACCATCCAATTGCTTGAGAATGCCGAAGCAGTTGTTCAAAGTCTCAAGGACCTGCCCGAGGTCGGCGACTGGCTCAAAGATATTGACCGCCTCAAACAAAAAGCTAGCCCACAGCGTGTGGTGATTGGAGTGGTCGGAAGCACCGGAGCCGGCAAAAGCAGCTTGATCAATGCCGTGCTAGATGAGGAGGGCTTCTCCCGACAAACTGCATGAGTGCTTGTACCGCAGCGATTACGGAGGTTTCGTACAACACTTCAGATGATCCCAAGAAGTATCGAGCAGAGGTGGAGTTCATCACCGCCGACGAGTGGGCGAAAGAGCTCGATATTCTTCTTGACGACATTCATAACGGCCAAGCGACGTTTGGGCCTGAGGTGTTTGGTACCGAGAGCGAAGCTGGCATTGCCTATCACAAACTCAGAGCGGTTTATCCAGCGCTCAAGGGAGATGATATCAAGAAAGGAAAATTCAACGTGGATACCTTGGTCAAAGACGACTCGGTCAAACACTTGTTCGGATCCGTGAAGACTGTCGCCTGCCCGTCCTCCAACGGGTTTGTCAAGCTTCTTCGAACCTTTGTCCACTCCAAGGAGAAAGGTCGAGGACGGCCCAAGGAAGCGACATCACTCGAGTTTTGGCCTTTGATCAAGGTTGTTCGCGTCTTTATCAGGTCTGAGACTCTGAAAAGTGGACTCGTTCTCGTGGACTTGGTAAGCTTTTTCTTACGCTCGATCACGATGGTGATTCTCTGACAGTCAAACAGCCAGGTATACAGGATTCCAATGCTGCTCGGTCCAGGATTGCAAACAGGTATATCCAACGCTGTTCAGGCCTCTGGGTGGTTACCCCGATCACTCGAGCGGTTGATGATCTTGCGGCGAGACAGCTTCTCGGCAAGGCGTTCAAAAGACAGCTCCGGTTTGACGGGGCTTACTCTGCAGTCACCGTCATCTGTTCCAAAACGGATGACATCTCCGAGACTGAACTCCTAAAATCACTTCCGGACCATGCTGAAGCGCATCGCTACAATGAAAAACTCAAAGTGATGCGCGCCGAAGTCTTGGAACGCAGTGGGGATCTGATGTCTAAGAAGCAACAGCTAGCGCAGGTCAGGGAAGATATTAAGCTCCTCAACAATCAGAGTCTGCGCTTGAAGCTTACTCTACTTGAAAATCCCTCTGATGGCATGATTGTTCTCGAGCTACCACAAGCTTCGCGAAAGCGACCTGCGAGACCAGCTGCGGATGAGGCACGCAAGCGCTTTCGAAAGCAGCAGCAGGATCAAAGCCCCGAGGCGAGTGATCTCAGTGACGACGCTGAGCCATTATTTGAGGAGGGTGAGCCTAGACAGGAGAAGATTTCTCGAGATGAGGCGTCTCAAAGACTGCAAAGCCTTAGTGAGCAGATGGCTAATCGGGAATGAAAGAGTTGTCTATTAAGGACGCCGAGAACGATTTGGAGAATAAGGTAAAGAGCATGAACGAGGTCATCGATCTACTAAAGAAGCAAAGGAGAAGCGCGTGCATTTGCTTCCGCAATGATTTCTCGAAGCCTGAACTTCAGAGACAGTTTGGGGAAGGTGTTCTAGAGTAAGTCGTCATGGCACTGATTACATTCCCTGCTGCATAAGCTAACAAAACTCCCACAGGCTGGATAAAGAAGATGCCGCATACGACGATGATTATGATCCCAGCAAGGTCCAGCAAGACAAGTACTACGAGATCGTCAAAAAGCTCCCCGTCTTTTGTGTGTCAAGCAATGCCTACCATAAACTGATGGGAAGACTTCAAGAAGGCGAATCAATCCATGGATTTACCACGACTGACGACACCCAGATTCCTATGCTCAAGGAACACGCTCTCAACATTGTCGCCCAAATAGAGTGTGAAAATTACCGCCAAGTCTTGCGTGATTTTGCTCGTTTTCTAACTGGTTTGCACTTGCGAGTTCTCGTTGCTGCAAAGCATTACACGCTAGCTGAAGACATACGAGAGGTTGAGAAAGCCATTCTCCAAGATCGTCTCAATGAACTCCAGCAAAGATTTGACTCGATGATTGAGGAAGCTTTCAACAATCTCGACCAGGCGGTGCACTCCAACATCTTTTGCAAGTTGCCTAACGCTCGTGATACGGCATCAAAGAGTGCGATCACCGCCATCGAGAGATGGTTTTCGCGCCCGAGAAATGGTGGCTTGCTGTATGGCACATTCCGCGCGGCGTGTGTCAGAGAGTAAGTCAACCACACAAAAGTCCAACGTTTATGATGATGTATCTAACAACCAAACTAGAGGCGTGTGGAAGAGCAGACGAGGTCCAAATGACTTAAATCAGGGTAAGATTACTCTCAACATAATACAAGACATGATACATGAAAAATAACTAACGAGCAGCAGAGCTCGTCGACCCTCTGATGAGTTTTATCTCTCCCGGGTGGGAGAAGGTATTCCCCGACCTCGTGACCAAGCATCTCGTGCCCCTTGCCGACGGCATGATCATGGAGCTACGTGCTTTCAGCAATCTCACAGCCGAGCGTGAGGTCCTCAACAAGCTGCCGGTGTTTTTTGCGGTGAGGCACCAGATGACTCTCCTAGAGGGAATCCTCCAGGACGTGCCGAAACTGAGCAAGCGCCTCAACGATACACAAAAGTCTGCCAGTCGCATGATCGTCTCGACCATCAGGGAGAATATGATACCAGCATACCAAGCTTGCAAAGAGGAGAAAGGTATGCTTCCCTGCTCGGGTGCTTTGGCTTGGAGCTAGCATTAATCTTTAAGTAGGAACGGGGTGCTTTGGACGGATGAAAGAGCTGATGACCACACATGTTGAGACGAGACGGGACCCGATGTTCAGAGCCGCAACTAAGAAAGTCGAGAAGACTTTGCTCGAGGGCTTGCGCGACTGCAGGGAGAGGGTTATCGGAAAGGGCAGAGGGGTCGTTACGAAGACCGGCAGAGAATTCAAGCGTGTGCTCTATGTGGAGCACAGAATCAAAGTCTCGGAGACTTCGAAGCGAGCCATCGAAAACCTTCTGGCCACTGCCGATCGAAGATTCAATGAGATCCTGCATGGCTCACCATTGACACCAGGCACTGAGGTTCGCGAGATGGACCGCTCGGCTGAGAATGACGATGGGTCTGATCCAGCTCAGGACGAGCACCTGACAGCTCCACCTGCTGATGGAGATGCTGATTCTTCTGACGAACATGATGATGCAGAGGTCCAGGATCAAGAGATGCACGATCTTCCAGTGAAGAACGAGGAGCATGATGAGGAGTGATGCAGTCTCGAAATGCATAAAAAACTGCAGCAAGAGAGATGATCTGGGGGTGGATTTCGAGCGGTGATTTTTAATGCCAGATATTGTACCTAGATACTTTTACTTCTCATATATCATTACGAGATCTTACATCTCTATAACATACGCAGGCCGAGTATGCAATTCATTCGGCAGGCATAGCTAGCGTAAACGTATCAATTTATAAGGGTTTCTAAATCCCGTTCTATTTTCTGCCCGCGTGACATCTTTACCTTGATACGTTTCTTGTTCAACAACAGATTAGTTTTCATTTCTTTGCTCGGTACACCTCATCATCACAAACTATATAATCAAGTATCTCCAAGAGAATTTAACTTCTAACCCATCCATTAGACCTGCCAAAAGTCTCGCAGCATTAGCATGGGAGATCCAAAGTCACATAGCTACCAGATATTACAAGGACACATCCACCAAACATTTCAAGGAAAAGCATTGCCTAGACAGTTTCAAGGTGTCAAATAATGATAGTGAAAAAACAGACCACAGAAAGATGGCAGCCGGCAGTCGAGCACAATCAATACCTAACATCTCTATCCTAATGACATTTGTCTATATTCCAAGACCTCTGGATGTCTTCATCTGCCTGCCAAATGAGTACAGGACATGTACCTGCATCGACGAGGTGACATGCCACCTACATAATACCTAAGACGAGCAAATCACAAACATAGTCCACCTCAGTATAAACCTCGATGAAATACCAAAAAGACGCAGACCCATCACATCACAGGTTTCCCAAGTCTTGCAACCACCAGCAGCCCAGACGACAGCAGTGAGGTGCTTGTATAGGTAGGTACGCAGTTCATGGACATGGGCTGGAGTTTAACACCTTGAGAATTATGCCCAAATCGAGCCCAGATATGTACGTGAAACATTTCCGTCCCTACGAAATAAACTCCAACTCCTCTCCTATCTATTACACCCCATTACAACCACGACCCCCTTTAATCCTCCAAAACCCTTGTCTCAACTCTAAACCCTTCCTTCTGCAAATTCTCGACAAACCCCCCCCCCAACAACGCAGGCGTGTAAACCCCGCCCTCCAACCCCAACCCCTCCCCTCCCTCCTCCAAAATCGTCCTCGCCGCCTCCGCCAGGAACATCCCCGTCAAATAATACGTACTCCCCCTAAACCACGCCTTCCCCACCGCCTTCTTCTTCCCGAAATCCCCATCCGGCGTGGCAACACCCCTATACTCAATCTCGTCCTTGCTCGCCACATCCTCTTCCGGACCCTCCCCTGGCTGGGTCACCCTACCCGCAAGGAACCTCCTCAGGGGTCCGGTGACAATGATAAGACCAAAGAGCATGAGGCCAAAGTGGATAGCTATGCCGGTGAGCCAATTCCGTGGTTTCATATATTCGCGGAAGCTGAACTTAGGGCCGTATGATTGAGATTGGCGAGAGGGGAGGGTGGACAGCAGGCCCCAGGTGCGGTGGATAAGGGCGGTGTCGGTTCCGTTGGCTATGCTGGAGGTGAGGAGGCCTAAATGGGGAATGGTGATGAGGCCGGTGACGCGGGTCAGGAGGCCTGGTTGAGGGGCGCGGGTTGGGTTGGGGACTGGAGACAGGGCGTATGGTTTGTAAGAAGCTATTAACGTAGGGAGGGGAAAGTGATCTGAGATTGTGAGAGCCGTGGCTAAAGTCCCGCCTGAAGGGGCAGATTTGAGGTTGTGGATGGACACAGTCACATCGGCGGTTTTGGCGTTGAGCTCCTCTTTCAGGGTGTTTGCCAGGGCGAACGTGAGGAGATCAGGAGGGGCGGACTCGATGCCGATTTGAGGGATCATGATGGCCCCGGTGGATTTGGCCGTGTCTTCGTATTTCTTGATCATGGCGGCGACGTAGGGGACTTCGCCGGTGACGTCGAGGTAGTGGGTGCCATTTTGGGCGCAGGCTTTGAAGGCGTGCTCGCCGTGGGCGGAGTAGGGACCGACGGTGGTGATGAGAATGAAGGTCTTCTTGGCGAGGGAGGAGAGGTCGGTGTCGTTGAGGGAACAGGTTTCTATGGAGGGGGGTGCGCGGTCTGGGTTGAGCTTTTTGAGCTCTTCGGTGAGGAGCTCAAGTTTGGCTTGGGAGCGGCCGGCGATGGCCCATTTAAGGGTGCTGGGGAGGTGAGTGGTGATGTACTTTGCGGTGAGTTTGCCGGTGTAGCCTGGGTGAGTGTTAGTTTGTGATCATGAGTGAGATATTGCTGGTGATAGCTTACCTGTGGCTCCAAAGACGACGAGGTCGTATTGGCGGCTGTGATTTTTGAACGTCATCTTGTTGAGTTGGCACCTCCTTCAAGTTTTTTTTTCAATAACGACACGAGCAAGTTCCTTGAAAAGATAAGATGAGGGGTGGAATTGAGGGTTGACTATCTCTATCAAAGGACATGCCCAAGTACTTGGGCTACTGGGTAGGAGGGGAGCTTGAGCATAGACCCGCTTTGCGTCAACCATTCATCAAGGGCATCATTGCTATGATCCCTGTCTTACAGCTGAAAGTGCCGTCCTGATGTTATCGGAGACATATGGTGAGCCAGAATAGGCAATCAACGCCGTCAATAGCTCTCTGGTACTTGGAACTGAACGGTGTATCACAATGCTTTCGGGCAAAGGACCGGCTTCCGGTTTTCTCCCTGATTGCTCCTTGTGTTGCCAAAGATCAAAGATCGAAACGGCAGCTCCAGGTGAACAAACCCCCGGCAGGCAAATGACGCATTGGCCAACGGCCGAAATATTGGCAGCGGGAGTCTGCAAAAGGCTCCATAATAATTGGGGTTGGCGTGCCCCGCCCCGCACATGGTCTCCCAGCTGGTGGTAGAAAAAAACGGCAAAATGGTTTCGCCTAGATTCCGAGTTTTCCTCTGCGCGGCCCCCTGGCACACACCAAAAATTGACCTGCACATTTATCAAAATCGTCTTGCCCGCCGAACGCCCAGCGACTCGTACTTGGAGATCACGACCCAGATCCCAACCCAATAATCAGTCAAAATGTCCAAGCGCACGAAGAAGGTCGGCATTTCCGGCAAGGTAAGTAATATCGCTGTCCCTCTGATCCTGTGGTTGCTGCTGCGGTCGCGAGAACAAAGTCGCTAATGGGGCAAAAATAGTACGGTACAAGGTTAGTCGCCCATACTCTTCCGCTTTGAATCCTTCTCTTTGCCCTTTTCGACGACGACGACACCGAGTTCTAGGAAAGCGAATTTCCCAACATTTCCCAGCATCCTAGTTCAGAAACCCCGCCAAAGACCCGCCAACGGAATGATGGAACTCGCGATGGCAACTTTCCACGGCAGATGATGGTCCTGAGGTTGGAGTTTTGCCTGGGAATCTATTGCCTGGCTTGATGGGTTTATCTGCTTTGGAAGCCAGAACTCGATTCGATGAACAACAACTTGAATTCTTTGAGACTCGCAACGCGACCGGCGGCCAGCACCCCATACGACCCGACCCCTCGACGAAGCTTCCACTCGACTTTTGGAACTTGGTTATCAGCAAGAAGGTGGATTTGATGCTGACTGTCTCCCAGATACGGTGCTTCGCTCCGTAAGCTCGTCAAGAAGCAGGAAGTGTCCCAGCACGCCAGATACACCTGCAGTATGTCCCCTCTTTGATAGTGGAGGGCCATTACTCCCATGGCTTCCTCGAACAAGGTCGCACGGATCGCTGACCTATTGTGTAGCTTTCTGCGGTAAGGACAGCGTTCGCCGCTCCTCCGTCGGTATCTGGAACTGCAAGTCCTGCAAGAAGGTCATGGCTGGTGGTGCTTACGTCGTTGCGTATGTCGTCCTCGGAAAACTTACAAACAGGAAACCGGCTGACCGAAGATAGTACTCCCGCTGCTGCCGCTATGCGGTCGACTCTCCGCAGACTTCGCGAGATCACTGAAGTTTAAGTGCGTTGATGGGCATGGTTTGGCTTCTGGGTTTGGTGTCATGGAAAAGGACAACGGAGGCTCTGCAGTACACAATTTCAGCCGTTGGGTACGGCGGGTCGATCAATGAGAATTCTTTGAGCAACGGCGAGTCCACGGTCTCGTTCACGATTGTCACTTAAATGATGTATGGAAGGGAAGCGCATCATCACGTCGCTCCCTCACTCAACACGACCATAGTCGGGAGCAAACTTCTCGATCGCAAGCTTCTAGAGCGCGCAGATGTCAAATGTCACGATTCGCCATGGCACCTTGTTTTTGTTCCTTTCGATGTTCGACGTTCGATGCTTCGCAGTCTCGCTACTTTGTATCCCGAGTTACCGCTTCTGCATTCCCGTCGCCGAGCTCAGGCCAAGTCTTTGACAATGAAACCGCAGTTCCCCGCCTTTGGGAAGATGGTTTGGGGATTTGGGGGGTAGGGGTGATTGTCAGCTGCGCCGGTCCACGTCATATGACGGAAGACTCATCGAGGGTTGACCCTCGATAAGTGAAGTGTGAATGTATGGCTCTTGGGATGTGAGCTTACAGTTACAGCAGGATGACTAACTTGAGCGCCCCACGTTTGTGAACCTGTTGGTACAAGATGAGGTTACACTAACGTGGCATGATGGGCACGCTGGGGTGCCTCTCAGGCTACTCCGTAGGAAGCAAATAATTCGGAGGCAGCAGCGTTCACACAGGTTTCAGCGAAGCGTGCGAACCTGGTTCGGAAGAGGAGGGCGGAGCAGACATCCTCAGCGTCGGCTTGGCACGCGGCAGCTGTCTCAAACGTTCCGTCACTTCTGTTCTGGGAGAAGTGAGGGAGTATTCTGGTGCAAAAGGCAATAATTGGAAAGGGGGATACCACATCCGCTAAGTTGGGACCTCGTTCAAATCAATTGCTGCAATTTGATGATTCTAATCTCTATTCTATGAGAGTTTCGAATAAGGCCTTCATTTGCAACAATAGGCTGCCCGGTGCCCACTTGCTTTCATCATCGCTATCAGCCCACAGGCCCGGGCATATGGTGCTTCGTGGGGTCCCGGAGACCAAAGCCTCGAAATCGCCAGATATCGAGTGGCTGGTAGGGAAAGGTTAAGCCCTATCGCAGCCCCAAGACGATTTAGGTCTTATTCATCAAGGTACTTGCTTCCTCTTCAGAAAGGAGCACAGTCAGCTCGCTCGACAGCTCAACAACGTGACTGGAAAGTGTACCGAAAGTGTACCAGTGTCACCCTGAGCTGTGGACGGCATCCTCACTTGATTGGCCCGTGCCTCTCGGCTTCGCTGCGCTAACACGGGCGCCGCCAAAAAGGCACCTCGCTGGCCCGCAGCCTTTCTTTCTTCCCTTTCCTCACTTTCCACTCTTCAGAGCACCCCTCTTTGAATCCCAGCAGTCCACTCAGAGCACCGCCTCCCACCTTCCAGCACCCACACTACCACCACCTACCACCACATTCACTGCACCCGTCGCCACCACAACCAGCACCACTTACACGAGGCAATCAAGCTGTACTCAACCCGACACGACGACTGTGGAATTTCACCCAGTTGATAGTCTCACGTCACTCTCCACTTCTTCATCTTCCTCAATCCTCCTTTTTTTGACGATTTTTACCCGTTGCTGAGGAGATCATTTACATGACTCCCCAGCGCCACTTGGGCTTGGGGAATTTGATTTCGGCTCACTACGCCATCCACCAACGCCATGGCTGACCAGTGCATCGTCTGTCTTGAGAACCTAGAGGTCGAAAGCAACCCAGATGCAACAACGCCCGCCCAACAACGCCTCTCCAAGGAGCTCGAGGCCGAGCATGCACGTCTTGCTGTCACCGATCCAGATGCTCTTGCTGAACTTAACAGCAAGCAAGAGCTCCCGCTCGAGGGCCGGGAGCACCATGTTGCACAGATTCCCATCTGTGGGCACATGCTACACGATGTCTGTCTGAGAGAATGGAGCGAAAAGGCAAACAGCTGCCCCATCTGCCGCCAGACCTTCCATGTCGTCACGGTCTATGACAGAATCGGAGGTAAGTTTGCCCCTTCTTTCCTGAGCATGAAAGAAATGCATTGTTTACTGATGCATCCCCTTCACTAGGCCAGTACTTGTCCACCCGTCGAGTCGAGGACAAGAAGCAGGTACCCGAGTTCGATCCACAGGCGTGGGCAGATGAGAATCCAGAAGAAGAAGTGGTGGTCAGCAACCCCTGCCCTGTGTGCAACTCGGCAGACCACGAAGAGGTCCTTTTACTTTGCGACGGATGCGATGCATGCTATCACACGCACTGCATCGGCCTTGACCGAATCCCAGCTGGCCCCTGGTTTTGTATGGAATGTGTTCACTCACTTGGTCCCGAGCTCATCCAGCCTGCTGCCGCCGGGAATGGCCTCCAAGAGAACAGCGCACGCCCTCTGTATTACTTCCCTCGCACCCAGGCCAGCATGCGGCGCGCTAGGCAGCGGGCTCGCTCCGATGAATGGCAGGGTGCTTGGGGCCGCATCACTGGCCGGATCTGGGACGCCCTTGAGCTGGACTTGGACTACCAGGACGATGACGATCAGGTCGTCTTTGAGGGCCTGCGCCGGTCACAGCAACTACGAGAAAGAGAAAGGCAGGAACACGAACGCTGGCAGCAACGCCTAAACATTGCGAGTCGCTTGGGGGCAAGAGATGTTTTCGTTAATAATATGCCGATTCTCGCTCGCCCAGCTCCGCCGCCACCACCCCCACAAGAGTCGCGCGAGGAGACATTGGCCTGGGGTGCGTTGGAAAAGGCCAGGGAAACCACCGAGAGCAGGAAGAGAAAGTCGCGCTCAGGCACGGCCGAGCCCCATGAGGAACAGCACCCAGAGCCCGAAAGGAAGCTGAAGCGACCAAGAACAAGGCGAATGCCGACAACCCAAAATGGTGAATCGTCTACTGCCGCAAGAGCCGAAGCAGAGCCTTCAAACCGGCCCGAGCAGTCAAATGGCACTTCACCAGCCAACCCCGGGGCCGCCTCGCGAACAACGACCGATATTCCCCCTTCGTTTCTATCCTCGCTCCTGAAGGAGGTCGAGATGAGTACCCCTTCCGACGAAGAAACCCTCCGACATATCTATGGACCCATACCGGGTGCGAATGATGTCTCGTCACCTGCTCGCTCGCCTTCTCCTCTCAGCCAAGGATGCATTACCCCTCCCCCTGTGCGCTCTAGTTCCCCGCACATGACGCTCAGCTCACACATCACCCCTATCTACCCACCAGCGAACTTCTCACCAACGCGGGCGTCATCATCGAACTCCAGTTCCATCAAACCTTCCCGAGCCACATCGCCACACAAGCACGCACATCGCGACAACCGATCATCGCCCGAGAATAGCGACTCGGAACCTCGCGGGCGCCAGCATCCACGGCCGTTGGAGCTTAGGCAGCCCCAGCCTCGGCGCAATCGTCCGGCTGTGCTGCCAAGGTCCGAAAACGTGTCGCCGACACGCCCCACCTTGCCTCTTGAGCTCAAACAAAGTATCAACAGCATCGTCAAGGCAGCCCTCCGCCCTCACTGGCGTGATCGACAGCTCACGGCGGAGCAATACGAGAAGATCAACCGTGACATATCGCGTTTGATTTACGAAGAAGTTAAGGATCCTTCGGCCGTCACTGAAGATACAAAACAGAGCTGGGAGAAGACAGCTTCCCAAGAGGTGGCGCGAGCAGTCGCCTCGCTCAAGGCTTGAGATTTTGATCAGTGGGCAGGCATCATTACTCGTTTCACCTTTTCATATACGGGCCACGGCACGGTGCGGCGCATGACGACTAAAATTATTATCACAGATTCGACCACGACGATAACGACTGCTGGTTTGCAGTTATTCTCATGACAAACGGCGTTTCATCCATGGGCATGGAGCATATCGGAAGGAGCGATTTGGGCATAAACGTATGGGCAGACTAGGATACCCAACGGCTGAGCATTTATCTGGTTGGGGCGAGAGGGAGATAAATAGGTGTTTATCAGAAGAGGAAGGAATATCGGTATCCTTTATCATTCTAGCTCATTTCTTTTTGTTTTTCCGTTTCTTTCGCTTGGTCTGTTGCTGTTTTCTATCAGGGAGTTGAATGGCGTTTGTTGATGGAGCTGGAATCGCAAGGTTGCATGGGGTTTTGTAACTGGCTTTTTCGTGCTTAGCATAGCCTGGCGGATGGGAGTTGACGACTTTTGATAGGGTCTGGAAATGTATATATCTGTTACACTAGGGATCAAGGCTTGCTGTTATATGTATGAATATTACATAGACCGATGGGGATCATATGTGAGGCGGGTGGATGAGAATTGAATGTGTTGAGGGGTTGAGGCTGAGCGTGTTGTTGGTTGGGGATGGTGTGCAATGATATGTGGGTTGGTGTAAATCTGTAATTATTGTGATAATGTTGTGATACTATTTAATTGTGAATGTATATGTGAGTAGATGACAGCTTCACTTTGCTTGAGACCGTCGATATGAAATCATGAGATTGATTGTCTTCACCGAGGACTTTAGATTTGCAACGCATATACGATTTCAAGTAAGCTACAGCTAGCGGCACAATGAACATGACAAGCCGGCGACGAGCCAGCTATTGACGAAGTAACGGTACAAACTCAGTGTTATGATAATCGCTTCAAGTTCCTCTACAGGCGGGCAATCTTGTGTTGCGAAGAGTCAAAGACAATTGTGAACCTTGACACAGTGAGACGTCCAGATCTCAGCAGAGATCTGATAGCTCCATGGCGCTCACAGTTCAGGGTGCTTATGACAAGGCACCACTGGGCTTGTTATGTTGCAAGTTTCGATGTGCCATCCAAGAGTTGCAATGAAACTGGCAATGAGTGTGTGTGTGTGGGTAGGCGCGCTCTCAGGTCGAGCTCTGGAAAAGGTCACCTCATCCTTCAACATCAAACCAAAATCAACTGATAACCGAGACTGACGTATGTGGTCAATCCGGACGATGGCACTTGTTTCCGAATACCTACAGTCACAGCAATGGCATTTACGTGCGACTCATGATACTCGGCAGACTCAACGACAAAAATCACACAAAAGCAAATCACAAATAATCACACAAAGAAATGTCAGCAGCGACTATCTAACGAGGCCCAGTAGAACATATTAACAGGCTCCGCTAGCGAAAAAAGGCTGCTGGGCTACGAACCCTTCTCTGGGCACAGATTAATGATCATGACGATTTTGGGAGAGATAAAATGCCCTGATGATAAGGATTAAGTGCCGTGAAGAAGAAGAAGAAGAGGAGGAAAAGAAGTTTCAAAAAATTTGGCAGCCGGGAAAGTAGTTTTAAGTACCCCCTGGTGGGGTAGACAACGCTAGGTGGTAATTGGCAGGCGGTGAGCGGGAAGCTTGGACCCTTCCCCTGCAAAAAGTTGACGGGAAAGTGTGGTTCGCGGCTTTGGGACGAACCTGGCTGGTGAAAGGAGAGGAATTGAAGATTGAGTGAGGTGAGAGCAGGATAAGCAGTTTGATCCCCCCACACTTGAAAACCGACACAAGGGGACAGCCAAGGCAGCACCCGACTTGCTGAGGAGGAATTGAACAAATAAAAACATGATGTCGGCGGCGCCAGGTAGAAGAGCGGCTGCTCTTCTGAGGGGTAGGTTTTGTTCTTGGTATACTCTCTTGCTATAAATCCAGAACTGACGATATTTCTCACAAGGTTCACAAAGAGTCTGCCTCCAATGCGCACGATCCTCCCCCACCGCCGCTCCCCTCCTCAGATCAACAACCACCACCACCACCCTCCTCCCTAGACGTACCTTCGCAGCCGAAGCAACCGCCCCCTCCTCCCCAATACCAGAACAACCCACCACCACAACCACCCAACCACCACCCACCCCTGGCCCAGGCCCCTCCCCCTACCGCATCAAATCCGCCCTCATCCTCACCCGCCCCCCCCTCCTAACCCGCCTCCCCACCCCCTTCGAATCCTCCTTTTACCTCTACCAAAAACGCCTCAACGAGCGCCTCGTCGCCCCCTTCCGCAAAGACTACTACTTCAAGCAAGACACCGCCCACGACCTCGAATGGCGCATCAAGCTCAAGGAGCGTCACGGCGTGCCGGCCAAGGACATCGGGCGGTACAACCCCCGCGGCCGCATGGCCTGGAACGACGAGGTTCTCGTCGGTAGCACCGCCTCTTCCCCGGAGACGCTGACAGAAGTCCTGCTCAAAGACGCAGAGGTCAGGGTCAGTGAAGATGGTGAACTGATCGCCCCGGAAGAAATCGTGCCGGTGGAGAAACCTATGCCGAGGAGGACGGAGGCGGATGAGAAGGGGGATAAGACTAGGTTGGATAGGAAGCTGGACGAGACGCTTTATCTTGTTGTGAAGAAGGGGAGGGAGGGGAAGTGGGGGTTTCCGATGGGGCAGGTTGAGACTGATGAGGCGTTACATCATGTTTGTTTTTTCCCCTCCTTACATTAAAACTGGTGAGGATGTGTGTTGCTGACCAAGGAAATAGACTGCCAAGAGAGCGCTTGCGGAGGCGGCCGGTGTGAACATGAACACTTGGGTCGTCGGCCGTGTGCCCGTGGCTCACCAGGTGATTGAGCCCGAGATCGAACCCGAGACCAAGAAGCTCGTCAAGAGGGGGGATAAGATTTTTTATCTCAAGGGGAGGATCATGGCTGGACAGGCGGATCTGACGGGGAATACCCAGGGGCTGACCGAGTTTAGGTGGTTGACGCAGAGGGAGATGGAGAAGGTGCTGCCGAGGAGTGTGTGGGAGAGTGTCAAGGGGATGGTGGAGTTGAGGTAGAAAGTTGCCCATCTCATGAGATGGAGGGCATTGTATGTATGTGTATGATTTAGTTTTGGTTGGAAGAAAGCGGAAGGCATCAAAAAACAAAAGCAAAACATTCGGGGAAATAGGGGGGAATGTTTTGTGACTGGTCTATCTGGGTGGGAATGTACAATAATCTGTGAAAGAGACTTGTAGAGCATGTATAAAGGGGCTTTTGTTTCTGTTGCGAGATGGTAACAAAACGGGGGGTCTGATCATAAGAAAAGAGATAATTGATAGTGACCCGGCTTGAAAACAACATTTCTATGGCCCTTACAGATAACGTCAAACATAAACTCCGGCATAAGTCTGGACATGGACATTGTACATTCAATTCACTCTAGTCTAATCCGCCCAGTTATTTGATCCTTTTTCTACTCCCACCCAGCACACACAAGCATTTGTAATTTTGCTATGCGCACGTCCCTCAGTCCTCATCCCAGTTCTGTCATACTAAGTCAGCATCTGTCATCAATGACACATCGATCATCTAACAAGAACTCACCTTGTTGGGTCCAGGAGGCTTGGGTCCACCAGCCTGCCTGGCAACAATGATCTGATCCACAGAGAGCACCGTCCGGGCAGCTTCCGTGGCGAGCTTGATGGCCCATTGCTTGGTCACCAGCAAGTCGAGAATGCCCTCCTCCTCAGCATCCAGGAGGAAGGTACCGTCGTTGTTCTGGATCAAACGTTAGTTGTAGCTGTAGCAAAAAGGGCAAGGAGAGCATACCTCAATGTCAACACCCGCAGACCAACCATCCTGCTTCTGATGGGCAGCATACAATCTGCTCAGAACCTCAGTGGCATCCAAACCAGCACTCTCGGCAAGGGTCCTTGGCACGACCTCAAAGGCCTCGGCATACTTCTTGATGGAGTACTGCGCAAGACCCTGAGTCTTGTCACCAACAGCCTGTATCCTCTCAACAAGCTCAATCTCTGTAGCACCAGCACCAGGCACCAGTCTGGCGTCCCTTGTGATGGCCTTAACAACATTGACACCGTCATCAACGGCACGCTCAATGTCATCGAGATGGTTCTGAGTAGCTCCACGGAGCACAATGGTGGCTGTCCTCGTGGCCTCATCCTCCTGTCTGAAAACCGTCACCCGGTCACCGCCAATCTCCTGTGTCTCCACCACGTCAATGGTACCCATCTCGTCAGGCATGGGAGCGCCAAGACGAGCAAGTGGTGTGGCACCAACCACTCTGCAAATTCTTCTGAGCTCAAACTTGCTGAGAATCTTGATGACCAGGATGCCGTAGCGGTTGAGGTAGTGCAAGGCCAGCTCGCCAACTGTAGAGCCCGCAACGACGACACGGATGCCGGCATCGTATAGCTCCTTGATAGCAGCCTCGAGTTGTGACTCCTCGCCCTTTGTGAAGTCAAGCATCTCCTTGGCGTTGTGTAGTAATACTGTGCCCTTGGTCTCGGTCTGGCTGGTGTCGATGGCGCAAGTGAAGACACCGACCTTGGCCTTCTTGGCCTTCTTCACCGATCCGTTGGGCTCCTTGGGGAAGACCATACCCTTGACGACACGGCTCTGCTCCAAGCTGCCACCCATGATCTTGACGACGCGGACGTTGTCGACGTTGAAGTTGGCTGGGTTCTTGGGAAGGACGGCGAGGACAGCCTCGGCGACGAGCTTGGAGAGGAACTCCTCGTTGCCGTTCTGCTTGCTGGCGATGACGGTGCGGATGGCCTTGCTCAGTTCGTCCTGGGTCCGGATATCCTCCACCTTGTCAATCTCGAGCTCATCAAGAAAGTCGAGAGCAATCTTCTGTGCCCGTTCGTACCCAGTAACAATGTCAGATGTCTTGAGACCCATGCGCAGAAGCTCCTCCGCCTTCTTGAGAAGCTCGCCAGCGAGGACGATGACAAGGTTGGTGGCATCGCCCATCTCGGACTCTTGTTGCTGACTGGCCATGACGAGAAGCTTAGCGGCGGGGTGGACAACATCGAGCTCGCGGAGGATGGTGGCGGCGTCGGAGGTGAGGATCATCTTCTGGAGATGGTTGATGACGATCTTGTTGCGGCCATAGGGACCCAACGATGTCTGGACCGTCGACGAGATGGCGCGGCAGGCATCGATGTTGCGCAGGACAGCTCCATCTTCAGAATCGTAGCTATAGACAAAGAAAGCAACAGATAGGTCAGCGCTGGGTTGCTATGTGTTGTTGCGATGCCATTCAGGGGCAGCAACAAGTGCATGGTGGGGCAGAGGCGAGATGAGGCGGGGAAGGGGGCAAGGCAGGCAGCGTTCACAAGCTTTGGGATAATGAAAACTTACTTGTTATAGCCGCCCTTGAAAAGGCCGGCGTTGGGCGCATTTGGGATGTTGAGAGACATGGCTGTGGTGAGGTTTCTCGCGGGTTGCGAGGCTTAGAATGGATAGGAGGTGTCGACCGTTCCCAAGGTTAGCGAGTTAAACCAAACGATCCAAGAGCTGCCCGCTGTTTCCCGCTGTGGAGGCCCGCAAAAAAAGTTGAAGTCAACAAAAACGGTAGGCAGCCTTGGGGTGCGTGCAGCTCCCCCTGCCATGCTAAGTCAGCACCCCACCATCCACTAACTCCCAAGAAAACAGTGGACCCCGTCTGGACCTTTCAGCCTTGTCGCGCCTGCCGCGAAGCACTACAACTCTCACGTCTCTTGATCCATCCATCCCAGAGTGCTTCATTTCGGCCTGCGTCGTTTCTTGCTCTCTTCAAAAGGTGCCCCGAGCTCCAAACGCTATCAGAAATCTAGGCTTTTCAATTGCTGACGCGATATTTATAGCCCCACCATCTTTATTCTTTGCGACTCTTGTTTTTATTTCTTCCACGCTCTCAACTTTCCCAATTCTCAACGCCGCTGTAATCCGCCGGTCGAGTTAGTTCACAACCGTCCACCATGGCGCCAGGTACGTTACGTCAAACTCCCAATCTAACCACCCCGTAACCTTTTTTCCCCAAAAAAACCATCTTCTCCTCATCATCATCACCATCATCACCATCCATTGATTCCCCCGCTCAAAAAATGGACGACCTCACTGACCAAACCTTCGCCCTCTCCCCAGCAAGCGCAATCCCCCCAGCCCTCCCCCCAACGGTAGAGGAGGCCTACCGCAGAAAATGCAACAAGCTCCGCCAGCGCACCAACGAAGTCGAAAAGGCCAACGACGCCTCTAGAGTCCGCATCAACCGCCTGAAGCGCCAGATCGAGAAGCTCCGCCTCGAGCGCGTCTTTCTGTTCGAGCAACTCGCCAAGCGGACGAGCACAAACGTGGAGGACTCTGACGGCAGCCCGAGCCCACCACCGACTGTAAGTTCATCACCATCATCTTTATCGCCAAGAAGACTACTGTTGAACGCCGCCGCTCTTTCCAACAACCCGTCACAAAATGAGAGAGATGATCGACTGACTCCTTCGCGTTTGGATAAACAGCCCAAGGAGAAGCCGCTGAGACTGAAGCGAGGCCATAGAAAGGCGAGCATTTTGCCTGTTGATGGGAGTGGGAGCCAGGCGGGGGGTAGTCAGGCTGGTGGGAATGGGGTTGGGCCGTCGTCTTTGACGGCGAGCCAGTTTATTAGCCAGAATCCTGAGGGTGCGAGTCACTCGCCGAGTGGGAGTGATGCTTTTTCATTGGCGAATAGGGGGGGGTCGAACGGGGTGCATCATCAGGAGCCGCCTAAGAAGCCGGGGAATGCGTTTGAGCTTTATTGCAATGAGAGGAACACGGCTGCTTCTGCTGATGTTGCTACTGACGATAAGGCCGAACAGGAGGAGTCAAGGCGGGAGGTGGACGATGACGAGCTTGCTCGGGGGTGGAAAGATCTGAGCGAGACGCAACGTGGGGAGTTTGAGACGAGGGCGGGGGAGAATATGGCTCAGTATGAGAAGGAGAGGGGGGAGTATGATGATGCTGCTGCTGCTGCTGAGGCGAAGAGGCAGAAGGAGAGCGAGGAGGCGGAGGAGAAGGGGAAAGAGAATGGTACGGAAAATGCTACGGAGGAGGAGCAAAAGGATGACCAAGGGGATGTGGAGATGGGGGAGTACGATACTGATCAGGAGACGCAGCCTAATCCGGAGGATGATTAGAGTGTCCCTGCTGCGAAGGCTGAGGAAGAACCACTGAGAAAAAGCAGTATACTCGTTTTGCGCAGCGGGGGGGAGGAGCAACATATGGAACAAGAGACGCAGGCTAACCCGGTGGTGGTGGAAGAGGAGGAAGAGGAGGACGAGTAGGTGGAGGAAGGATGGTTCACCCTTCCACTTTAAGTACAGACGTGTGTTTTACCCGCCCAATGGGTGAGGCAGTTGCTTGGTGCCTTCGTCGTTCTAACCTCGTGTTTTTTTTCTCGCTTTCTATGGGTCTGGGAGCGACAAGGGAAATAAACAGGAATGGTCGGGGAGCAGGTTCGTGTTGACTGACCACGGAGAAAAAAGGGTGGTGTTGAGGCGTACATTATTTGGCGACTAGGTTTTTTCTTCGATTATGGTTTTGCTTCTTCTTTGTGTTACTGTAGCTACTAGATATTCCTTGAACAATGTCCAACCGTTTGTAAGTCATGTTTGAGAACAGCCATTGAAAAAGCTTGATAGACTCTATGGGAACGTTCATTTTAACCACCTTGCTCAACAGCCTTTACTTCTCTGGTGGTGCTGTGTTTGTTGTGAAGGTAGTGAAAAGAGTTACACCTGCAACGTAAAAGACTCGTCTTGAATTGGGAAGAGAGACATAGAAAAAGAAAAACTCCAAGCCTATGCCTTAGTATGCATGTCCCGCGAACACAAACACACACCAAAAACTCCTACAACTGCATACAAGAGTGTATATATGTAGAAAATACAGCCACGCGAACCCCCCCCCTTTCCGCTCATTATCCTCCCTCCCCCGCCCTACTCCTCTTTCACACCCACGCTTCTCTACCTATATATATTGCCCCTCTGTGGAATTCTATTAATCAATACCCACATACAAATCCACAATGATATTCACCAACGCCACCACAATCTCCGCCGCGATCAACACAATAACTATTTTCCAGTCAGTCAGCAAAAATATCCAGTCTCGTTCTTCATATCAGGGAATGAAAACTCACCAATCCACTCCAGCTTCTCCCCGTGCCCATGACTCAACTGATCCTTCAGCACCGCCAGCAAATCCGCAATCACATCCAACCTCTCCGTCAGCAACCCCACCCTCTGGTCCATCTCTAGATAACTCCTCACCGCCTGATACACCGGCTCCAGCTGCGGCTCGACCCAGAACAGCTCCGGGGTGTCCAGCACCGACCCATTCAGGTGCACACCAATCCGCAAAATAAACAACTCGCCAATCTGCATGTTGATCTGTCTACGAGAAAGGTCAATCTTGCCAGTAAGGGCGAGCTGGGAGGGTATGTCTTTGCAGTCTTCGATTGTGGAGGCGATGAGTTCTTCAAAGAGGGAGGTCTATTTCTTTCGGTTAGTGGGTGGAAGGGGGAAAGGGGAGGAGGTAAATACCTTGACACTTTGGGCTAGGGCATGCGAGATGGCCAGCTTTGTCATGTAATTGCTCTTGTCTCTCAGCGTGATAAAATCGTTGTATATCCGCGGCTGATACTCGTGCGTGTAGTAAAAGTTAAACTTTTCTGTTTCCACGTCGTCCGGGCCAAGCTTCTCTAGCTCGAATTTGGTGATCTCCTTTAGGAACCTCTGCTCCTGACTTGCTGACATGCCCCATATTACCACCACACCATAGTTGAAGAAGAAGACCTCTGGGGTGTGGACGGTGATGTCAAAGTCGACTGGTTGGAGACGGTCACCACCTTCTGTTGCCACCACGCTTTCACCCAGTTGCTGTAGGTCGTCGACGCTTTGGTGGGGACCGTTACCGTATTGTTCGGAAGCATACACTTCTGCGGCCTCGTTTCTGAGGTCTATCAGATTTTGCTGATGGAAGCCCTCGCCGTCTGCTCCGGGAACTTCGCCAGTGGAGTGTCGTCGTTCAGGGGTGGAGTGGACTTGGATTATTTGTTCCTGCCGGGAGAGCTCGACTTGTTTGGAGCTATAGCTGTATGGCGAGTAGATGCACTCGTCGATCAGCTTCGGGTTTGCGCCGCGCCCTTTGCCCTTCCCTTTGAGGAACCTCATAAGCCCATCCATCTGGTATCTGTTCGCCGTGCAGTAGGCTGTGACCCTGGGCAGTGTCTGGCGGTCGGCCTTGCCGAGACGGGCGGCATCTCTGCGGGCAGTTGGGTCTTTGATGCGAGTGTACTGCGAGTACACCTCCCTGCCACTTTCCTCATCCGCTCCATCTTCTTCCAACTCCGGGGTCGGCAGCAACTTGAGCTTCTGAGCGTTCTTCGTGGTACGTTGAGGGCCAATCTTGGGTAGGTGATGTCCTGGTGCGCCCGCCACGGGAAGTACACCGCTGGGTCCTCCGCCCCCATGACTATTGCGCCGGCGGAGTTTATTGTTTAGGGCGGACAACATAGGCGGGCCACCGCCGAGCCCGCCGGTGCTGATGGCCGAGGGGCTGGAGGGCGATAAGGGCGGTTGATGTTGGTGGTGTTGGTGATGGCCTGCTGTTCTTATCCGGGTGCGGTATTGCTGCTCGGGCTCGATCGTCTTGGAGACAGGGTTTGGATTGAAGGTGACATTGCGCTGTGGTTTTGGAGGGCGGGTGGCAGACTCGGGGGATGATGGGGGCTCGACAGAGGAGGTGGATGAACTGTTTGATAAGAGAGGCGTTGTCTCGATGGGCGCCGTCGTGTCCGCCATTTTGTTGTCTTTTCACCTGAGTGGTGGGCGCTGTGATGAGACACGAGGTCTCGGCCGTGTTTTCCAATCAAGCGTCCAATCCGAAAACAGCTATGGATTGTGGTGATTGACGGGAGAGGGTATCGTTTGTTGCTTATTCCTCCCTCTGACTTTCCTTTTTGTCGTGCCAATCGAAGCTGGTTCCTTAGCGGACTGGGGGAGAGCTTATCGCTGATCGTCGTGGTAAAAAATGATCTGAATGGTGCGGTGTCTCCAACTCTCTACTGTTGCAGACGGGATTGGTGATGACGTCTGGACAGTGTTTGCAGAAGACCCAGTTTCTCAATTGCAGCCGTTTTTCGCTGTGGTTGGCTGAACAAAAGATTGTGGGGATGGCGCTAAGACCGCGCATGCTGTGGCCCACAAATCATGTGCTTCGAGCTTCTGTCTTGTGCTGGGTTTTCCTTGGCTTTGCTTGTGACACAGCAGTCACAACAGCCACAGCAACACCACAACGGCGCCGGCAGCTGCGAGGCCTTCTCATTTTGGATGCAAGTGCTGCCATGCTCACCCAGCTTACCAATCGTTCCAGATTGCGGGTGGAAGACATCAATTGAGGTTGCTGAGAGCAAATGTGTGATCTAACAGCCAGTTGTTGCCTGGTTACAGCCAGCATTTGTTGATTTGCCCCTGACCCACATGCTCGGAATAGCTTCATATTGCGTTTCTGACACTCCTGCTTGAAACATCATGATTTGTGGTGCTGTGTTGTTTCTCAGTCGATCTCTCCCTCGTTTCTTCCAAAAAGTAGAGACCCAACACGCAGACAACCACAGCTGAAATGCATCATGCCTTCCAGATGTGCTTGGAAGGCAAGCGAGCCGCTGGGATGACTCGATTTGAACCGAAGCAATGGCGGGACCGAACTGTGAGCGATCAGCCGATATCAGATGCTGCTGGGCAGGCGCGTAGATGCCTTCCTTCCATATGTTGCTTGAATATCTCGGACTTGTCTTGCCATCGGAGCATTCGAACGTGACCTCCTTCCTTCGTCAACACTCCCTCATGTTATTGTTTCCACGACATGAACATCACTCCTTCCCTCAACGACATTGTCATCGCCAAACTGCGTCAACCCCGGTTTGGGTCGGCAACGACGGAGTGTCTATAAAATGTCTCCTCAGAGTTTGCAGTCTTGTATTCTTCTCTTTCTTCCTCTATTCTCTCAATCATCATCAAGCATCGCCAACGCAGTCAACTTTTACAGCCCAGCTTCCCCCATTTTTGGACTTTGTTTCAGGAGATAGCACAGCATCATCAATTTTCTCGTTTGTTCACATCTACATCACAATGGTTTCCAAACTCGCCTTCAACAGCCTTGCGCTTCTCTCCTCCTCCAGTTCTGTGCTCGCTCAGTTCCAAGGCACAACCTACAATCAGACGGGCCCTTTTCTCCTTCAGGTCGTCACGGCTGATGATGACGCACTTGTGGGCAAATATCTCACCACCTGCCATGCCGGCGCTACCATTACGGGCCTTTGCATCGGCTCCAACGACGTCAGCAACTTCACCCTGAGCTTTTACTACAACTACACCATCGTCAACGGCCAACCATCCAAGACCGGCTTCCTCACATGGTCGCTGCCTGTTCCTGGCGCCGAGGGCCCCCTGAGCCTTTCTGAGCCCATGAGCCTCATGTTTGAGCCCGGAAGTAATGTGGCTGTACCCATGTTTACAGTAGGTCTACTTCTTTGTTGTCGTCATTCTGCCATTCGCTAACCATATTCTACAGCCGAGTCAAGCTGGTACGCCTGTCGGATGGGACAATAACACTCTTTTCATCGCGGCGCCCTACGACGATTCCAAGTTCAGACCCAATGTCTATCCCAACGCGACGACCACAGACGGCAGCATCATGCGACAGCTCCGCAATTGGCATTCTTGCTGGGTGTTGTACAGCGCCTATTACTTCAACTCTGTCGGCTGGGTCTCTGGCGGCGAGCCACGCAACCCTACCTGCGAGCCTGTCACCATTGTCAGAGTCGATCCAGCATCCTTGATCATCTCCAGTCCCTGGGACGAGTTGCCTGACGAGTGGTCTCCAATTGCCCCAGAAGAGGATCAGGACGAAAAAGACGACGAGGCTGATGACGATGAAGCTGATGACGATGAAGATGATGATGCCGAGGACGAGGATGCTTCTGCTGAGGGTCATCAAGAGGGTCAGCAGGCAAACCCAGAGGAGACTCTGGGTGCTAGCGCCGAAGGGAGTGCCAGCAACAGTTTTGGTGAGGAGCATGGCTTCAACGGAGCTGTTCAAGAGGGTACTGGCGAATCTCAGGTGCAGCAGCCTC